AACGACAACGGACCTACCCAGGATGTAAGGCCGAAACTTCTTGACGGCTATGACAACGGCGAGGCACTCTTGCTCAAAGGTAGAGTAGTTGCGTTCGGCTCCTTGAAAGGTCTTCGAGTAAAAGTAGACCGGTCTCAACTTACCCTCCTCATCTTCTTGTTCTAGCACTGCGCCCATAGCGTATTTGCAGGCGTCACACGAGACCACCCAATCCTTCTCGAAATCTGGAGCCTTAAGTACCGGAGCTTGAATTAACTTGGCTTTGAGACCCTTTACTGCGGCCACCTGTTCAGGACCCATGGTGAAGCTTGCACCTTTCTTGAGGAGCCTCGTCAGCGGCTCTGCAATCTGAGCGTAGCTTTCGACGAACCTTCGATAGTAGCCCGTCAAGCCCAAGAATGCACGTACATCTTCCTTGCTACGTAATGGGGTGAAATTCTTGACCTTGTCAACTTTGTCTGGCATGACCTCAATTCCATCTTTGCCGACCACGTGGCCAGTAAACTTCACCTTGTCATACCCGAAATGGAGCTTACTAGTCTTGTACTTGACTCCTCCTGCGCGAGCTGCCGCAAACGTATGATCGAGGGCTCTCAAATGCTCTCCCCAGGTCATCGTGCGCACGCACACATCGTCCATGTACGCCTCAAGCACTCTTCCGATAAGGTCTGAGTACACTTTTCTAACGAAGCGACTGAAGGTATGTGGCGCGTTCTTGAGCCCAAATGGCATTACCTTGTATGCAAACGTCCCAAAAGGCGTACGGAAGCCAAGATACTTGACATGCTCTTTTTTGATGCCAATCACGTAATAACCTTGAAATCCGTCCAGGCTACTGTAGTACTCGAATCCGCCTAAGTTGTCAAGTATTTCCTCGATGTTTGGCAGTGGCCAGCTCTCCCTTTCGGTAACCTTATTTAGGCCTATGTATGCGACGCACTTGCGCAAGGATCCGTCTTTCTTAGGAGCAAGACTCAGCGGCGCGCACCACTCGCTCTCCATCTCTATGATTTTTCCTGCCTTAAGCTCATCATCAACACTCTTCTTAAGGAAGTCAAGCTCCTTCGGCGAGTACCGTTTGCACCATCCTACGTACACTGGCTTGGCGCCTGGTTGAATGTTGATCTCATGTTCTAAAATAGACGTCACTTCGAGGTCCTCAAGGTTGGTAGTCAGCCTGTCCTTATTCCTTTCAAGTAACTCCACAATCTGTCCGTACTGCTCATTGGACAAATTTGGGTTGATGTCCACGTTGACTCCGTCAACCGCGAACGGCTGCCTTTTTACGCGAGCATCGTCATTCTCGCACTGTATCTTGCTAGAGAACACTCTTGCGGTCATCGCCTGCAGATCCGGGTCACCGACCTCTATTGTCTTCACTCTCAAGGCTCTGTACCCTGCATCAGCATCGGATTCTTCCGTCTCGTAGATTGATTCGTCATCCTCATAGTCGTCGTACTCATCATCATACTCATCGTTCTCATCAGACAAGTACGTTGATGTCGTAGGCTGAGGGGTTGAGGCGCGAACATTTAGACCGCCACCAAGGGTGATAGTCCTTCCCTCACTCTCCACGTAGTACACGATACCGTTGCTCCAATCAGCCTTGGCTTTCAGCGCCTTGAGCCAGTCATCGCCAAGGAGGAAGTCATATGTGCCCTTACAGTCGATCACTCCCATCGACATTCTCAAGGGGATCCCGGACACATAAATATCGATAGGTCTTGTGCGGCCCGCAAGCTTCTGGAAGGACCCATGGGCCAATAGCACCGCACGAGTAGCAGGCTCTAACTTCAGTCCGAGTGCGTTTGCCACATGTAGGCCCATCATAGTATGGTCATTGCCTGGATCAATAACGGCGTTGTTGAAGTCTCGTCCCAAGGCGGTGACGGTCGTGACATCACCTTTGCCACCTTGAACGTTCCTGGCCATAGCTATTGCTGACTGACTCCTCTTAGGCTTGCTTCTTCTTGGAGGGGCATGGCGGGCCCAGGCCTCGGTAACAGCTGCCTTGAGTTGCACTGCCATCTTTCCACGGTACTTGGAGTGAGTGGCCAAATCAAAATTCAATCCTTCGACCGCATCAACGAACACTGGATCAGGAATGACACGCTTCCTGGTACGCTTTGGCGTCGCATTTGGAGCTTCTGCAACATTATTCTCTCGCCCGTCGACCGCTCTGTCATCAAAAGTCACTGTCTGGAAGTGGGGGTCCCCAGAAGGTTGCGCACTACTAGTGGATGCCTCAGCCTCCCACTGCATTCCTCGGACAGGTGGAGTAGTGCCTCTCGTTTCCTCTCTTCGTTGAGACGATGGACCTGCAGGAGTGCCTGTCCTCTCACTGCGACGTCGCTGGGCACCTGTCGAATTTAATCGCTGTGGCTTAGTCGTGATAAATGATTGGGCGACATTAGTGGCGGAGATTTCTAAACTTTGCACTCTTAGCGAGGAGTTAGTTTGAGTGGCCAATGGGACGCTATTGGCGCCTGTGGCGGGGCTTCCTTGTTCCTTAGTGCAAACCTTCGAAGTATGGCCTCGCTCGCCACATCGGAAGCATTCCACCAATGGGCAGAACGACAAGAGGTGCCCCTCTTGATTACATTTATGGCAGGTTCTACGGGCCATAGGGATAGCCTGCTGACTTCGAACTTCGGCGGGTTGGAGCACGGCATTAGGTCTAGCCTCCACTCTAATATGCTTGGCCAATTCAGAGGAACCAAACACTCGCCTCGCTACAGCCGGGCTCATTCTTGAGATAGTCTGAGCGATTCGCGCCTCCGGAGTTCGCTCCTCGGCAGCAAGGGTCCAGGCTCCGAACATGTCTGTTAATTCGTCTACGCTTAATTGATTAACTTTCTCTTTGTCGTCTTTGAAGTCCGCTAGGAAGCCAGAGTAGTGCGTCCTCGGCACTAGGGTCGATCCAAGCAGAACATTCGTCTCGATTGGTGCAGCATGCTCAGCGTTGCTGCGAGCTATGACACGGCTCTCAGTGGTGTCAATGCCCCAACGATTTCCTTCAACCAATTGTGTCACTGATTCGAAGGTTTCCTTCAAGGTCGCAGGCGCTTCTTTGTTCTTGACCTTGAAAGGATGGTCTTGCCTCAAACCCTTGCAAAATCTGTACGCCAGTAGACGCTCGGTGGCTGTTGGGATCTTGTACGGCTGTGCGTCGCAACCAGACTCTGGGTCGAGGAGTTCCATGGTAAGTTTCATTCGTTGTACATAGTTGGCTGTCGTCTCATCTTCTCCTTGCTTAATAGAATGCAACTCGTCCAGGGTGACATCCTGGCTTCTAGGGGTAGAGGCCTCCATGATGAAATCGCTGACGAACTGGCTCCAGGCACCATTCGTCTTGTTTGTCATCCTCCAGCGCCTGATCCAGCGTTGGATCTTGCCTGTCGCCTGCCTCTCGACGAACATCAACTTGTTGCTCAGGGTTTCTCCTTCGATAACACCTCCAAAATCGCTGATCCATGTCGCGGCGGTTAGACCCTCAGCCTCTGCCGACGGCCACTTCGGGATCATGGTAAGAAGAATCGATAAATTGGAAGACATTGTAGCTGCCACCCCCTGCGTAGATCACCAGAAATATTGTTGCAAAATTTAGGGGCAGATGTGGTAGGAGATTTAGGTCGTTTTGGTGGATTATGAAGCCGGTCACTTCCAGCTGCAGATAGATAAATAATTCTAACACAATAAAAGAACACACACACTACTCAAAGACTGGACGAGAACAGTCAGTACTCAAATGGCTCTTGTGTAAAAATAAGGAACAAGGAGCCAGATTTTCCTGAGCTGTTGCTCGTTAAATAGTTGGTGGCGAACCCTCTACACGTGACTAAAACTAAAACCAACAATGCTTAAAAATCTGTGTGACAAAATTAAAGGTACTACATAATTAAAGTTTGGGCACAGCACCCAAACCCAAAAAGTAAATTTATCAAACAAAAAAAAAAAAAAAAAAAAAAAAAAGAATCTTCTACGCCTCCATTCTCTATTCTTCATAGCCCATCCGGAGCATCGCCAAAGAAGTAAAAGAGGAAGAGGGAGGGATTTGAACCCACGACTATCGGATAGATAGACTGCATTAGCTATGATTGGCAGCAAGTACCAAACAAATTTTAAAGGATGCAGCGCCTTAAACCATGCTCGGCCACCCCTTCTTTTCTTTCCTTGCTTCACTACTTCCTCATTCCGAACTTTATAGCTATTTTTCAGCTTTTGAACACGCCTTGCATGAAAAAAGAAAAAAAAAGAAAAAAAAATCCTATCAAGCTGACAACCATTGTGCAGTAATAACTGTTTATTGACTATAGTTTCTGGAGCATTTTGTTCATAGAGCGTAGAAAATAAATCCCATGACCCTGAGGGTCCTTGTTATCAAAAAAAAAAAAAAAAAAAAAAAAAAAAAAAAAAAAGACTATGACCCTGACTAGGATGTTAGGGACTAAGACCGAAGGAGATATTTCATAAATCGTGGGTCCTTGCTATCAAAAAAAAAAAAAAAAAAAAAAAAAAAAAAAAGGAGATATTTCATAAATTCTGCATGACCTCATGGCGTTATAAAAAAAAAGCTTCAATTGAATTGACAACCTTCTTTTTTTTTTTTTTTTTTTTTTTTTTTAAATGAATCTTTGGCGTTGCCCTGAAATCAAGCGCTTTTTATTCATCCTCCTGTCATCATTCAATTTATTACGGACTATACCAGCCTTTTGCAATATGGACAGCCCGAGGCCCGCCGTGATGAGGAGCTTACGACGGAACATTACCGGAATCTTGATCGCTCAACCCATGATTACTTCGCGACCGCTCTAAGCACTTTTCAAGCCTCATCTATAGTTCGGTTCATTTGCATTCAATGGAAATGAGGTCAATACACTTCATCGGCTAAAATAGGGACGTATCCTTCTCCTTAGTCAGATACGTTGATTATAACTCTTGCCGTGTTTTTTGGACCGTTATCGTGCTGCACGACGAAACCAGCGTGATAATTAATAGGACGTAAATATTGTGCTATGCTACAATGCTTTATTAGGTAGAGAATTTCCAATGAATGATGAAAGGCTTGGTCTATGAATGTATTAAAAAATATATTTGCTTTGTGCTAGTGGAAGCGTATCGGCAGGCTTTACCATATCACTAATGATAACGCCTTCGACACTAACTTCAAACGATTCAGGGTCAACCTCAACCAAAGGACATAGATCGTTTAACTTCATATCATATTTGGATATATCGCGACAGTTCTTGATGGCTGCAACCTTCTTTTTTAGGCCATAATCCTTGCCACGGTTGAGGTCTACAGCCGCTTGCGACATGAATACAAAAGAATTAGCTGCAGCTGCACTGCCAAGAGAGCCAAACATGGGACGAACGATGACGGGCTGTGTGGATGGAATACTTCCATTTGCAAGGCCCATGGCAGAATATGTGATCACACCAGACTTGAGGACATGAAGAGGTTTAGAGCCAAAGTATGAAGGATCATACATAACTAGATCCGCAACTTTTCCCACCTCAATCGAACCAACCAAGTGAGAAATCCCGTGTGCTATAGCACTATGTTTTTAATAATCATAATAGCAACAATAAAAAGAGTCAGTATGATGCGTTGTTCCGAACAAGTCCAGCAAAAAAAAAAAAAAAAAAAAAAAAAAAAAAAAGAGCAAGGGGAAATAACTTACGGATTAATTGTATACTTGGCAACATATCTCTTCACTCGGAAATTATCTGCTGTGGTTACAAAGCCATTGGGCGTATTGTCTGGGATATGTCCGCGAATTTGTTTCATGCGATCTGCCATCATCCATGTTCGTCCAACGACTTCACCGATACGACCCATGGCCTGTGCATCGCTACTGATCATGCTGATAGCTCCCATGTCATGCAGGCAGCCTTCAGCAGCAATGGTCTCTCCGCGGATACGACTTTCCGCAAAATGAACATCCTCCGGCAAATTTTTATCAAGATGGTGGCAGACCATAAGCATGTCAATATGTTCATCCAAGGTATTTCTTGTAAACGGCAATGTAGGGGTTGTACTGGATGGTAAAACATTAGGGTGACTACAAACGGTGATGATGTCGGGGGCATGTCCACCTCCAGCTCCTTCGGTGTGATAAGTGTGAATAGTACGACCTTTGATGGCTCCGACGGTTGACTGCACGAATCCTGCCTCATTTAACGTGTCTGTGTGAATGGTTGCCTGTACATCATACATATCGCACGCCGTCAAGCAGTTGTCGATTGCAGCTGGAGTAGTTCCCCAGTCTTCATGAAGCTTCAGCCCAATAACACCAGCCTTGATCTGATCATGGATGCCGTTCAAATGGGCTGTATTGCCCTTACCAGTGATACCAATATTAACGGGAGATGCATCTGTTGCCTGAAACATCATCTTAACAAATTCCGCTGCGGGAGTACAAGTTGTCGCATTTGAGCCAGTATTCGGTCCTGTGCCACCTCCAATGAGCGTTGTCAAGCCCGAGGTAAGTGCTTCATCAATAAGCTGTGGGCAGATAAAGTGAACGTGTGTATCAATCCCGCCGGCAACAACAATATTGTGTTCGCCAGCCATCACTTCTGTTGACACGCCAACAATCATATTGGGCGACACACCTTCCATCACGTCTGGATTACCAGCCTTGCCGATACCGGAAATAAGGCCATTTTTTATACCAATATCAGCCTGTTAACAGGAGTGCAAAAATAAATTCTCATAGATTAGTTTCGGGTATATCCTTAATATTACTTTCTTTCTTCTCTCTCTCTCTCTCTTGCTTTTTACTATCATTAGTATTATTACTGTTGCTATTATTATTTCTTACCTTATAAATTCCTGTATAGTCGAGGATAATGGCATTTGTAATGACAAGGTCCAGTGCTTCAGAATCGGGTATACCATTTGCCTGGCCCATGCCCTCTCGCAATACTTTTCCTCCTCCGAATTTACATTCATCCCCATAATGTGTAAAATCTTTTTCAATTTCGATCCAGAGACCAGTATCACCCAACCTGACGCGGTCCCCGACTGTAGGTCCATAGAATGACTGATATACTTCTCTTGGGATTTGATATTCTGGGATCTCCTTTTCATTCAATAATGGTGATTGAACAGAATGACTAAAGTTTTGTGAAATGACCTTTGACATGATCTCCTCTAATTTCTCTGGGTCAACTGTTCCAGTTGCAAGGTTATTTCCACCACTAATACGCTTTAAGCCTCCGATACTGACAGTTGTAACAGTATGTTTTTCACCTGGTTCAAAACGAATAGCAGACCCGGCTGGGATATCAAGTCTGCGTCCATAGGCGAGTGCGCGGTCCATTTGAAGTGCACTGTTGGCCTCTATCAGATGGAAATGTGATCCAACCTATAAGTAAAGTCGAATACATTCACAATTAGCTTGATATCTTTGCAGGCGTTTAACAGATCTGGAATACGTCTTTATGAATTCCACGTAGGTTTGATTCAGTTCAATTCAAAGCACGTCATGTAAACACGCGTTTCAGATAGGCAATAGACTGTCCGAATTATCAAGGTTTAAAGAAGGTGAAATTGATAGGAAAACGTTATCGCTCACATGTTACACAGCGTTTTTTGCCATTCCCAATCATAGTTTGTATTGGTCTACCACAGATTACGTTCAACTGCATCATTCTCATAGATCAAATACAACAGTTACTTTGATGTTGGTGGGTTGTGAATATAAAAGGAAACGATTAGGTAAAGCTCTTACACCTTTTATATGAGTGGTTACATGGGCTTCATTTCCTTTTTAGTTGTTTCGATGACTCGAAATGGAAAGATGTTTGTGAATGGACACAAAGAGCCTGCTCTCTCTCTGGTTCGATGAATCCAGAGTCAAAAAAAAAAAAAAAAAAAGTGATAGGACAAAGGACCAGCAAGTAATCCGATTGGCTTGAACCATTTTGAATTCAAAAAAGCCGCACGTTCTCAAATTTTCATTTCGGACATCGAAATAAACCTTAACATTCAATTTGCCCTGGAGGTCAGTCAAAACTTCCGTAGACAAAATACCAACCAGAGTAAAACATTAGTACTCACCAGAATGGGGCGATCACCTGTGTTAGTGATCTCAAGTCGCAGGCGCTTACGGCCCTTATTGATTGTCAGAGTACCTGGAGCAGTGACAATTGCACCTGGTGGGTGTGTATGTTCTCTTTCCTCTGCTTCTGAAATAGGGGGAAAGAAAACATCGATGTCTGGGATAGGGAGAAAAGATCCATGTAGGGCAAGCTCTAGGTTTCCAGTTTCGTTACTAATTGGGTCGTGGACGGTCACCAGTTTGGTTCCATCCGGAAAAGTGCCCTCGATTTGAACTTCATACAATGTATTAGCAACACCAGGCATGACCTGGCGACGGCCCAAAAACTGCTTTCCTAAATCCATCAAGTCTGCGACTGAGTGGCGGCCATCCCGGATAAATTCCCCCAATTGGCTGGCAATAAGAGCAACGGCCTCCGTCTCGTTCAAGCGCAATCCACGGGCCAGACGTTTTTGAGCCAAGAAGCCGACTTGATGGAGAACCAACTTGTCTAGCTCGCGAGGAACCAATTTCATTTTAGATCTCTTTTGAGTATAAAATTATATAGAGTCTAGTGGGATAAAGAAAGGCGGAGGTTAGCAGAGACACATGGATACAAAGAGTGGTGCAGATCAGGTAGTATATGTACATTCGATGGGCTGTTCGCAATCAAATCCACTGGGGCGCAGTAGAGGTATTAGGATAGGGAAGGAAAGAAGACAAAAAAGATTAAGAGGAAAGGCAGTGGGATTTAAAGCAAAGAGAATGAGTGAAAGTGAAGAGTGAGGGAATAAGAGTGAAAGAGTGATAGAATGATAGAGTGAAAGAATGAAAGGTGAAAATGTGAAAGAGCAAAAGAATTAATAGGAAGGCCGAGTAGTTGGAGGTTTCGTGATGTTAGACAAATGAGCCATACTGCTGGCATTTCCCTTTTGTTGATGCTTTGGGGTGTGCTCCCCTTGAATGCCTTTTTTTTTTTGATATCATCAAGACGTCCTTGCAATTCTACTGGTGCATCTGTCATTCAGAGGACGGGGGTAAGAATAGAAAGTTTGCATTGAACGCATGGAATGTTATTTTCATGATCCGTTTCATGACAAATGTCACACTTCTTCTATCACGATAATGATGAGGAATAATGCGGATAAATTGTATTCACCGTACAAATGTGATTTCGAGTAATCAACGTTGGCCGCCTTGCATTAGAGACTAACCATATTGAACACCAACCTCAAAAATATTTAACGCCTGTGCAATGTAATGGTCTGGGTCAAACTCTAATTGCTGACATGAGAGCCACAGCTTCGCGACTTGCCGCTACCTGCCCCGTAAGATCCTAAGAGAGAACATTGGCTTTTCCCAGACGACTGGCCCCTTTCGCTTTCTCTCTTTCCCACATTTTTGTTCAACACTCCTAACATGTCCTGTCGCTTTGAGAAACACGGTTCTGCTGCTACTGGTGCTGGTGGGCACGACCATGACCACCATCACAGCCATGACCATGCAAGTGATTCTTCTCATTCCCACTCTCATGACCAAGCACCTAAGCTAACCAGCAGTCAAAAGTACAATCTTACAAAGTACGAAGGGTGGACCCAGACTGATATTGAGCATGGCCATCGCCATGAACAGATCGATACAGCAGGCAAGTTTACAGAGCGTGCATTGCCTGTTTATGATACACGCGACTGGGAAGAGCGCACATTCACCGTGGGTATCGGGGGGTAAGTCTTTGACATTGAGATCTGAACCAAAGATTTGCTCAATTACAGAGTACAAGTCACTTATTTTTCTTTCCCAATCTCATAGCCCTGTTGGATCCGGCAAGACAGCACTGATGTTAGAGCTGTGTAGGCGCCTTTCAAAGGACTATAGCCTGGCTTGCGTCACAAACGATATTTTCACAACCGAGGATACTGACTTTTTGGTCAGAAATAAGGCCTTAGAGGACCCCGAACGCATCGTGGCTATTGAAACTGGTGGATGCCCCCATGCCGCTATTCGAGAGGATATCTCTGCTAACTTGGCTGCCTTAGAACAACTACAGGCTAAGTTCAATCCAGAGCTATTGCTCATTGAAAGCGGAGGAGACAATTTGGCTGCAAATTATTCACGTGAGCTGGCAGACTATATCATTTATGGTAAGTTTTAACAATGCGAGTTACAGGCATCTGATTATGAGACTTAATTTTGGGACAAAGTATCATAAACACCCTTTATTTTTGTAATTGTTAGTTATCGACGTTGCTGGGGGAGATAAAGTCCCCCGCAAGGGTGGTCCTGGAACCAGTCAATCTGATTTGCTTGTCATCAATAAGGTAAGATCAATACCTTAATATTTGTGAATGAAACTAGTTTCAATATTGGTGCTTGCTTAGTGAACACATAGTCTAATAAATTTGCAACGGTTCAAATACCCCTGTACACAAAAGACGGACCTTGCAGAGATTGTAGGTGCCAATTTGGATGTTATGGCCAGGGATGCTGCCAAGATGCGTGGTCCTGGGCCTACCGTCTTTGCGCAGGTCAAAAACGGCGTTGGAATGACCGAAATCATCGAGCACATCCTTAATGCATATGCGGAGAGTGGAGCCAAAAAAAGTACCCAATAAAAAAAAAATAAAAAATAAAATACAATTGTTTATCTTGATAGGAATAAAGTAATCATTACTTTTCACTTTGATACTTTGTAGATGAGCTTTATTCCGTATCTGTCGCAATATTTACTTAGCCACTTCGCCTTTTTCCAACGTTGTGCATCCCGAAAACGAGACACTTTTAGGATAGGTTGTTATTGCTTCGGGTCAAAAATAAATGCAGTGGTGAAGGTCTATTCAAATGTTAATTACGTCTATAGCCAATTTTAGCCCTAGTGCCCTGCATCGACTGGATCCAGGCCAAGCCAATGCTAGCTTGATCTAGACAAAGGATCGGTTTAGCTTCCATCCTTTTGAAAGGCATGTCTAATTTTCTTCTACTCTGAGTGCCGAGCCGAGTGAAAAAAAAAAAAAAAAAAAAAAAAAAAAAAAACAGATTCAAGTTCTTGTATTTCATCTTCCTTTATCCCATCTTTCACTTTCCTTCAGTTGCAGGGTCAACAAGAACGATATTGATACTGAAGTAATCATTAGAAAATTACGATCAGTTTTGATTAATGAAACCTGGACAACATAGATTAAACAGCTTTTTAATAAGGTTAATTGGAACATTCGCTCGGCTAATAGAAAAAGGATGATTTCATTCCATGCAATAGTATACGATGGGGTGCTCTAAGATGTACCAGCAACCACCAACCTATCACCAACAAAAATGAAAACAGTGAGTATGATTAGTAATTTTTGTAAATGTAGCATGGCAGACTGATGCGAGAGCAGCATTTGTAAACCAAGAGGGTGTTACGTACTTCTTCAGGTACTCCATAAAGACTTGGAGTGAAACATCATCAGTAAAGATAGCCTGGCCTTGAGGAACACCACCGTACTGTCCTCCTGAAACATGTGTAGTTGAAGGATTAAGCTTTGATAATAAGAAACGAGCCTGGGACCCATTTTGGTCGCATACAATGTAGCGGGGGATGGGGAAGCGCTCTACTAGCAATTCCTGTGCACTGACTACTGGCGCTTCCAGCAGTTCCTTAAAGTTTTCATATCCTGGTTGCTCATGATAGCCAGCCTTCCTCCATGCAGCAATTGTTTCGCCATGGAAGATAAGGATGTAGAAGAATGTGTCCAACAACAAAATTCCATCAGGCTTGACCGAGACGCTATCAAGTAAAACTGGTTGAGGCTCGCCTTCAAATCCATATGACATAAGTGTTGGTTGGATCATGATGAGTGAATTATTGACATCTTCACGATTCAAGACGTGGCGATTGTAGGCGGTCTCGTCAGGAGAGTTGTTGAAAACCTGCAAAAATTGAGAACGACGCAAATGGAACATGAATTGAGGATAGATCGAAAAGTTCTCTGTGAGACGGAATGATTGAGGTTCGTCCTTGCGATATTCTGCAAATTTTTGGCATAAACGAATCAACATCCTGTCCAACCAGCGTAGCACATCCGGACCATCATCAATTTCGGCCTTGAAGACAGCAATACGAGCCATAAGTACGGCAGCGGTCTCTTGATCGAAAGATTGAGCAATAATGGGGCTATTTCCTTCTGCCCAGCTACGTGCAACTGTGGTGACACGAAGCTTGAAATGTCCACTCGAGTGTTGATAATGCGTCACAAATTGAATGAGGCCGCGCGATCCAGGCTGAAGAGACTGTCCTTGTTGATTAACCACTTCAAAGTAAATGCCATTAGTTGTCTTTGGAGAGACACCACACATCTTCCATGCTGATGTGTTACCGATTCCGATCTCTGTCTCTCCTACAGATGCAGTCTTCTTGTTGGATGACACTGCATGGCCGATCAATCCACAGATCTTGAGCTCCTTAGTGGTCTTTATCGATTATAAAGAATATATTCAAGTTTGAAATCAGTACAGCCGACTGCTTTTATGTATGTATTGAATAAACAGAAATATGAAGTGTATCAAGCGTAAATAATACCTGCACTGCAAGCGTCGCATTAAAGCCCATTTTAAGATTGCCCTCCGCGTCCTTCTCAAACATTTTTTGGAAGCTCTGCTTGAAAATAGCAGTTGTGAAAGAGTCAGATAAGACCATGAAACCGCCGGTCGAATTGACCATTGACTTCATCTCTAGCAACCCGACTTGATCCAAGCAACCTGCAAAGATGTCTACAATATGTCCATTGGTAGAAGTCCTTTTTGCCAATGCTTCATAGAACTACCAACCATATTAAATACACATCAAATTGCTCAGAAAAGGTCAGCATGGTCATATTCAATTAAGAACAAAAAAAAAAACAAAAGCTCCAAGGGCCTAGTGCCACTTTGGTATGCTTAGATGGTACCTTGGACGCCTTTTTGTAATGTTTTGCACTCTCCTTCTCAATGTCGTGGTGGGATCGCAGAGGTTCCTTGAGATCTGTCCCAACAACCATTCCAGGGCCCTCGGTTGCAGCACCACCAACGAAGAGCATGATGCGACCGCCATTGTTCTGGTATGTAGCTTCCAAAAGTCCAACCGCAACACTCATAGCAACACCGGTGCAGCGTTGTGGGCGTTTGTCGGTTGCAACGGGCCAAGGATCACGTTGAAGTTGCTCGAGAATTGAGGACAAAGTGTACTCACACTGCTGAATAGGAAGTAGGAAGCGAGAGTTGCCAGTGGGTGCGAAAGGAGCTGGCTGCCCTGGCCTAACAGGCTGCTGGGGGCGCATTGCAAGGGCTGTAAGCCCTAGCATCTCCTGAATCTGCTTACATGTGTAATCTTTGTTTCCACGAAAAACGTACGACTTGGGACATTCGCCATAACCCAGTTCGTGAACTTGTGTCTATGTCCCGCGAAGGAAAAAATGTTTTTAACTATGCTTCGATTATAATGCGTGCGAAAAGCAGAGCATAAGCTGACAATGACGTGAATCTGTACCATAGTACCGTAAGTAATCAGACCGACAAGAGCATGTGGGGGCAATAAGCTCAAACTGACGACTAAAGAGTCTTTCAATGCCTTGAGATCATCCTCATCGATGCAAGTGTCCACTACATACAGGAAGATGGGCGGAACTTGAGCGCTCCTCGCCAGCGTGTACTCGATAGTCGTGTGCTTTGCGAGCAATTCAGCAGGGAGATTGGTGTTCGAGATGTCGCGATAATGAGGGGGAAATTGATTGCGGTGCAAGCAAAAAGGGCAAATCCAAAGTTTCCCTCTTGGGTCGATTTGACTGATAGAGCATACATCCGTATCATCAGGTTGATATAGAGATAGTGTATTTCAGTAAATCTTCACCAAGGAATTTCAAACACAAGCCTGAATGAGGCACTCACCAATAAGGATTAAGAATAGCCCCGCAGGTATGTTGTTTGCAAGTGACGGGTTCATAGTAGATCAGAGGCAAGTCCTCACGCTCCTTGAGCGGCGTATAAAGGGCCGCGATGGGAACCACTGTCCTAGTGGCTTCAAGGCGTGATGCGGGCCATGCGTTAAATGAGAACCGGATTCCGTCCTGGTCCTCGATTTCCTCGAAATTCATGATGCGATGATGAGAGATAAAACGGGATAGTGGAGAAGAAAATGATGAAATCGATTCAAAAGCAAATGCGTGTAATGCATGCTCAGGAAGCCAGCATCTGGGCAAGCCACGCCACTCGAACAGAACATTTTTGTAGCAGTGTATGAACAGGAAGGGCACACGTTCAACAGTTGGAAAGCAATTTTATCCCCGAACTAAACGATATTCGCCTTGCATTTAGGGGAATGGCGAGTCCCTCTTACGCGTCGTCAAGGCTCATTTTTATTCTGCTTCGTCTTAAAATTTGAGCTGCATTCTTTCCATTCTAAAATCTTCCTACACTATGACCTGGCAACTCTCTGCAATTCTTTCAGGACACAAGGGCGATGTACGCATGTCTTCAGTTATTAGTCTAGATTAATGTTGTTTTGCTTGTAACCCAAAGCAATGTGGACACTAACACCTCACTGCTTTGGGTAATTCTCTCTTGCTTCCAGGTCAAAGCAGTTATTGCGCCCACGGATTCACTAGTTGTCTCCGTCTCGCGTGATAAATCCGTCAGAACTTGGAAGAGGCAGTCAAACAACACCTTCTCGGAAGAGAGAGTCTTCCTTGGCCACACTAACTATGTTAACTCAGTCGCCTTTATTGGCGTCTCTGAAGCCAACCCTAACGGTGTGTTCAAATCAACCAGAACATGTTCTTTACGATGTTCTGATGATCAAAAAAGAAAAGAATAGGAAAAAAAACCCTGGAAATAAGTACTTATGTCTTGTGCTTTTGTTTGAAATGAAAAAGGGCTCATCGTGACTGGAGGAAGTGATAAATTGATCAACGTCTGGAATCCCGAGGACGCTAGTGCGCCTGTGTACACACTTGTCGGTCATTCGGATAACGTCTGCTCTTTATTCGCAGACACGGATGGGCATATTGTTTCTGGCTCTTGGGATAAGTAAGCGGACTATTGCAATCTCATGTCATTCGATGCCCAGTTATTCAATCTGTTGACTCAACTACTCTCATTTAGGACAGCAAAGATCTGGAGGAACTGGCAATGCGTCCATACCCTCGAAGGGCATGCTCAAGCTATTTGGGGCGTTCTTGAGCTGGAGCATAATGTGGTGGTTACAGGTAAGGTATCAAATTCTTTTGTAGAAGTAAGAGTCAAAATTTGATGCTGGTCACTTGACTGATAGAGTGCTCAATCTTAATGTAGCTTCCGCTGACAAGACAATAGCCATGTGGAAAGACGGCAAGAAAATCAAGACTATAACTGGTCATGAAGACTGCGTTCGCGCACTTGCTTTGCTTCCGGGCATTGGCTTCGTTTCTTGTGGAAATGATGGCGCTGTCATTGTCTGGTCCAATGAGGGTGATCCAGTTCAAGCACTCGACGGACACACCTCTTTCGTCTACTCTTTAGCAACGCTTCCTACAGGCGAAATCTTCTCGAGCGGTGAGGACAGAACCGTCCGTGTTTGGGAAAGTAAGTATATCATACACTAATATCTAATAGGACTATGTTTTCAGTTCATTGGTCACATTTATATAAACCTTGCCAACGCATATTTTGATTCATTAGATGGCGCATTGTCACAAACTATCATTCATCCTTGCGTTTCTGTTTGGTGCGTCGCATCCCTTCCTAATGGTGATATCGTGAGTGGTGGGTCTGATGGGTTTGTCCGTGTCTTTACCAGAAATCCTGAACGTGTCGCCAATGCAGAGACGCTCAAAGCTTATGAAGAAGAGAACGCAGCAGCGAGTATCCCCTCGTAAGTCAAACCCTTATTTTCGCAGGTCTCTTATGTTGTTAATACGGTGAAATCTGATGGTTCTACTGTGACATCATTAATATAGTAACCAAGTAGGAGATATTAAAAAGGACGACCTTCCGGGGCCTGAAGCTCTGCAAGTACCGGGGAGAAAAGATCAAGATGTCAGGATGGTTCGCGTAGGGAATATTGTAGAGGCCCATATGGTGAGTAAACTAACCGCATATGTAATAATGCAACCTTTTTTTTTTTTTTTTTTTTTTTTTTTTTTCCTGAGCACTGATTTGAACACATCACTAACTGTCCTATTCCGGTTTAGTGGTCGAATGCTGAGCAATCATGGTCGAAGATCGGAGAAGTCGTCGATGCCGTTGGACAGACCAGGAAACAGCTTTTTGATGGGATTGAATATGATCATGTATTTGATATTGATGTAGGAGAGGGGCTCCCTACCCTGAAGCTACCTTTCAATGTTACAGAAAATCCTTACACTGCTGCGCAAGCATTCTTGGTTAAACATGAACTTCCTCAAGTTTATTTGGATCAAGTTGCAGATTTCATTACCAAGAACGCTCGGGCAGTGTCACAGGGTGAAGTTGCAGTTACTGGAGACCCATTGACTGGTATGAATTTTTTTTTTATTTCCCATGGAGAAAGGTTTGTCTTTTTAGAAATATGTTCTTTTGGCACCTTCTGTCTAACACTATTGTTTTTATAGGAGGCTCACGATATAGGCCTGAACAAAACACGGCATCATCCTCTCTAGGATCAGTAGGTTGCTTGAGGAATGTTACTTTTGGCAAGATGTTAAAAATTCTGAATGTACATCTCACCAATGTGCGCATTCATCACTCATATTTAGTACAATCCATGGGGTAACGATGTTTCAAAGCCCCAGACTGCCGTTAAAAGGCTCATCCCTCAGGTATTTCAGCTTGTGATGAATTGAATTACAACATTATTGGATGATCTGCTTACACAGTATAATATCTTCTTTATAATTTACTTATTAATATTAATATGCTGTGATCACCGACGTCAATATCATTATTAGCTAACAAATGTGCCTTTCAAGGATGCCAATCTGCCTGCCATCCACAAGAAAGTTATGCAGCTGAACACAGAGTTAGCGTCATCAGGCGTAGCTCTTGATGATACAGAGTTGACTCAATTGGATTCACTTTTCAAATTTCTTGGAGCACCGCCGAAACAACCGTTGCCACAGCCAGAGTACGTAACCCTTCTCTTAAAGATTTTCAACAACTGGCCTAAAGCATCACGCTTTCCGGCGTTGGACTTGCTAAGGCTGTTGGCTCTTTACTCGCCTAGTCCAGCTGAGACACCTGATCTGCTCAAAACACTTTTGACAGCGTCAAGGACAGATGAGACTAGCTTCATGCTTGTTTCTCGCCTTGTCGTCAACTTTTGTGAAACGGAACAGGGCAAGAAGGCAGCCATGGATGATATTTCAACTGTTCTTGAGTTTATGGAAGCTGATGCTGTTTGGCAGAGCTCAAACAAGAATCTCAAGTTGGCGGTTGCTACAGTGTACATGAGCTACTCGACACTGCTCCTGAAGCGAGATGATGACACCATAGCGATCCGATATATGGACGCTCTAAGTAAGATCCTGGAAAAAGAACGAGAGCAACAGGTCCAGCATCGTCTGCTCGTCGCTCTTGGTAATCTGATATTTGGTCATGAAGGGGTCAGAGAGTTTGCTGCCATCTCTGGCGTGAAGAGCATACTTCAGTCAGCCGTTCTATCGAGGCCCGCTTCAGAGAGAATCGCCACAGGAGGCGTTGTCAGTAAGTATTTGGGCCGATGTATTCTATTTCTTTTATTTTATTGCCCTTATGTTTTCGCTCATCGTCATTTTACTTGCTTGCCTGGGTATTGCTTTAGATGAAATTATCAAGTTCTTGGACTGAAAAAAAAAAAAAAAAAAAAAAAAAAAAAAAAAAACTTCGCCATCTGCTAGTTCAATCGAATAAATCGTATCCCTCCTTACCTGCATACTGCTTTTAAAAAATAAAAAAAGCTTCGCCATCTGCTTGTTCAAATTGCATAAATCATGTCCTTTTAACCACAAGTATATGTTATGATTAAATTGATTGGATGAATTCTGCCGCTTGTAACAAGCAAACTTATTGGCTCCAAAATAACCAAATGAAGACAGGTACAAGTTGTCCCTTTTTTGGAACAATAGAAAAAAATTGTTCCTTGTCTCTTTCACATTCTTCGACCATCACACGCCATGACTGATCTCGATGCCTTGAAAAACAGACTGAATATTTGTATGCAGCAACTAGAGAGCAATTCACTAGTTAATACTCCCAAGCGTAAGGCTGCTCTAAAAGATGAAATCCACGCAATTGAATTACAGCTGGCACAAGCATTGGGAATCCATGACGACGAAGACGGCGACAATGGCGATAGCAACGATAGCGAACATGATAAAGAAGTCATCAAGCGGGAAGGCGCCTCCAGTACGTCTGAATCATCTCAGCTGCCATCAATCGATAGCCCTGGCCGTACTCAATCACCTTCACCAAGTATTAATAATCTCACCGTGATCAAGGAAGGATCCTCTAGACTGAAAACGCCACCAATACTATCAGAGATTCCTTCTTACTCCAACGACTCTAGTTCTAGCTCTAGCTCTAGTTCTAGTACTGTCGAGGCTGCTCTCGTCAAGCAAGAAGTAGAGAGTATTTGTTCTGCATTAGCTGATGCAGGAGAGGGCGATATGGACCTTGAGGCGCTTTTACGGGAGCAAGAGCAGATGGAGCAGCGCTTGGCAGCCTTGAAGCGCCGGCGTGAGGAAGAAGATGAAGCATTCGCAAGATCTATTCAAGAGGAAGAATATCAAGCTATAAATCAGAATTCCGCTTTGTCCAGTCTTCCAGCTTTGTCATCTAACATTTTAAATTATAATACAATCTCTCAATCATCCCTTGATCGAGCTCGCCAGGAGCAAGAAGATGCAGAAATGGCGAAGATGTTTGCAAAATCGGATTCCGCTACTTTCAATCTTATAACATCTCCCCAAAAAGGCGAATCGTCGAGCGCAAATAACAGTCATACAGTTTCTAATGCAGGCCCACTTTTCCCCATATTTGAGAAGCGACAAAAGAGGGATCCAGGTGAAGACATATCAAAGCCCAGCGCCCCATCTGGATTTTCTAACTTTGAGGAAACGACATCTGCCTCTGTAACCAATCCCGCCTCCATATCTGCAATCCCTTTTAGTCGAGTGGAACAAACTGCGCTCCAAAGTCATGCCGCTGCAATTTTAGGTAATTATAGGTCATATATGTCTACAATCATGGTCCAGGGAGACAGTTTCGAGCCGACAAGGAAATATATTGATCATATATTGGTATTTGAATATTTAGCATCAGCTGCAGGAAGTAACAAGAAACAGCAAGAGGAGATAGGGGGGAAACAACCGTCTATTGATCTTACTAAACCAACAATCGACTTAACAAAACAGGTTTATGATATCTCCAGTTCAGATGACGAGTGTATACCTGTATATGGAAGTAATTCCTGGTATACCGGCCCCAGCTCGAGTTCAAGCTCAAGCTGGGCTGCGAATGTCTTCATTAATTATCAGGATCTGCAACGGCGCTGGTATGATGGTCCTGATGAAGAGGAAGACAACGATGATGAAGATGAAGATGAGGATGATCATGGATTATATGGATATAGCAAATATAACCAATGGATGCATAACCAACTATATTCATATCCACAGCCCGACTTTAACCGTAATTTGACAACTACACAGACTGAGCAGGAGCTTCGTGAGTTGCTAACGAATATTGAGGCAACGGAAGAAGAAGTTGCCCCACAAGATCGATCAGGGACACCTGAAGGCATGGCTTTTCATATTGCTCTCTTAGAGCATCAAAAGATTGGCCTGACATGGCTACAGAAAATGGAAAGTGGAACCAATCGTGGTGGCATACTTGGCGATGATATGGTAAGGTTTCAGATTTAGCTAATGTCGAAAGGACGCTTGGAAGGAAGGAAAAAAATGCTTTAAAGTCTGGCTTCTGGTGATGTATTAACTTACCCTTTTGATTGTTTATAGGGCTTAGGTAAGACTATTCAAGCGATGGCGCTAATCGTCTCACGGCCCTGCGATCCAATTGATGACCCAGTAATTTGGGATGACCGTACAATATACCATGAGCCCCCTCCACCATCAAAACTTGTCAAAACGAAGGCTACTTTAGTTGTTGCGCCCGTGGCCTTGATGTATCAGTGGGCAGAAGAGATTAGGACCAAAACACAACCAGGCTTATTGAAAGTCCACGTATATCATGGGAATGGAAAGTTTTATGACCCAGAATTTTTGAGACGCTATGATGGTAAGGACTATGGATGCAGTCCCTGATACTGGTGAGAAAACTTGTTTGTGAATATAGATTAACTTGTTCTTAATCTGGTGGATGGTGGATTAGTTATCATAACAACTATTACGACGCTAGCTAACGAATTTGGTAATAAAGAGCCAAATCCAAACAAATGCAGAGCCATTGGAACTCTATTCAAAGGTCATTTTCATCGTGTTATCATCGATGAAGCCCATGTGATCAAAAACAAGCATACCAAAAGTTCGAAAGCCTGTACTGCAGTTGCTGCCACCTACCGGTGGTGTTTAACAGGTAATCTAGGATTCCTCGACTTCATCAAATCAGAATCTACCTAAGAAGACTAATTTATGCAAATTATTATACATATTTTAGGAACACCGATTCAAAACAACATCGATGAGCTTTATTCGCTTATCCGCTTCCTAGGAGTTAAACCGTATTGTGACTGGGAGGAGTTCCGTAACAAGATATCAACGCCGATGAAGAAGCAGCGCCAGTATGGCCGCGCAATGCAGCGCGTCCAAGCTCTCTTGAAAGCTGTCTGTTTGAGGAGGACAAAAGCATCCATGGTGGATGGTAAACCGATCTTAAACCTTCCGGCTCGGAATGTCCAGAGAGTGCCCACTCTTTTCTCTGATGATGAACGAGCCTTCTATGTTGCATTAGAGACAAGAACAAGAGAGAGGTTTAATGCCTATGTGAAAGCAGGAACTGTGATGAAAAACTATTCCAATGTAAGTGATTTGACCCACAGTTTAAAGTTTCAGTTCTATTCAGCGCTTTCAGTTTTATGATAACTGATTCAACTTGTTTTTCCACATGTCATGCTGTCATGCTTACCAGATCCTGGTTCTTTTGTTGCGGCTCCGTCAAGCTTGCTGTCATCCCCATTTAATTAATGACTTTGAAAAGGCCATGGATGATAAAACTCCACAAGACAAGAGAGCGCATACAGATCGCCTTCTTGACGGCCTTTTGAAGGATATCCGTCGTCGACTGATAGAACGAGGTCTAGATGCTATAGAATGTCCAATTTGCATGGATGTGGGCGAAGAAAGCGTTATCCTTAGTGGCTGTGGCCATATCTACTGCCGTGCATGTATCACAGGTATGTTTTCTGATACGGCGAAGTCGTCGACTATAGCTCACCTTTAGGCTTGACTAATACTTAGTAATTGTGTTATCCATAGCCCATTTGTCTCGTCATGATGAAGAGGAGCGCAGGTGTCCAGAATGTCGTAGACTGGCTCCTATTGAGAACTTGATCTCGGTGGCAGATTTCAATGCCCGCTTTAATCCCACTCCTGTAGCTGAAGCTGAAGATCCAAAAGGAAAGGGCAAGGCATCGGATGATGAAAGTAGCAGACATCCGGATATACTTCCACCTATTCCAGTCCCTGAAGAGTTAGAGACTTGGATCAGTAGCAGTAAGACCGATAAAATGATTGAGATTGTACGTTCTGTACAAGCCAAAGGTGAGAAGATCATTGTGTTTTCACAGTTTACAAGTCTTCTCACCTTGATGGAAAGACCTTTGCGAGATGAGGGCATCAAGTTTCTTCGTGTAAGATATTTTGGATACATGGGCATAACCTTTTTTCTTGGTGGGGTGCCATTGTGAGATATTAATGTCTGTATATTCTGCTTTCAAATGCATTTCTACTCTCATCAGTATGACGGAGCGATGAGGCCCGAGCAGAGGAACGAAGCGATTATCAGAATGACCAATGACCCTACGATACCATTAATGCTTATCAGTTTGAAATGTGGATCACTTGGGCTTAACTTGACAATCGCTAATCAGTAGGTGAATTTTGTCGTATTACATTTCTTCTGAACTATGAGATCTTGAGCTGTAATTGCTAATATGAGCCTTCATTCTGTATTCAGTGTAGTGATTATGGACCCATGGTGGAACCCAGCACTGGAGAACCAAGCAATTGACCGAGTGCATCGTATTGGACAAACAAAAGAGGTATTTGTTCACCGTTTATGCATCCCTGAAACTGTGGAGGACAGGATCCTTGCATTACAAGCTAAAAAACAAGCTTTGGCGGACGGGGCTCTTGGTGAAGGCACAGTGCCGAAGTTGGCTAAGCTTGGAGTAAGTTTTTTTTTTTCTTAGAAAAATAAGCTCTAGTAATATCCCTCTAACTTGGATCAAAGTGCATAACATTAACCTCTCTCACTTCTATCTGGATATCATATGACACAGCTCCAAGAATTGATGTATCTTTTCCGTGGGGATGTGTAAGAAGCCTGATAAAGAACAAGCATTCAAGCTTGCTGCTGAAAATTTAAATAAAAAAAATACCCTTTAGCCTTGTAACTGCATTATTAAACGCCACTCAAATGTTATTGGACGATGTGCTCCTGAACTGATCATTCATGGCTCATGGTTATTATGACAACGATCAGCACCATGCAGTTTCGAGTCAGAACTGCAGCAGTGCTCACTGCCCCACTGCGATGCACAGCACTCTTTAAACCAAGACTACTTACTTCCCCTATCCGAGTCCTTCGCGTCTCTTGCTCATCTCATGCCTTGCCAGCACGCGCAATTAACAAAGCTACTTTCAGCTCTACAAATCTCACGCGATGTCTGAGCTCCGCTACCGCCACTAATACAACAAACCGCGTTAAAAAACTACGCAAATTGATGAAATGCGCTCAATACAACTTAACAGCTTTGTACGTATCCTTTTATTTTTTGTCCTAAATAGTTGTGAAAGGAGGGGAAAAAGTGTGTTTGACATTAATATCCATACGAATTTGTAGTGTAATACCATCAGAGGATGCACATCAGAGTGAATATGTTGCAGAATGCGATGAGCGACGTGCATACATTTCTGGATTCACGGGATCTGCGGGCTTGGCCATTATCACACACGATTCTGCGGTGCTCTTCACAGATGGGCGTTACTTCCTCCAAGCTTCTCAGCAGTTGGATTCTAACTGGAAGTTAATGAAAGCTGGTCTTCCTAATGTCCCAACGTGGCAAGAATATCTTGTCAAGGTGAATAAAATAGGAAAAAAAAAAAAAAAAAAAGGGGGGGGGGGAGGGGGGGCCGAAGACTGGTAATCTTTAAAGCAGATTGTAATGGTCAACAGGATAGTTGATATTGACGTTGTTTTTCATTCATCATTTAGAACATCCCGGCTGGTTCAAGGATAGGCATTGATCCTCTAGTTTTTACAGCTGGTAAGCATATCCTTTGTTAACCTATTGCTCAAAATGATTACCAATGCTAACAATGACAGTTATTATTTTTACTAATACTATCGATCAGCCGATGCAGCAATGCTTGAAGTGGAACTGCCTAAAGTGGGTTCGACCTTAGTCTCAGTTCCTAACCTTGTTGATCTTATCAGAGAAGATCGCCCTTCACGCCCCGCTCGTAAGCTTATGACCCTCACGACCGCGACTACTGGTCGTAATCATTCCGAGAAAATTCTTCAATTGCGTCAACAGCTCAAAAAAAGAGGTGTTGTAGGATGTGTAATATCAGGCTTGGATGAAATAGCATGGTTATTTAATATGCGTGGTTCAGATGTCCATTGCAACCCTGTATTTTTTGCCTTTACGATCATTTCTCAAGACAATATACGACTATACTTGCAAGATCGATCTGTTTCCAACGAAGTGCGGGATCATTTAGGAGATCATGTTCAGATCTGTCCCTATGATGCTGTTTATGCAGATCTGAAAAAGCTATCTAAACAACTAAAAGCCAACAACCAAAAGATGTTGCTGGGCGTAAGGACCAATCTGGCAATAGCAACAGCACTGGGCAAGGAAAACATCATCATAGACAGATCTCCTATTATGGACGCTAAAGCTATCAAGAATAAGACAGAGCTGGAGGGCATGCGTCAATGTCACCTTCGAGATGCAGCGGCTGTGATTAGGTATTTCGCATGGCTAGAGAAGCAGCTAGAGCAAGGCGTCATATTAGACGAAGCTGATGGAGCAGAGCGTTTGCAGCAGTTTCGAATGTAAGAAAAATATCGTACTTACTATTGAGAGTAGGGTCTCGATTTCGCTTTAACTTTTGTTGCCTTATAAATATCAAGCTCAATTAACTATACTATGATTATGATATATATATATAATGCTAATATTTTATAGTGAACAGAAGGGATATGTTGGCCCTTCTTTTGACACAATCTCTTCAACAGGACCCAACGGCGCCATCATACACTATAAACCTGAGAAACCTACCGCGTCGATCATCGACCCAAACCTTGTTTACCTCTGTGATTCTGGTGGTCAATATGTTGACGGCACAACCGACGTTACTCGCACGCTGCACTTTAGAACTCCCTCTGCCCATGAGAAGCGCTGCTTCACACGTGTACTCCAGGGTCATATCGCCATCGACACTTGTATCTTCCCAGAAGGTACCACGGGCTACCTACTGGACATTTTATCACGACGTGCACTTTGGTCCGATGGATTGGATTTCCGCCACGGGACTGGGCATGGTGTAGGTGCATTCTTGAACGTCCATGAGGGTCCTCATGGATGCGGAGCTCGCCTTGCTTTTAATGAAGTCCCACTAGCCCCTGGCATGATCCTGACAAATGAGCCTGGATACTATGAAGATGGGGAATTTGGGATCAGGATTGAGAATGTGCTTATAGTCCGTGAAGTTAAGACAAGACATCGGTTCGATAACAAGCGATACTACGGGTTCGAGCATATTACATTTGTACCAATCCAGACTCGGTTGATTGAGAGGTCCCTGCTTTCCAGGGATGAGATCCAGTGGATCAACCAGTATCAATCAGAGTGCTTAAAAAAGGTGTCACCATTCTTGAAGGAAGGTGAGCTGGCACTAGAATGGTTGAAGCGTGAAGCAGTGTCAATTTAAATATCTCCTCTGCATCATTTCAAGAGGATCCTTGCACATTGAGTGGCTGATTTTATTAAGGAAGATTAAGGAATTACGATATTAAGGAAACAAGAATATTAACGGTAGTCATATTGTTGGATTAAGAAATATTACAATGTTAAATGGGTATAGTGATAAAAAGTAAAGACCCATTCACATACACTTAAGCAGCCAGGCGGGAGCTCACTCTTTACAATAATGCTAGTGGCACGTCTTCTTCTGACAGTCTGCTTCTGCTTTTGTTCTTTACATCGCTACTATAATTACTCGGGTTGATCCTCGGCGATGGAGGAGGCGAAGGCAGGGTTTTAGTTTTCCTAGAAGGATGGCCATGCTTGAGAGTACTATGCATGCTGCTGATGCCATGGTTGGTGTTTGCTTGCAGCTGTAGTTGCTGTCGATAATTTTCGATGCTCGTCTGAGTCTCTAAGGTATGGGAGCCCGTGTACACTGACGTCGAAGGGACCTTGGCTGCGCTTGGGGACAAATAGCTGGGGCTACTAAACGCATGTGCGTTAGCAGAGAGGTATGGCATTGGACTTGAGATATGACTCATAACTGATGAGGGAGAATTATATAGCGACATTGTGTTTTGGAACGAAGTTTGGAAGAGCGGTGCTGATGGTGCCATGAGAGGCCCAGTGGCGAAGCCAGTGCTATTCATACTGCTAACTCCAGAGGGCATCATCAAGGGGGGTTGGAAGGGGCCACCATAAGGATACGCTCCCATCACCATCTGGGGTCCTACCCAATAGTTAGAAGTGGCGATTATCATCTGCCTCTCAGCACTAGAAGGTCCTACTGGATACCAGCTCATGGGTCCTAATCGATTGCTTGACATGGGCGTGTAAGCTGATGTTGTGAAAGGCGGCCTAGCCCCTGCCGGCTGCGCCTGTGTCCATACTTGACCTTGCCCGATAGAAACCTGAGCTTGCTTCACTAGGAAGTGGTGGCGCTGCGAATCTGTCGAGCCGGCTGAGCTGACTGAAGGGGGTCCCATCCGTTGTTGTTGCCTGAATCGCTGTCTCTGCTTCTGTTGCTGATACAGTATACCTTTTCGATTTGTTTTTTGTTTAGGGATCATGACCTTTGGTGTGGACGGGAACGCTTCATTTGCTTCTTTATCGTGCCCTTCGTCATACTTCTCTTCAGTACACAGTCCATCCGCGCCTTCATCCTCGCTTTCAGAGTCAGATGAAACAGGCGGTGTAAAAGTAGGTGCTCTCATAGCTGCATCCTTCCGAACAGAGGCAGGTGTGGTGGTTGTGGTAGAAGGGGTATTCTTCATGTCTAGATTTATGAGCGGTTGGGCTGGCATGCGCAACGTTGGATGTAGTGGCATTTTGTATGGTGTTGCAGGCAACAGTACCGATCCCGATGATAAAGGAGCTTGAGGTGGAAGATGCTGGCAGGAGCCCATCATGCTACTAGCATCGTTTCTGTCGCTGTCATTATCACTAGTCGTGTTCGGTGGTTTGGACTGAAGGTGGTTTTTAGAAGAGACCAAAGGATGTCTCAATTTCTGTTTCTTCGTACTATTCATTTTTGGCAATGATGATAACTCTTGCGCTTGTTGCTGTGGTAACTGCGTATGATCCATTGCGTCCAAGTACTGATGGTGCTTTTGCTTTGGTAAAGTGTCTTCCTGTTGCTGCTGTTCAGCTGTCAAAGCCACTGCCATGTTCTCTATATCCCATCGCGTCGAAAGTTGAGTTGCCTCTAGGGTTGTGTAATAAGCCCCAATTTCGTCACATTGCCTTGCAGAAATACCAGCCTTTCGAAGTTGATGCAACATCATATGCAGAAGTACTGCATGATGGAAAGGTCGTTTTTCACGCTCACGTAATTTCTTGAGTGTATGGATATAGGCCAGCCGCTTGAGCGTTATAGCCCTAGGATCCATATATGATGCCCTAGTTGGTTTTAAAGACGATTGCTCATCAATATTCTCCTGGCTTTTATCATGTTCGTGCTCAACCGGTAATGAAGCAGGCGGCATTGTTGGTGTACTGCCTTTATCTTTTGACAAACTAATAGGCAGGAGATTGGTCAAACTCGCTGAGAATCTCATCGCTCGTGACTTTTTCAGCGTGGTGGATGGTGTAGGTGAAGACCTACTTGAAGTCACGTCAGGAACACTTCGTGTTGTCATAGAAGATATTCCATTGACTGACGACATCTGTGATAGGCCTAATTTTCCTAATGAGGCTGATGAAGATGAGTTAATAGAGTCTACTGACTCTGTGGATGAGTCCGACGAAGTAGAAATGGTAGATGATGACTTTGGGCGAATTTGCTTTAGGGTCCTCGACCACCGGGGACGTATCTTCTCTATTTCACGGTTGTCCTCTGTTTGCAAATGAAAATCGTTTCCTTGGTCCCTACAAATGCTTTGGTAGTCGAAATTTGATGGAGATAAATCAAAGTCTGATCCAAACCCTTGGCATAGACTCAATGCAAAATCCTTTGTGGCATCATTATCCTCGCCACTATCCCTGCGGTCTTGAGTTTGGTGCTCTTCATTATCCTTATCGTCAGTGTGGTCTCGATCCTCTTGAACACTTGAATGAAGCGCATCAATAACTGATTGATCTGACACATCTATTGGCAGCTGGTGAGATTCTGTTTCCGATAAGTGACTCAAAGGCTCGACCTGAAAAGGGGCAAGCATATCTAAAGAGAAGAGTTATTTATTGAGTTTATCAGTGAGGCACGAGTTATAGGAGATGGCATACGATGTTGATGGTGTCAGCTGTGTCAAAAATACAAAGATACATTTTATAGTTTCACTGCTGTCTCTCCTTCCTCTTCTCTTGATTACTCAACAGTCATCGCTCAAGTTTAGAGATATTTTATCCCATTGGGTGTCTGTTCCTTGTACTACCGCTGTTGTAACAGCTTCTTACCTCTAGTAGCGTAAAATAGCCGGCCCTTCCAGCTTGTCCGATAGCTCTCCATGTCCGAATAGGCTGCGCTCTGTTCATTAACAGACGCCAGTGAGAGGACGGGGTTAGAGGATTGAGAGCCTATTGGCAGATCTAGGCAGGATGTTGTTGGCTTTGAGGGTGTCGGTGAAGATGACATATCTAGGAAAGTTGCAGCCTTCAAATTCGTAAGGGTGGTAGGCGAGACGATAATGGGAGCGTCTGAATAAGGCAGTGGCGTGCATACGAATGGTGCTGGCATTGTTAAAGGCAAAGGCCCGCTGATTGGCCCAATAGCTCTAGCTTTGCCCGAGGAGCCCTTGGAACTGTGGCTCCGTTTCTTTTGCTGCTTCTTGGAGGACCCTCCAAGACCGGATCTCCACTTCCGGATGTGGCTAATTGGGGAAGTTGTGGTGGAAGAGGGCTCGAACTCAGTTGAAACAGCTGTACTCATGGAAGATGGCGTTGATCCGAGTGTGTTTGGTTTGGAGAGAGGTTTTTGGTACGCATCCTGAATTGATTGCAAGGGTATAGCCCCATCTTTGTTATCCATAGATGTGGTGGGTTCTGTGGAGGTGGATGTTGTGTTTTTTGCTGTCAAAACAGTGACATATGCTGCTCTTGTATTGCATGGCTTGTTATCGTTTAGATTCATGGTGTGGTGGCCGTCGACCCTTACATTAAAGCTGCTACCGACACTACTGTTTTCTTCGGGGCGGTTGCAATGAAAGCTCGCGCTTGTATGGTAATCTGAGGGCAAGGTCTTATTCAAGATGGCGTTGCTGGGCACCGGATTAAAATCCATCTTGTTAGACTCAGCTGGCCGGACTACGTTCTCGAGCATAGTGACTGGTATGATTTCACTTGCTATGGCCTTATGCGCTCTTTTAGAATGTAGTGGCAACTATCTCAACGAGTCAAAGTTATTCGTCCCTATTCAGGTGTATTCTGAGATGTTAGCATAGGGAACGTAAAGCAATGAGCACTCAAAAACTGCTTTCTGCTTTTTTTTTTTTTTTTTTTTTTTTTTGACATATATGGATCCCAAAAAAGGATCGACAATAAAAAAAAAGAAAGAAAAGCGATGGAGTCGAATGTATTATCAAGGCAAATCCAATATCCCAATGCTATGCACAAGGTTATGGTTCAATCATTACATTAATTTGGGATGTTTGGATGCACAATCAATGCACACCATGGGAGAAGAATAAATGAGGGAGCCGAACGTCTTTCTCACGGCCTCTGGCGTGCATGCATGAAAATGTGCATATTCATCCACACGCATGACTAACCACCAGACACAGAATATTGTGCCTGAAGCGGATACAAAAGGAGAGTGAATCTTTTCGCGTGTTGGCAGTCGTGAGACACGAGAGTCCAGAGAGACAGACACATTGGGCGGGGGAAAGGGGCATACATTTTCAATTAGGGAATAAAGGGTTTCTTATAACTGCAAAAACTTGTCAAGCTGAACACATTGTTTTTGGTACATATAACTCGTATAGCTGAGATGGGAGCAAAGGATTAAGGAAAAGGCAAAATGAGGGAGAGAATCATGTCCCACTTCCACCGTGGCCCCGCACCAATAGTATGCGTGGTGTAGCGCTATTGAATAATCCATCAGATCCCAAAACTTCCAATTACGCGCTCCCACCCCAAATTAAGAGTTAAACCCGCATGAGGGGAAACAATATCGATTGACGCACAGGACACAATCTTAGTCTAAGCAATGTATTATCGTGTAACAATGGCGGAGTTAAACTCTTACCAAAAGAAGCAATCAGAATCTGGAACAGATTAGGAATGAAAGCGAATTAAATTGGAATGAGAAGAAAAAGGGTTCATGAAATGACAAGGAGAGAATGTAATCGATGAAATACAAAATAATAAAAAAGAAAGAGAGAGAGGGAAAGGGGCTTACGAGAGCAGCCAGGAGAAATGGAGCACAAGTATGAGAGGAGCGAAAGATAGCATGGGCGAGAGAAAGTGAGAAGAGAATGAGGTAGGGCACAGGAAATGCGAGGGAAAGTAGAGGTAGAGGCAGGGACCCTATGCTCAAAAATAGAAAGGGGAGAGAGCGAGAGCGATAAATGAAATAGTGATTTAAAAATATAATACAAAAATATAAAAGTACATGTATACCAAAAAAAAAAAAAGAAAAAAAAAAAAAAACGGTTCATCTGATGCTGATGGCGCCAGGACGGCGCAAAGAGCCGTGGGGTGAAGAAAAGGGGAAAGGAGATGTCGAATCATGAAAATGAAAGGAATGTGAGATGCATAATAAGAGAGAGCTTGGGCAAACGAGCAGGAGAAATGAGCGGAAGGGAGACCAGGAGATGTGCAATTGCTCTTTTTTTTTTTTTTTTAGCTGTTGACCTACAGTACACAAAAAGAGCTGAAGTGCTAAAGTTGGACTGAGATATAAGCAAAGATACACGAGAAGGCAATAGAAAGAGGTATGGCAAAGTTGGTACCATCTCAGGGAAAGAATGGATAAATGTTTATTGAACTCCTTGAAAGAGATTTCTAGTCAAGAAACACATAACCGAGCAGAAAACCAAACAACTAAAAAAAAAAAAAAAAAAAAAAAAAAAAATCAGGGAATAGCAGTTTATAGTGACAGCGAAGGCGACATTGAGGTTCGATACAACCCTAAAGACTTCCCACTTACATGCACCGTAGTTCTTCAATATCGTTCTGATGGCGTAGGCCACACAAGTCTCTTCTACTTAGTTTGTTTCGCAGCAAGTCATACAATACGATAATTGAAAGGAAAAGCAGACAAATGCACAATGCCCTGATTGCAAATTGGTATTGTATCTTATTCATAGTATACATATATCCCTAGCTAGCTAGTTAATCGGCTATCCACTGAGAAATTGCGAAATCGTGTACTGATAGAGATTGTGCAGAAAGTATGATGGACAGAGCAATGGTTTTCACCCAGTAAAGAAGGAGTTTTAGGATACTGATATGCCTTACTACGATTATTTTATTACTGCCAAAGATATGGTCAGGACATCTACTGGATATGCTCATAACATACTTGAAGCTAGGCAGCCAATAGCTATCAATAGAGAACCTATGGGAGGTGCCTATGATTTAGGCATGAATCATCTCGAAGGTTTTCTACTACTGTAGAAGAAAAGAGGGGGAAAAGTAGACTCTATGCCTATGTATAGTAGCCTCAAGAGTTATAAATCCTGTCCACATCGTTGGATTCGGAGACATGGTTCCAATGGCTCTTATCTTGTTCACCATAATGAGCTAGCCATGTACCCATGTTGTGCACTGTTCATTGCAGCGCTGAACTCGTGCTTCAATCTAACATGTAGGATATTTCGGCTCGCTACAACCTTATTTCGTCGGCCATCCTGTGCAACCGGCTCGTTATTTTGCCGTCTGCCTTCACATTATTCTGTACGCTCCGTTCTACTCTCTTTTAGTACGTTCCACGCCTCCGTTCCACTACATCCTCATTCTCCCAGGATTATATTTCGACTCGCAATAGTTCATCCAGTGAAAAACATATCACCTTTTTCTTCTTTTACTTTACAGAGTCAAACCGCAATGAGTGCCACGAATGTCCTGCCATCACTTTTTCAAGTAAAAATTGGTGACTATGATACTCTGGAAAAGTCTTTTGAACTTAGGAACGGGATCAACCTAAGGGCCAAGCATTGGAAAACAGAAAGCAGGGATGCCAAAGCAAGAGATTGTCGTCGCTTCCTTGCTCTCCATGGATTCCTAGATAATGCGAGCTCGTTTGACTTGTAAATTACAAAAATAGATGAACGACGAGTAATGTGGAATGTATGAATCTGCCCTCTTATTTTCCGATTATTTTTTTTTTCATTCCACTGCAACTACAATAGACTTGCCCCGTAAGTTCAATTACATGTCAAATGCAATTACAATATCCAAAAGTGAGACTGAGAGAAACAAGGATCTTTATTCAAATGTTTGCTTCAACAATTCAAAATTGTCAATATGAACTGATAGTCTGCTTTTAAAGCAACTTGGACCTGAACCTGTCGAGATCGTGGCCCTGGACCTTGCAGGACATGGTCTGTCATCACACCGTACAACGGAAGACTATGCTCTCTGGCGCTATGTAGAAGATGCAGATCAAGTTGTAGAGCAATTGGGATGGCAAAGGCATGGTATTATTGGCCATTCTATGGGTGGTGCTATCTCCACCATTTATGCTGGTTTATATGAATCAAGGTAAGGCCAACAATCAATGAGGCAGTTTTTTTTTTTTTTTTTTTTTTTTTTTTTGTTGATTAAAGATAATCACTTTTAATAACTACATATCGGCTTGAACTAGATTGACACTTTGTATCCTTCTCGATAATTTTGGACCACTGACGCGAGATGTGGAAGACCAACCGCAACATCTCTTGGAGCATATCCAAGAAAAAAAAGCCTTAGCCACCAAGCGATTACCCTTCCACCCGACTATTGAATCTGCTTGCAGGGCCAGGAGCCAAGGTACTTATGGGATCCAACCAGAATTCGCTCGTAACTTGATGCCCAGAGGTTTGCGCCCTATAGAGCGCACGTTAGATGACGGCACTGTTGCACAAGGATGGACTTGGACCACTGACCGATTCCTCACGATCCGTAGTCCACAATCATTATCAGAAGCATACGTAAAAGCATTCATGAGCCGGATCTGTTGCCCTGTCCTTGCTGTGTTGGCAGAAGGCGGACTGCTACCACTGACGAAGGTTAGCGACGAGCGAGAGGGATGGATCACAAAAGGCAAAGTCACCATCAAGGGTGTTCCTGGGAACCATTCTGTCCACATGGAGGACGCCTCTATGGTGGCAGAAAGCATATCAAGCTGGGTGCTTGAACAGAATGTTGGTGAAATTGCTCGTCTCTGACAGAAAATGATCAACACCTTCTTTCTCCAAGACGAATAGACTATTAGAAAATATATCGCCATAGAATAAAATCATAAGCCCCTTTTTTGGACATGAGTAATTCTAGGGTCATGTATCCCTAACAAGCAGGGGCAGACGAGGTACAAGCAGTGCATCATAGTCCTCGCCAAAGTCATGAACAAATATATTTTTTAAATACGCATTTTGAATAAATATTGGAAAAAAAAAAATTACGTACAAAGCCATAAATTTTTTGAATACATTGAATGAATTAGAAACAGTGGCCACCAAATCAATTTAATTATCGTTTTTGATTAGAAAATATAAGCAAACAAAACTCGATCATCTATTCATCCCAACCTCATTACGTCCTCCAGTATACAATAAAATGTCTTCTGCCAACTATGTTATCAATAACCTTCTTCCCTACAATGGCCTGAGTGGTTGGTACAGTGAGGGAACTACAGCGTTTTTAATTGTTTTATCCATTTTAAAAAAACATTTATCCATTTTCAATTTGCATTGCTCCGATGGGAAATAAGCTTTATCCATTTAAGCTAATAAAATTATCCTATAAGTTATCCGAATGTGTCTGAAATATTATCCATTTTTTCAAACATAATAACCGAACCGACTGTAACAAATATCCAAACACCATGTCCTTTTCCATGTCCCACAAAAGTCATGGTTAATTCCGCATGACCACTTGGACAAAATTTGCAAACACTTGGATAAATTTCTCAGCCCTTTTCGGCCAACTTTTTAACTTACCTTTGGATAAATTTTTTTATTCATTGGAACAATTTTAAAAAAAAACCGATAAAGTTTATTTTAAAATGGATAAAACAATTAAAAACGCTGTATCAATCAAACGTTTTCAGGCGCGCCACCTAGAAGATCCCCCCGAACACACGCCACTCAATATCTCCCCAACTAGATCTCCCGCAGAGTATCAGTGGACCTCCTCTACTAAGGTCGGATCAATGTCCAATGCTGTTGATATAAATGCATTCTATTCAGATACGGCCACAGAGATACAGCGGGACAATGCATTTAGACGCACTAAAGCGACGATTACTCGGAACGAATACGTTATGATGGCCCATACGTTCAAAGCTATATCTGCAGCACTGCCAGAAGACCAAAATTGGTTTATGAAGACAGACGATAGAGCTAAGAACCCTACTGGTGTGGGAAGAAAAACTTGTTTGACAGCACTTAAATTTGCAAATACAGGCATCCTCGACACTACAGGACATGGAAGAATTGGACGACCCAAAAAAGAAGTGGATCAAGATCTGAGCTCCAAGGTGATGGACATTATAGTGGAAACAAACAAGAGCGGGTCACCTAATTCTGCAGCTTTAGTGGCAAATCAACTAAAGGAGGACTTTGGAATCGAGAGATCAGCAAGGTCAATAACTCGGGACCTCCGTAAAATGGGGTTATATTGGGGCAAAGGGATCCGACAAAACTTCTTGCATGACTCCAAGGAGAATGTCGTGTTCCGGGCAATTTACACGAAGCGCCGTCTTAAAAATTTAAAACTTGTAGACGGCAATTGGGTGCCTAGAATGCCGGAGGTCTTCTTGGATGAATCGTATTGCCACATTGACCACGCTGCATCAAAACGTTGGGTAGAAAGTCGCGGTGGTACTGTAAATGATGCAGGAAGGAAACCTATTATGGTTATATTTGCAGCATTTGTTGTTTATTATGATGAAACCACCAAAAAAAGTCGAAAGCAAATTTGTCAAGGACAGCGTGTATGTCTGGCCGTCAAAAAAAACCTCAGTCAAAAAAAGGTCAAGAACAGGAGGCTGAGCTGTGGGTTGATGTCCCAGAAGAGATCAGGAATGTAGGGGCTGTGGCAACAGATCATGACTCTCATGGAAACTTCAACGCCAGTCACCCGGCTTTGTAAAAACCTCAATGAGATGGGTCTTGGCCCTTGTTAGATCCATCTTGATGGCGCCTCATATCACTTCCATAGGAAAAACAAAAAGCCAACTAAGAGCGACACTGTGAAAACTATCAGAGACTGACTTGTGGGAAAGGACATTGTTATCCCAGCAAGGGAAAATGGGAAAGCACTGAACAAAGAGGAGCTTTTGAAAATGGTTAACGCCCTTCCCGACGAGTCGTACTTTTCTATCAGCAAGATAGCTCAGGTGAACGGCGGCCATGAGATTCTCAAGGCTCCTCCCTACCATTGTGAGTTGCAGCCTACTGAGAAGATCTGGGCCGTCGTAAAAAACATAATTGCTGCAAGGGTAAGAACGACAATGACGCCTCTTTTGCTGAAGAAATGGCTTCTCAGCTTGTTTTCTCAGATACCATGTAGAGTCTTTTACTCTGTGTGGAAGAGGTCTGTGAAAGTTTGTATGATGTACTATAACCAGAGAAGTCAGGTACAAGAAGATACGCCAGATGATCTTTGATGAAGAGGAAACTATTGAGAACTTTGATGATATTATCTTGATTGACAGCGGCGAATGGGATATGGGACTCCTTAGAATGGTAAGCCAAGAGCAAGCTGAGGCTGTCACGCTGGGTCCTGAGATAGTTGTAGATCTTATGCCAGATACTCGAAGCATGTTTGATATGGTGGAGGATAGCGAGTCTGAGGATGTGCCTCTTATCAATAGAAAACGCTCTCGTAAAAATTAAAATTTTGAGTACAGTACCAATTTTTACTGAAAATTTACTGATGTTTCAGGAAGCCTTGTGCCTAATTCTCCGTATACGCACGAGCAAACCAAAACCATACTGATGGCTCCCCATATATGCAGATGGAAAGGTTGTCAGGGACAGCGGAACATGAGACCCAACTTCTATCAAGTATCCAACATGCTGCCATGATTAAAAACGAATCACCTTCATTTCATACTGATAGACATATTTTTCAAGAGTTTTTTTTTTTTTTTTTTTTTTTTTTTTTGCAGACACAGTGTACATGTTCTGAACAACGCGGTGTCCCTGACAACCTTTCCATCTGCATAAATGGGGAGTCATCAGTATGGCTTTGGCTTGCTCGTGCGTATACGGAGAATTAGGCACAAGGCCTCCTGAAACATCAGTAAAATTTCAGTAAAAATCGGTAAGCACCTACTGAAATTTACTTTTTTTTTTTTTACCGATGTTTAAGTAAAAAAAATAAGTAAAAATTTACTGAAAAAAAACTTCAATACATCAGTACGATACACTGGATACAAGGAAGAGTATTACACCCCATGACATTTCTTTGTGGGCTTGTTGGAGGAATCGCAAGGAAACTCCTGTCTGAATTTTTTGCACAAAAAGCAAAAAAGAAGGCTTTATGTACGTTCTGCGATGCTCATTGGCTAGATCCACATTTAATTTAAAATTTATATTCTAAAAGCGCAGGTCTATTGGCTGATTTCTACTTGTCTTCCTCTCACTCGGCATTTTCCAATTTAAAATCCACCTTTTTACATTTTATGCAAAAAACTGAGACAGGAGTGTATCTTTTTCTTTTGATCAGTCGCGAAGACATCAGTTGAGGTGACATCAGTCGATATCATTAGAAAAAAGAAAAACACGAGAAAGGCAGAGAGCGAGAGAAATAATCGTTTGACTGATCACTTCACAATACAAGTGATGAATGATCGAATTGGGGGTTTTTTTATGCTCATAGTCATATCCATTTTCATCCTGCATAAGACCCCTTTGTCCTCCTTTTCGCTTGAATAAAAACCGAGCCTCAAGTCTTTCTCCACCTCGCTTTCTTACTTTCTCTTAACCATTTACTGTATTCTACATCCCTTTATTCTTCGCCGTAAAAAAAAAAAAAAAAAAAAAACTCAAATATCATATCACAGTACGATAAGAGTCAGAAACATCTTCCAACAATGGATCCCATGGACTTGCTTTTAGCCTTTGTCCCTCAAAGCATTATCGAGTGCCTACCTCTTGTTCTTGCAACTGTGATCTATGAGCTCCAAATCCTCAACTATCTGTTCTTTGATCATCCAATTCGCCCTCTTCCGCCGGACCCATCACTTTCATCCGTCGCATTCTTGCCCTGGGAAATTCCCACAAAAACTAGGACATGGCAGGGGATCTTTACCGCCTGGACTTGCAGTGTCATTTGGTTTTTTTCAGAGCTTACCCTCAATCTTTTGGATGTCGTACCAAATAGGGTAACTGATCAAGAAATTACGAACCGAGGGATTTCTGTAAAGTCTAAGAATTTGAATCAGCGACTTGAACATCAGCAACAACCGCAGCATTTACAATGGCGACAATATTACGCGATGCAGCTGAACTGCCAAGAGCAATGTGATTATCCGTATTTGAGCACTACCCAACGTAAAATAGCCTCGAAAGAAACGCCTGCTATCCCCTCCACTGAACGAGTGGTCGCAATGGCCCAAGAAGAGAGAGCGAAGCCGTGTCCAAAAGGATATGTGATTGAACAAGATTTTGGAGAGACTGTGACTACAGGATCAGCAACGTTGGTTGAAAAAATTGGTCTTAACAGTGAAGTGAGAAATGAGCGAAGCAAGAGGGACGTTATATTGACTACTGATAAGAATTCATTCGTCGCCACGAGAAAAGCTGGCCTTGTCGCTGATAATACCGATAAAGATACTCGAGAGGACAAGTTAACGATGATAAAGAAAGATGAGGGCACTATAAAAAATAAGCACTGCACTATACAGGAGGATATTCATACTACCATTGCTGAAGAAGTCCAAGTTCCGCAACATAGTCATGTCTCGGAAGGAGTGAAACTTTTCGAAGAGCCCTTCGCAGAGTCAAATCAAGTTGAACAGCGGGGATCTTCCGAAGAGTATACTGTAAACAAGGACACAGCGATCTCAAACAATAGCTCGAATTCATTTGGAACTTCATGTATGACAAGAGGTAGCCTCCTGCTATACAAGGAAGATGATTCAGAACTTGAGTATTCGCCTGTTTGCGGAGTGGAAGACGTCCATCCCAAGTCTTTTGCTGATATCAAGGATGACATTTTGATCCACGCTCGCAGTCGTCTAGATTCACCTGAGCGAGCAACACCTACATTCAACGCAGTGGATACCCTATCATATACCGGTACCCAACAATCGTTTAGCCCGACAGGTCACGTGGAGGGCGTATCTTGCATAGACTTTAGGAAACCAGGGATCCACGAACAGGTTTTTATTTCACGGTCACGGTACCAAAGCTCGACATCGTCTATCACTGAGCCAATCATCATCTCACCTACAATTGCAGCCCAAATGTATTCTTTTCACTCTGAAGACACCAGCGACCAGACATCGTCAACTGCACCTTCGGAGTATGCAGGTGAAACTTCAAAGAAAAAGAAAAAAAACAAAAAAAAGGAGAAAAGAAGTAAGAAACGTCAAGTGAATCTAACGAACAGTGGTAGCAACGATGATATCGGTAGCAACACCTCTGTTAGACCAACAGTTGACTTGAGCACAATCACCAGTAGAGCCGTGGAGCAAGAATTCGCGCCAAAGGTTAGGAATGGCAACATTAAAGCTGAATCAGACGCGATGTTTGCTGATGTAGACTCAGGCAAGGATATCGGAGCAGCCAAGACATCCGAGTAGGCAGCCTTGTGAATATAAAATAGTAATATGTATTTGCATATTGCTTTGATCTATAGGTGCACCCGTTTATATTTGGACGATCATCATTGTATCTTTTTTCGACCTCCCTCTCTTTTTATATCGTCTTTGCCATCTCGACAACCGCATCCGGTTCCATAATATCTGGTCAATAAATCTAAGCTTTAATCTGCCATCATTTCATCTTAACTTAAAATTGGCCTGTATCAAATCCTTTTACAGAAGAAGTAGATCAACTCTACATCAGCCAAAGAAAACAGCAATCTTGTTGAAGAAGAGTATGGCTGTGGAGAAAGTATATATCAAAGAAGAGCAGTTGGCTTCTGGCATGGACTGAGTACATCTTGCACAAAGCCAAAGAGAAAGATGCATAACTTTATGTTACTTCATTTGTTCCACATTTTCGCATACATACAATTATATCTCTAAATTTGTGTTTTAATATAGTTTGGCCGAGTTTTTACAGACGTGAAGAACACGCAACAAAGAAAAGAAAAAGAGGAAAGGAGAAAACAAAATTGATACTTGAGCAAAAACAATAAAAGAAAAGTGCAAACTAATAAGATTTACATGGTATATTAACAGAGGAACAAGCGGAGTTATTAAAAAATTTAGGAGGTACGAGATATTAGTGGCGAAGACTTGAAATAAGCAAAAAAAAAAAAAAAAAAAAAAAGATGCATCAACGAATAAACCAAATTAAAAAGTGTAAAATAAATATATAAAATGCCTTCAGGAATATCGATCATCCAGCAACGCCCCATAGCTTCAAATTGCCATCAATTCCAGCACTGGCACTTGCCAACACGACTGACTTTTCACCATCGAGAGCTGTCGTAGTACAAGCAAGTGCAGTCACGGTTGCTCCTGGATGCGCCTGTGAATTCGTTAATGTGGGATTTTCCATATATCCACCCGCATTGAATTTCCAAATCCAGATCTTCTCATACTCCCCATAAACCAGTCGAGTGACCGCACTTTGAGCTTGTGCTAAAGATGAGCTTGCGACCCCTGATGCAGCGACATTGTTGCTTCTTGGGATGCTCTTTAGAAAGGCACAGCTTTGTATCTTTGCCGACTGGTGCGACCTGAGAACACGCCATTGCGTCGTTTCCCATACACAAATTTGATCAGCTGACGCTGATACTAAATAGTTGCCTTGTGAAGACCAATCGATTGTCAAAATCGGATTGCTATGGGTAGTGCTGATGGCTTGATGTTTTTTATCGTCTACCTGAACAATATAAAGCGTTCCACCTATTGCGACTGCGACAATATTCGAATTATGTGGATGATATCGAACTGGACTAGGAGAAGACACCGACTTGGTAGACTATGAAGAAACCAACAAAAATTTTAATGAACAAATAGAAACTGAGGACCTCGTTTAAAAAAAGAGAGGCTTACCATCTTCATCGACTGTTCACACTGCCCTGTCGTAAAGTCCCACAAACGAAGCTCGCCTTCTAAATCACAAGACATACAATGATTGCTCCCTGGGCTCGGGCTGAAATCCACGGATGTGACCGTAGTGTTGTGTCCTTTAAGAATCTGAATTAACTTGACTGTCGAAGCATTTGCTTGAGTAACAGATGACAGATCCCAGATACGTACAGTCTTATCGTGAGATGTTGTCCCCAAGATCAGTCTGTCATCATGGCTAAAGCGTGCGTAAGTGATATGGGCTGTATGACCATCTGATCCAGGATCGATTGTGTACTTGAGCTTTTTGTTGATCACAGACCAGATCAATACCTTGCGGTCACTTCCTCCGCTGGCCAGCCACTCCCCATTAAACGAAAAGGCGCAGGCATTAACTTTCCCCCCGTGACCCTCCAAACTTCCAAACAACTGCAGCTGTGAATCATGCGCAGATGACAACTGTAGGTCTGATTGATACATGAAAATAAGCAGAAAGTGGCTCATTCAGGTCAGCAAACAACTGGCACCAAATGACATCTCTAGCTTATCGCATAACCTAATTTTTGCATAGCCTTAAAATGGAATAAACAAATCAAAGGAAATGCCACACACCAGTCTCGCTTCATCACGAACCTTCGCTCCTGCTCAAATTAAACATATTAGCACCATATCCTTCTATACCCATGCCATCCATCTGTAGCCCATCATTGTCAATGATGTCCTCAAATCCACTGCTATATGTGAGCTGGATCGGCTTTATCTCCTCTACGGCCCCCGTGTTCATCGACATATTCTCCAACCCTGCAGAAACTGGGGAAATGATTGTAGCTGACGTCGTAGACTGCGACGCAAGACTTGGAGATCCCACAAAGTCCTAAAATAAATAGATAAATAAATAAACGAGTGAATATATGAATACGAATAAAAAACAAAACTATAAAAAGCCTCTATTTCGTTCACTATCCAAGTAGCCTAGGGTTTTTGCTATAATTCTCTTGAGTTCGAACTCACCTCACCAAGTTGCTGTTGCGCCATCATGGAGGACTGTCGCTGTAAATGATGCTTTACGTTTTCCGCTGCTGCTGCTGCTCCCTGGGCCTGTTGGCGACTCCACTGCATAGCTTGCTGCTGTTTCTTTTGCACTTCCTGTTGAGCATGAAGCTGCTGTTGCGTCGCTCGAGCACGCACGGTTGGTGATCCAGTGTTCATGGGCGTGGTTGGATTACTGGTGTTACTAGGTGATTGCATCGAGTTGATACGGTCTCGGATAGCCTGGCTTGTAGGGGACGACACATTTTGATGATTTACATCCTGACCGAGGGTGGTTCCAGGAGCACCCGTGAGTACATCAACCTGAGCATGTAAACCATTAGGTACACTGTTTTGAGGAATTGGACTTTGTACACTCTTGATTTGGGTAGTATCTTGTGGTGTTTGTGGACCAGGCGGTACCTGCTGCTGTGACTGTTGTTGCTGGGCTTGCTGCTGGACTTGTTGCTGAGCTTGTTGCTGAGCTTGTTGTTGTTGTACATACAATTGCTGCTGTTGTTGCGCTTGTTGCTGAGCCTGCTGTAATTGGTAGTGCATTTGCATATGCTGTATACGCGCTTGCTGCGCTTGCTGCGCTTGTTGTAAATGACGGGTCTGAAATTGTGGCGCCATCCCACTCGCTGGGTTTCCCACCGTAGACTGAATGGTTGTTGGAACAGCAGCACCCATAATCGGGCTCACGCCTGGCCGTACCGGAGCGTTCGCCATAACAGGGCGAATGTGCGTATTCATTGCACCCACGGCTGCCAGGTGTTGCTGATGTTGTGCTTGTTGAGCACGCAGTTGCATTTGCATTTGCATTGTCAACTGCTGGTGTTGGAGTTGCTGTTGCTGAATTTGCTGAGCTTGTTGCTGTTGTTGCAATTGTTGCTGCTGCTGAGGCTGAGCTTGAGTTTGGGGTTGAGACAGAGCCTGAGCTGGGACCTGTGGCTGTGGTTGTGTCTGTGATTGGAGTGAGGGCTGACCTGTATGCTGTGCAGTTTGCTGCTGCACTTGCGTATGCTGTGTCTGCTGTTGTGAATGGAGCTGTTGAATATTTGTTATATTAGGACTACTAAATCCGTTGGTGGCAGGCGTAGCTGGCATACTGAATTGTGTTCCTGGTGTAGCTGCAGGAGTAGTAGAATCTATAGTAGGATCTACTGACTGTTCTTTCTTGACGCCTTTCTTTCTTCTATTCCCTTTGGTTGGTATCTCTGATGCAACTGTAACAAGCTGCGCGTTAGAGGTTGTGGGTGATCCAATCATATTAGGCGAGCCTACATTGGCAGCCATTAGTGCAGCATTGTGCTGCAATGGTGTTGCATGAGTCACCTGGCTAATGACTGGCGAAAATCCTCCTATTGAATTGTTTCGGATTCGTTTACGATCCTGAGGAGAATCCATCAGAGAATCTACCCCGTTAGGTCCAGGAGTTGCGTGCTCCGCTGGCTATGTAAGGTGATCGAATTCAGTTATAAGAACAAGATTCAGTCGCTTCATTTAAAGTTCATTTCATGCAATATCCAAAATATGATGTATGCGCATGTCCATACCTGAGACGTCCCCGTATTTCTTGCCCCAGTCATTTGCTGCATCTGCATTAAATACTGTTGTGGATGGGTTTTTTGGCGGTGCAACAGCATATTATGCTGATCCAAAGTCTGTCCTTGTATCTGTGGAGTCATTGGGTTTGATTGTGTCTGAGGTTGCTGAGACTGCTGTTGCTGCAGAAGCTGCTGCTGTTGTAGAAATTGTTGATGTTTTGATAACATATTCTTGGGAACCGGACTCATCATCGCCCTGAGTTTAAGTGCAATTGATTATTCAATTAATAAGTTAATATATTTGACGGACTATGAGTATAGCTGATGAAATATAAAAAAAAAGAAAAAGGCTGCCTTACGACCCACGTGCTTGTTGAGCTTTCTGGATTTGGTTGGCAATTTGTACCTATAAATTGAATGTCATGAATTTTAAGCAGGTTAGTATTTATCAAAAACAGCATAAGCTTCCAATCAACACATGTTTTTACTTACAGAGTCGCTTGGAGTCGCTTGACCTGTAGCCTGCGCGGCCGCAAACTGCGGAGAGGCATGGATACCTATAATCCCTGTCTGCGACAACTGCTGCTGATGGTGTTGGGAGAACGATGGCTGCATATGAGCGACGTGCGGTGACTGCATCGTATTTCCGATATGTTGCGGTTGTTGGGCCTGCTGACTATGAAGGCCTTGCTGGGCTTGCGGTTGCTTCTGATGTAGAAGCTGTTGTTGCTGTTGAAGTTGTTGCTGTTGTAGCTGTTGTTGTTGAAGTTGCTGAATTCGCTGTTGCTGGAGTTGTTGCTGTTGGAACTGTTGCTGCTGAAGCTGTTGGAGTTGTTGCTGCTGAAGCTGCTGCTGATGTTGGAGCTGCTGCTGTTGTTGGAGCTGCTGTTGCTGGAGCTGCTGTTGTTGAGGCTGAGATTGTGCTTGTACCTGATGCTGCTGTTGTTGGATTGGCTGCTGCTGTTGCTGTTGTTGTTGTTGTTGTTGTGCCGCTTGTTGTTGTTGTGCTGCTTGTTGCTGCGCTTGCTGTTGTTGCGCTTGTTGTTGCTGTGCTTGCTGTTGTTGTGCTGCTTGTTGCTGCGCTTGCTGTTGTTGCGCTTGTTGTTGTTGTGCTGCTTGTTGCTGCGCTTGCTGTTGTTGCGCTTGCTGTTGTTGTGCTTGCTGTTGCTGTGCTTGCTGTTGTTGTGCTTGCTGTTGTTGTGCTTGCTGTTGCGCTTGCTGTTGCGCTTGCTGTTGCGCTTGCTGTTGTTGCACTTGTTGTTGCACTTGTTGTTGCACTTGTTGTTGCACTTGTTGTTGCACTTGTTGTTGCACTTGTTGTTGCGCTTGTTGCTGTTGTAGTAGTTGCTGTTGCTGTAGTTGCTGCTGCTGTTGCTGTAATTGATGTTGCTGTAGTTGATACAGCTGTTGATTTTGCGCTTGCTGTGCTTGTTGAGTTTGCGAGACACCCCGCATTTGAAGTGGCATTTGTGCTAGTGGCCGTACCAGCTGGCGATTCAGGGGATTAAGCTAGAAAAAGAGGAGCAGTTAGACAATCTTATGGCATACAGATGCTAATGTAATTTTGCCAACCAAGCACTACTAACATCGATTTGCTTACATCCATGTATGTGACAGCATCCTTGCTTGCAGTCCCGAGTTGGGCTTGGCCAGCGCTCCAACAGTCCCAGAACACAACAAACCACTCATATAAAAATCCTTCTTGGGTATCAAAAGGAACTTTGCGGTCTGATCCTAGCTGAGCATCTGTGGCGAATGCATCTGCGGATGCATGGAAGTTGCGCTTGACACAATAATCATAAATGAACAGACTTCATATGTCAAAGAGAGAATGAAGATAGGAAAAGGTTGCTGTTAGTCAGTCATAAATCATAATAATAAGCCGATCATCCCCACTGATTGCTAAGTTATCCTTGATGTCTTTGACAGATAACAAAGATGGTCCATATTCTCGTCATCAAAGCCCCCACAAGCTGCAGTGGGAAGACAAAGAATAATGCACAAACAAATCTACACACTGCTCTACACAAACATGAGGTTACTGTTGTCATCGACATCCTCTCCCCTACTGACTGATGTCTTCAACAATACTGACTGACTCTTGCTATCGTTGAGTTCTTCACCTTCATCTGTAGTGGTAGCATACAGGATCGGCCCTAATTGAGCCGTTAGTATTGCTCAAAAATACCACATCTCTGTGCTCAAAATATGCTCTCGCAGTTTGTAATTCTGTGTTGGTGCGTGCCAGAGATGAAACAGGCCCAACGACGGCAGCCCCTGGCCGTCAATTGCAGTGCCCTCTCTCTTGTCAAAACTCTCTTCGACCATCTCCTTCTTTCTACCCATTCACACTTGCTCCCACACGCTCCTTATGAGCCAGGTTCGGTTTGTATTTAATCTGACCACAGCAATCTATAATGGTGGTAATAAGGACAAGATACTCCCTTCAACACATCTATTCATCTATTGGTGACACCACGATCGAATTAAAGAGCTGGGCGTGAACGGTAAGCGCTCCACCTGACACCTGTCGCCATGGTGTACAGACCACCTGGCTCACACACCAAACAATCACTTCAGGATGCCAACGATGCTGAGCTGAGAGACCATTCCATCCATATTATTTTAGACTCCGTGATGACCCACTTCATTGCACGCTTGAAGTTAAGGAATAAAAATAAAAATAAAAATAAAAAATAAAAATAAAAAAAAATAAAAAAAAAAACGCGTATTATTGCTGCCATGGCTAATGCTGTTGCTGTTATTGCTTTGTTGAAATGCTGGACATTATCTATATCCCCAATCAATTTAGTCTTCTAAATGGATCCTCTTCCGTCAATGACAGTTACACCGAGATTATGTTTTATGAATCACTAATAAATGGACATGTCTGATCCTTTGTGTGGTCAACAGGGTATTGAGTAGGTGAAAATGGAGCATGCACAAGCTCCTGTACAATGAAGGTAAGAGTGTGAATAGAAAAGCGTTATTGTGTGCTTACTTTATCAAATGATCATTGTCCCAGCTACCTGGCTTCCTCTGCTGGGACTGTGCCATGGAGGAGTGAGGATGCAATGAGAATCCTGATGGGTAATAGTGGCGAGGGCGGCAAAGGAAGAGAAAGAGAGACAGAAGGAGGGTTGGAACTGCTGTGAAAGAAAAAAAAGAAAAAAAAAAAAAGTAATAGATGGATAGATGGCCTGGATGCTTTTTCCGCTTTTGAGCTGAGGAATATGTGAATACGATTCGTGAACGATGTACAACAGACTGACTCAGTCAGGATCTGCTATGAATGGTAGTAAGGAGAGAAAATTAGGTATACTTCGTGACAATGTACTTAAGAGAATGAGAACAAGAGAAAAAAAAGGAAGATGGTCTGGGACAAGGTGAAAATAAAAATAAGAGTAAGTGTTGTATTTTTTACATTTGTTGTAACCACAAAGAAGCCCTGTTTGCAGAGGGGAAAAAGAGGATGTCAAAAAAAAAAGAAAGAAAGGAACATTTGCTTCGTGCTTGTCAACTTTTTTTTTAAACACACCGAGAAATCAAAGATAGCAAACAGTGAGCTATTGGAGCCGGGCCTGACTTGAGCAAGACGACAACAGCAGTAAAGAAGAAGCCGTAGTGATGGTGGAAAGGGCGTCCACAATGAGGGATCGAGAGACGGAAAGGAAATATATAAAAAAGACACACATTCCTACAAAAGAAAGTGAGCATTTTGGTTCTCTTGCTTCCTGGGAGAGCCTGCTGCTCTGCCTTGATCTCTGTGTGTGCATACTAATTGTCTCCTGCCTCTCGGTCCTATTCATCATTGCGTCTTGATGATGAGCCTGGTACTCAAAGTATCAAAGGGTTCAAATGAAGCAACTTCTGATCCACAGCAATAATTTACATCCTCACTATCACTGTTTGCACCTTACTATGGACTTCAAGAACCAGTAGCGAGCCATGCGGAAAATGAAACTAGATTAGGCATATCAACGAAGAAGTAGATGCAAATAAATGAACCAGTGATCACCTTTTCCTACCACTCTCTTTGCGATTCAGATATAAATATCATCCATTCGTGTTGATGGATCTCTTTCTCTTCAGCTCTCTACTCACAAGATGAAGAAGAGCACAAGAACACAAATATTTGTAAGAATATGACACTGTGAAAGGTGGAGATGTTCATACCGCCAACGTAGTTTTAGAGGAAGAATGAAACCATTCCCAGCAAACTGGCATATCAAACTAAGAGAGAATGCACCTTACCATTATGAGCCCTAACATCTCATAGTGAATATGAATAGAGTCACCGAACTCGAGACCGTTGACATAACGGTCCTCATCTCAGTCCCTTTCTCAATATGCCCCAACCAACATGCCTCCGTTGCTGCCGTTACTCTTTGATAGATCTACTACTCGGGGTCCTTTGCATCTGCCTTCTTGAATATAAAAGTCGTCTGAGTAATTCCCCCAATATCTTGAGCATATTTGCTTTCATGCATTTTAGTGCTCAAAGCAGAGAGCAAAGTTAATCGGTATTAAACTAAAGCCGTGAGAAGCCGCTATCATCTTGACGAAATAGATAGCACAGCACCAGTTCTTGATATATTTACTCAAATAGACTCACAAGAGGTGCAATGCAAATGGAATATTCATAGCCGAACTGGATATATTGAACGAAATACCAACACAATGGAACAAAAAGAAGATTACTGGGTGTAACTAATGGCTCAAGAGTCTGCACTAGATTAAACAGAATTGGTAATGAATAGATAATTAAGAAATGACCCTGGCAGCTCTCAACCCTGCGAAAGTGAATGGTAAAGCCTGGACCAAGACCCAATTTCAATCAAGCAACCAGAACTATCCCTTCATCTGTCCTTGCAACTGAGGCGGACATTTTGCTTTGCAGCACCACGTCACAAGCAGACCCGCATCCAAGTAGAAAGTCTCGAAAGGCCAGATGTGGGAACGTAACGGTTCGCAACTCGAAGGGTGCCATATAGCTCGATCATGCTTACCACAACCGGTACCCACAAGGCTGCTCACGATTGATTCTATTAGCACGTCCATCGCTTCCTATCGCCTACCGCCGTCAGCGAAGTATGAACATTAAGCATATTGCTCTACTGTCTAAACTCGTACGCGTCTAGGACCAGCGCTCTGAGTATATATCGTTTCTTGGATGAGTATAGTTCTGCATATTCTAGAAAATCAAACCTTGACGAAGTTCTTAACAGTAACACATTTGGGGAAAGACCGGTGATGCTATTAAACGACCGCGATACAAGGAACAGTTCCGAGTACACACGAACTATGAAGCGAGAGGAAACCGGTAGCGCCTAGAGTTGACAATAAACGCTAACCTCAGCAATAGCTGGGGATATGGCCCCTTATGCCAATTGCAAGTGAAACTAAATGATGTCCTATGTCCTCATGATTATAAAGATTGCTTTTCTCCCCATGAATGAGCAAACCATATTTAACATCTTTACAGAAAGAAATAACCAAAGGAATGACCTTCTATTCTGACTGAACTTTGTTGCTTCTTGTAGTGTGAATCGAAAGTTCGTTGTTCATGCTGAGCATGTTGTTACATAATTGATCATCTTTGTCTATTCATTCTTGTACATACTATTCCATAGAGTGCTTGCTGCATGGCCGCGTTGGCCTTATTTTTGTCAGTGCTGGGTCCTTGTTGCGCTGGGAATCGACCTTGGGTGTGTGTTCACCACCATAGGAGCGACATGGGCAAATGATAGAGCGACCTTCTACTTGCAATAAACTTGTCACCATAGTCAATCAACATGCCTTCACCAACTGTTGCAGAGTAAAGGAAAGTTAGTGACCATGGTCAAACTAATAAGCCTGTCTTTGCAAATAAGGCTAATCCTTTTCTTACAGTACAACATTGTAATAAAAGTATTGGCCTTGGTTGCTCCGCCACTTCTGTCCCCAATGTCACCATCACTGATGTCAACCTTTGTACTTGCTTTAATGATCTTCAATATCTCATCAATTGTCCGTCTTACCCAACCTCCTTTCCTTGTTCTTTTTTATATTCTCATCCCCAGTACTAACATAATAGTACAAACATCGTTGCTCACGCTCTGGATGATTAGTCATTACTTGCATCTTTGTTTTTATTTTATTGCTCTTTCTGATGCGCCTCTAAATCCTGCCAGTCCTCCTTGATAAAATCACTTGCTCTCTCTGCAATCATAACAACTGGTGCACAGGTGTGGGCGCCAGGTATCTTCGGTATCACACTTGCATCAATCACCCTTAGCTTTTCTATACCATGTACGTTCAGTCGACTATCAACCACTGCCAACGGATCCGATGTAGGCCCCATACGGCAAGTGGATGTGGGGTGATAGATCGTATTACTTGTCTGTCGCACATATTGCTGGAGCTTGGCATCGTCGTGATCTGGAACAGCTTCCTCGCCTGGATAAATTTCCCGCCCTCCAACTTCGGGATCCTCGTTTAATCGACGACCGAGTTTACGCATGAACTTAATAGCCTCTGCCAGGACACGGACATCAAACGGATCCGAACAGTAATTGGGGTCAATTACTGTCTCCCATTCCGCTGTTGATGAACCGCTTGTTTGTTCCTTTGGCCGAATCGTGACAGTGCCGGAGGAGCAAGGGTGGAGCAGCACGGCGACCAGGGTATAATAGTTTTTGGTGTCAGTTGCCACTTCCTTTCCATGGCCTTTAAAGTAACCTGGAATAAATATAACTTCGATATGAGGCGAGTTTGGACCACTAGCTCGCTCCTTGTACGTTCCGTTGGCCTTTTCGCGCTCCACAAAGTCTGGAGCAATATCCTCCAGTCTCACGAAATTGGCAGCCTCGCCGACTTGGCAAGTCATAACGCCGGTGCCGTAGAGCTTGTAATTAAGGACCGATAACAGTACGCGAGGAAAGTTCATATCCCCATGAGTGACATGAGCACGAGACCTTGCTCGAAATACAACTTCCACACATAAATGATCCTCAAGGTTAATGCCTACTCCGGGGAGCGTATGGACATGAGGAATAGAGGGTTGACGAATTGGGCCAATCCCAGAGGCGAGAAGTAGATGTGGTGACCCAAATGCACCTGCGCAAAGAAGTACTTCCCTCGCAGCTAGAACACGTCGTTGAACTTTATGAATGGTAGCAACGTATTAATTATTTTTGCAAATATAGTGGGAATACATGTAAAAAAAAAAAAAAAAAAAAAAAAAAATAGCGGCCAAGTTCTACTCCTTACCATTTTTATGGTCCAAAAACTCAACTCCATAAGCCATTTTAACACCCCTCCGTGCCTGGGTAAGGATACGGCTGATGTTCGCACCGTAAACCACTCTGATTCTCCCCCTCGCACCTCCACCTGGAACAATTTGTTTGCCTTTGAGAAACGCTCTAGCTAATGAACTCCGGGTACCATCGCGCTGAATGAATGTTTGAATCCTATTCACGCCTAACGTCGTCCGACCATTGAAGTCCTTGTTGCGGGGCACACCTTCCATCATATTCACCTCGATGAACCTCTCAGAGGAACCATGAAGGTAATGAAAAGTGACTTGCCATGGCCCTTCTGTACCGTGGTACTCTGGCTCATAGGTCTCGTACTTTGCTTTGCGAATTCTTTTGGTCAATGGTCCCCTAGGGTGGGATGGCGGCAAATCTGGGTCATTAAACCCTTCCGACTTTTTAAAGTAGGGCAGGCATTCCTTGTAAGACCACCCGGGATTGCCTAGCGACTCCCATTCGTCGTAATCGCAAGATGCACCACGATGGTAAATCATAGCGTTAATAGAACTTGATCCACCTAGCATCTTGCCTCGAGGCTGCTTCATAACTCGCCCATCTGCATGGATCTGAGGAGTGGTTTTTAAGCACCAGTCTCTATCGGTATCGACGTGGTACATTAAAGTGACGGGGGTCATTGATGAGATAATGTCATCCGAGTAGCCAGCCTCGAGGACAAGGACATTGACCTTTGGGTCCTCCGCTAAACGATTAGCCACCACACAACCGGCACTACCACCTTTTAGAGACCATAGAAATTGTGAGAGATCTGCTTCGTTGCGGCAAATTGAGCGAGATGAACTGCAATTATATTCTTGCTTTTAAGCACATACCTCCGCAAACGATGTAGTCATATTGTTCTTGCGAGTCTTTAATATGATCCCATGGTCCTTTACCATCTTCGGCGAAGGTCGTAAAGGTAGAGTACTTGTTTAAGAGCGTGATTGAGGCCTGAGTTAGGGCTGCATTTGGTGCAAGTGCGAACATTGTTTCTGCGAAGTGTGTGAGTAGAGGAGTGAAAAAAAAAAAAAGAAAAAAAAGAAGAGAATAAATATTCAGAGATCGCTGTTCGCTCTTTTTGGTTATGTCTTTTCAAAAATGAATGTTTACTTGACAAAATACTTGTTATTGAAAGGGACTAACCAAAAAGAGCGAACAGCACAGATCTCTGATATCACGATCCCAAAAATGATCGAATTGGTTTGGCGACGTCCCACTACGTGATTGACTTGCAACAAGACTCGGGTCAAATTGGCCGCCAATCACCCGAGAGTATTCAAAAAATATAGGGATCTGATGAAGCGGACTACATAAGATAAAACTTGATAAACTTTACCATTGTCGGAACTTGCATTTTGCGGTTTAGCTGTTTAAAACCAATGTTTGGGCGATTGACTATTAGCAGGAAGCTCTGGCTTTATCGACTTTTTTTTTTAGAGGGCTTACTGCCCGCTGTCTCTCCAGCCCCACTTATTCCCTTCTTCTTCTCTTTATGCTGGCATTTTTTTATGGGGCCGAGGGGATAATAGGGATTGAGAAAAAAGGATTCGCTGCCACAGCATCGGCGGCTTGGATATGAGTCTGTGATTACGACTGTGCAACCAATTTTTTATATTGCCAACTTAAAAAAACTCGGTACACTTTTTGTTCCGCTTTTTGGCATCTGGCTACAACGTCGCTTATGCCCTACCAATGTGTCAATAAGTATGTCAATAAATGGGCCAAATCTTAAGGCTGGAGCGAATATAAAAAATTTGATTGTACATAAAACGGACAGTTAAAGTGTCTTTTTTTTCTGTACATGTAGAAACATAGCATATCTCGCAGTGACATCTGAATCCATTCCCTGATACTGTTGTTGTTGCTTGATAAGGATTCTGTTTCAAAACCAACTCCTACACATCAGTCCAAATGTGTTAAAAAGTCCTGTTTTCCTCAGCCAGTCAAAGCAGTGGAGAAGTCACGGGCTTGCGATTTTATTTTTATGTATAATATATTACAATGCATTACTCAGAATTGAGCCCCAGTGAGGCGCCTATTTCATGGTGGGCATGTTAACACTTGCGCGAGTGTCCTCGGCATCTTCATGGCGCCAGAGAGCAGTGACAGTCTTGGTCGAGGTGTAGAAGCTGACTCCAGACTTGCCATAGAAGTTGACATCACCACGAATGGAGCCACGAGAGCCAGTGAATGAAAACATAGGCAAAGGAACGGGAATGGGGACGTTGATGCCGACTTGGCCGGCATCAACCTCCTTCTGGAACTTCCTGGCAATAGCACCACTCTGAGTAAAGATAGCGGTTCCATTGCCATAGGGGTTCTTATTGATGATATCGATGGCATCGTCCAGGGTCTCGGCATTCAAGCAGACAAGAACGGGCCCAAAGATCTCCTCACGGTAACACTCCATATTTGTTGTTACGTTGGTCAAGATACTGGGCCCAATAAAGTTGCCTTTCTCGTATTTTGAAACTTTGATACCACGTCCATCCAATACAAGCTCTGCACCCTCCTTGACACCAGAGGCGATGAGGCGCTCAACCCTCTTGAGAGCATCAGGCGAAATCAAGGGGCCAAGATCGGCATCGGGTTCAAATCCTGACGAGACCTTGAGCTGCTTAGCACGCTCAACGAGTTCAGGAAGCCACTCTCGAGCCTTACCAACAAAGACGACTGTCGAGAGAGCCATACAACGCTGACCGGCAGCACCGAAGGCAGCACCAGTAAGCTGGTTCAAAGTGTGGTTCTTGTTGGCATCAGGCATAATTACTCCATGGTTCTTGGCACCCAAATTTGCCTACAAATAATTAGCAAATAAAACCATTGGTAAGCTAGTTTATAATTTTCCCTTGGACAAGTTAATAACAGTCAATCAACAAACCTGGACACGCTTGCCGTTACGAGAGCCGCGCTCGTGGATGTAGTGACCAGCCTGGTCACTTCCGACGAAAGAGATAGCTTTAATGTGCTCATTATCGCAGATAAAGTTAACAGTGTCCTTGGCGCCATGAACAATATTGAGGACACCAGCGGGTATTCCCGCCTTTTGGGCAAGCTCAGCAAGAATCATGGTGGCACCAGGGTCCTTCTCAGATGGCTTGAGGACACAGGTGTTCCCAATGACGTTCGCGAGGGGGAACATCCAGAGAGGGATCATGGCTGGGAAGTTGAATGGAGTGATACCAGCTACGACACCGAGGGGTTCTCGGATAGTGTAGGTATCCATGTCAGTGGCAACCTCGAGGTTGTCGCCCAGGAGCATATGGGGAATGGCACAAGCGGCTTCTACAACCTGAAGGCCGCGAAGAACATCACCACGGGCATCTGCCAATGTCTTTCCTTGCTCAAGAGTGATAGAGTGAGCAATCTTGTCCATGTTCTCACGGATGAGTAACTGGAGGTCCAGCATCTTGCGCTGACGGTGAAGAACTGTGGTTTTCTTCCAGGACTTGAATGCCTCCGCGGCTGAATCAGCGGCGTACTTGAGCTCCTCAGGAGTGGCCTCAGGAACGAGAGTAACGATCTCTTGAGTTGCCTACATGTCCGGATAGCATAATTCAGGAACCCAGGATACAGGCGAAACGGTTAGCAAGAAGTTCATGACGGACAGCCAGCCAAAAATAAGTTTAACATAAAAATAAAAAATAAAAAATAAAAAATAAAAATAAAAATAAAAACTCACAGGATTGCGGAGCTCAATCCACTTGTCAGTCTTTGAGTCGATGAATTCACCATTGATGAATAACTTTGTACGAGGAATGGAGGATTGTGCAGCATAGAGAGCAGGCCTTGATGTGGAGAGGGCACGCTTGAGTGCGGGCAAGGCCGTAACACGGCGCATGGCAGAGTAGGACAACATGCTTGGATCAGATGAAGAGGATGAGAGATGGAATGAGAAGAAAATAAAGAATAGAAAGGGGAGAGAAGGAGAGGGTGGGAAAGAAAGCGTGGGAATCTTATTCAAAGTAGTCTCAGCATGCACTTTCCCCCACAAGCTTGCGATCTCACCATTTTATTCAACCTCAGCGCACCCCAATCAATTACTGCCAATCAACCAACTTGTGACCGGTTGCTTAATGTTTTCTCCACACTTTTTCCAACAGGGCTTTACTGCAGTCTATTTTCTTTTTTAATATTTTTATTACCAATGGTAATCAACATCACAATTATCGCTTGCGCAGGTCTACAATGTCCAGATCTAAATCAACCAGTTCAACATGGCCTTGATCGCAGGCATCCTGTTGTTGGAGAGATATATAGGTTCAGAGTAAATAATGATTTATCCTTCAATATAACATCCAATCAACCAGTCAATAGTCATAAAAGAATGCAAGATATAGCTAAATACCGTGTAAATGTCGTCTTCGCCGGGGTGCTGATGGAATAGAGGCTTCTGACGGCAATTTGTGATTATTTGTAGCCCTGGTGGATCTGTTAGCCTAAATACACCGTAACTTGAAATGCCAAATAAGTAAAACAAAAAAGGGTCGAATGGTCAATATTTGGCGGTTAGAAGAAACTACGAGCAAGCTAAACAGATAGTCACATTTAAAAGCCTTTCTTTACTCTTTGTCATGCTTGGGGGCGCATACAATGGCAATGGCCTCCGGTAGCATTAGCTGGTATGAGCAATGGGTGTGTAAATCAACTGAACTCATGAAGCATGTTTGTGTTGGATGAGTCTAGGAAGCCATAAAAGGCAATGTCAGTAAACACTTCGAATACTCCAGCATCATGGTTCCCATAGGCATGCTAAAAATTAAGAATGACTAAAAAGTAAAAATAAAAAAAAGTAGAGCTAACTTACGTGAATCCAACCTAATGTCATGAGGTCTCTTTCACTTTGAAACTCAAATAGCTCATCTTCATTTGTGGTGGAGCACGTATCTGAGGTCGCAGTTTGTTTTGGGATAATTAATGTCGTGACAGTAAGCTTGTTGCGCGACTATGAAGCCAGACACTGGGTGTTAGAGTAAAAGAACCAAAGAAACTCATGTAAACATCAAATCCAATGTCGATATCCGTTTTCAGCAATTACCAATACTCCCGCCAATATCCCACACGTCTCCAGATTCTTGATTGTATTAGGGCGTACGATATTCAAGAATCTATCCAATAGTCTGAGAGGAACTATAAGCTTTCTCAATCCCTGTGAGAATTCTGTCGTTTAATGAATATATCAACCAAAAAAAAAAAAAAAAAAAAAAAAAAAAAAAAGATCAGTTACTGCTAGCAGCCCCGCTTAAAGTAGTCAGAATAAATTATTTCAATTGCTACCGTGAATGTCTTCTTCAATCTGAATCTTGGGTGGAAGCTTTGGTGCGTGGCTCCGCATGTCAGGTTTCTTTGGCAATACAGGAGGAGGCCCCGGAGGCGTAGGTACAGGTTGCTGAGATTGAGCTCTAGCCGGGGAGACTCCAAGTCTATTCAACAGTTGACCACGCCTTAATAATTAGCATTAAATTCCTCTCTGAACTACTTAGGATCATACAATGAGTTGCAATAAATATATTTACCGTGAATGATTGTGGTATTGATGATGTTCTGGGTAGTTAACCTATAATTGAAATGGACTTTCCATGAGAATATATTCCACCTTGCTTGCTAGAGCAGATTATCATCCAATAAACTCATACTTCACTTATTATTCCAGTATTATGATGGTGATGGTGATGATGGCGATGATGGTTTTCACTCCTGCCCTGCATTGCCGGCTGTGTAGAGTTGGTCCCAGGAACCCCTTCAAGGGCTTTTGCAATCGACCATTCATTATCTATAGGATGATTTGCCCAATATAACTCACTCTGCTCCTCTATTGCTTTACTAATATCAAGTTGTTGTTGGGTTGCCAGTTGACGCTGTGCTTCTAGAGACTGAGCCAGGATCATTGCTTCCCGCTGTTTAATACACTCCTGATACTCTGCATATTTCCTATCGAGGATTGGCCTAAGCGCTTCGACTTCGTTCAATGCTTCCTGTGCATCCTAATGACAAATACATAAGATGATAAATATTAAATAGATCTTGCCAAATTTGTGGTACCGAGCGTGGCAACATTATGTTTGTTCCCATCTGTCATCCTTGCTTACTTTCATTAGTTCGGCCAGAGCTGCCTTGTGGATTGGGTTTAAATAGTCGCTGTGCTTTGGAAGTTCTTTGATAACGAGACTGAAGAGTATTCCAGCGTTAATTTTAAAAGAAAAAACACTGCAACCTTCAGTAAACTGATCTGAGCTGCATACTTGCAAAATTTCATGTAAAGGATATACGATGCCTGTAGGTCGCCTTCCCGCTGATAAACCCTCGCCTGAAGAAGCAGATAGAAAATGAAGACGGATTACTAATCATTAGAGGTTCCTATATCGAAGATTAATAAGGCTCAGGTAGTGAGTCCTTACCTGCTTGAACAAGTGCTCTGCTGTCCGAATGTAGAGACGCAAGCGAGTTGACTCAACCATCGTAACCTGCGCCCGGTCATTGAGCTGCAGGCGCGGATACACCTTCTCAATCTTTCCTCCAAGCATCTCTTTTTATTAAAATTGTGGTAATGAGTTCTAGAAAATGACAAAGAAATGAATTCGCAACAGCCATGTAGGTTTCTGGAATTATAGTCACAATAACCCTTAATATATTTAAATGCTGCGCGAATGTTGCAACGATGTAACATCAACTTCCGGACAATGGTCGTACTTTTATCCATTATTTATCGGCTCCGCCTAGTCAGATATACCTTGCCCTTTGCAGGCTCGCGTTGGCTATTGCCTGTTCTTGCTATAGCTATAGCTATGCCTTGCTATTGTTGGAGTTTTATAAAAGTGCTTTGGTCATTTTTTTAAATAATCCATAATAACTACGTTTTTTTAATTATTCATCTTGCGATGCAAACTGCATGTATTGAATGTTAATAAATAAAAACAGAGCGGGGGTTCATCCTGTGAACACGACTCTTTCCACCGCTGGTCTCTAGGACCGTATCGCCGTAGCAGTTCTCGCAGTCATAAAATTTGTACTTGTATGTCCCTTGGAACGAGTAGATCGTGCTTCCATCCAATGGTCGGCAACCCAATCCTCGGATCAATTGCCTCCTGCCACCGAACGAAGTTCTGGACCAAGCTACTAGCGTATAGTCTGAAGGCGCAGGACATGTTGATGGTTTTGGCTCATCTCTACGAATGATTTTAACGGATTGCGGATAGATCAATGGGTCAATACGATGGACCGGAGCAGAACTCCAGCCGTAAATCATCCTCGATCTACAATGGCCATCACTGTAGAATCCATATTTTCTAGAGCTGGATCCCTCGAAACTGCCGACAGCGCCACCATCAAGACGGTAGCATCCCTCAGAGTTGCTTCGCTTTTGTTTATGGCCCTTGTATCCTGGCGAGGACCAGGCAATGAAGTTTGATGCATCAATGATCTCATCCTCGTTTGAAGGATCAGCCATATCATTAGGAGGTTCCACGGTTTCGTCGTTGTCGCTGAAGCTCACTGGGGACGTCAGGCTCTGCAGAAAAGTAGCAGGATCAGGGTTGATATTAAGAGTAGAATCAGTTGCAATTTGAGTAGTCTGAGCAACCGTAACAGCGGTCCAGGCTGCAATAGAGAGGATAGATAAGATTTTCATTGCAAATAGTGGAAATGTCCGAAATAGTTGTAATGACGAGATACAAACTACAATCCTTTTTAAATATAGCTGGCTCCATGCGGACGAACAATTAATTTCACGGTCAAGCACGAGTTATCTGAGAAACAAGTTTACCTCAAACAAAAAAAAAAAAAAAAACTTATTTGTTCCACTCCAGGCATGTTTCTCTGAGATTTGTAATAATTCCACATTTAGCAAAGTCCTAAACAATCAGTTTCATCCTTAAGGGTTTTTCACACCCGCTACTCTGTCCTAGACTCCTAGTCAGAGTAAATTACGTGACCCTGAAGGTCCTTATCAAAAATCATGTCCTAGTCTGTGCTCAGACAGACGGACAGGGGATGGTCCGAGGCTCCAAGAATTCCAAGCGGTTAAACTTCTTTGAAACTAATGCATGTTCATTGGTGAAATATTCAACAAATCACATCCCAAATTGACTGTCCATGTGCCAACCATCACAACGCATGCTGCTTTACTGACACCTTATTGGCTAGATGAATAGGATACTTCAAGTAAAAAGACCCTATAAAACATTAATCCCGATCTGACTATAGACAATTGGATTTGATCGCCGGGCCTCAACAAAGTCTAAAATTGCTGAGACGATCAACAGGTTGATGGAGCACATCAACAGTGGGGCTATATCATAAGGAGCATGTGTATATAAATAAAGGGGAGAAGCCTCCATGGTATTTTCTTCACTGCAATTTCTTAGTCAGTCCTTTATTCCTCTGGTCCTCCATCACATCAACTTCTATTTTCCTCTTAAATACATTTCTCATAATGATGGAAGTTGGAGATTACACTTTTCTCTTTGTTCTTGGCCTAATCTTTGCCTTCCTGGACAGTTACGGTATCGGTGCGAACGATGTCAGCAACAGTTTCGGTGCTGCTGTCGGCGCTGGTGCTTTGAATCTCAAGCAGGCTATCCTGATCGCCTCCATCTGTGAGTTCCTTGGGGCATTTCTCATGGGCTCCTCAACTGCTGACACGATCAAAGGTGGCCTGATCAACGTCAGTCTCTTCGCGGAACAACCAGAGTTATTGATGTTAGCCATGGTCTGCTCTCTCGTCGGCTCTTCTACGTGGGTCCTCTTTGCTTCCTCTCGTGGCTTGCCTGTCTCAACAACACATGCCATTGTCGGTGCAATCACTGGTGCTGGTATCGCTGGCTTCGGGTTCAGCACTGTGAAATGGGGTGGGGTCGGTACAATTGTACTCTCCTGGGTTATTAGCCCTTTGGTCGCTGGTATAGTCACTGCGATCATCTTCATCGTCACTCGATTTTTAATCCTCAAGCATCAAGATTCGCTCAAGCGGGGTCTTATTGCTATTCCTTTCTACTTTGCCATCACTATCTTCATCAACGTCTTCTACATCATCTTCAAAGGCTCTCCTGGCCTCTCTCTCTCTCAATTGCCTATTGGCGCCATCATTGGCATCTCCTTCGGCGTCGCCATCGTTGTCTTCCTGTGGTGTAACTTTTTCTTAAAGGTTTATCTTCGTCGCAAGCTGGAAAATGAAGAACCTCTTCGTTGGTACCATTGTTTTTATATCTATGCCGTATCGACCCGTATCAAAGCTCCTGAAAACCTTGAAGAGATCGCTTCTGATAAGGAAAAGGCCAATAATACCGATGAAGACACCGAAAGCGACGGCACTGTGAACAGCGGCCTTGCTGCGCTCGACAATGAGGATAAACCACTCTCTATGTTCCAAAGGTTCAAGAAGAAGGCCTTCCATGGCTTGAACCAGGATATTAATGCGAAGACTGAGGATGTTGAGAATATGCACGACAAGTCAACTCGCTATGATAGCAAGACCGAGGAGCTCTTCTGTACACTTCAAGTCTTGACAGCTTGCTTTTCATCCTTCGCTCATGGCTCCAACGACGTCGCTAACGCGATTGGTCCTTTGACCACCATCTACTACGTATGGAAACATGCCATGGTTGATGTCACCGGGAAGTCTCCGGTCCCCGTTTGGATTCTTGCTTTTGGTGGTGTTGCCATCGATATTGGTCTCTTGACTTACGGTTATAAGGTCATGGCTACCCTTGGCAATAACATCTGCTATGTCTCACCAAGCAGAGGTTTCTCATTATCACTGGGTACTAGTTTGACGGTCCTGACTTGTTCCAAAATTGGTTTGCCTATTTCTACCACCCACTGCATTACTGGCGCTACTACTTCAGTTGGGCTCTGCAGTGGAGGGGGGGTCAAGTCGATCAATTGGAAAATCCTCGGCCTCATCGCTTCCTCTTGGATCTTGACTCTCCCGGCAGCGGCTTTGGTCTCTGGTTGTATTTTCGCAATAATCATCAATTCCCCTCACAAGCTTTAATGAGTTCCTATTATATTTCCAATCATTAGTAACAGAAATTGTATTCTAGTAGATACCATTTTGTAAATATACTTCCATTTTATCTATTTTATGCATCCTAAAGAAGGATATTTTTTGAATTGTTTAATATATTTATAAATAATGGCTAGATCACACCCTCTACCTTGATACTTCAGTTGGCCTTTATTGATTATGTATCTTTATTGAATACTTCCCAATGTGGTGATTTATTTATTCTATAAGAGTCACTGGATGCCCTTGTGTATTGAATTATCTCAGATAAAAAACCGGTGTGTGGGTACAGTTCTGATAAGGATTATATACCAATGTGGCAATTTCTACGCTGAAAAGAAAGTGTTCATACTCAAATCCTTTCCTCTCTACGTCCTCCATCTTATCCTGTGCTTTATAAAGTGCATACCTGATATGTGGATTGGCCTTTTGGGTTAATACCTGGATGATGATTAGAAGAAAAACGTTTTGTATAAATGCTACGGGATGTTCATGTTCAATTGATGCACATTGAAGATATGAATAGTATTATATTTTATTGCCCATACGCTCGCTAAATCCAGTTAAATGGTTGTCAAGGAAGGAAATCGAGCCAAGTAATGTGGCGGCCATGCTGCAGAATGGTATCATTGGAGTCATTTTGGAGGTCAAGCAAGAAGTGGTGATACTTCTATGTGATGTCGACTTAGTGTTCATTCTTCTCCTACGTAAAAGAGCACGAGTAACCTTCTGTAGTAGACGTCGTAGATAGGTCCAAAAATCCATTTACTATATGTTATATTGAGCCATGCCTTCATTTTCCTAATCCTCTATTCAGTGAATCTTAGCATAGTGGGCAAACGTTGTGTTCATAGCTTCGTGTAGCTTTTTGGAACAAACATGGCGTTGATAACCGAGCTATTACCACCGTCATTAATTCACTTTGATGATACCTTTTATTGACACCACGTGAGGACGGTTTGTACATCGATTTCCATTGGATCGTATTAAGCTTGCCCAGAAAGGACTCAATAAAAGTTCACTGGGCGATTATGAGGGAGAGATCTCATCAAACGTTTGATGCGGAAGAGACACGCCATATGGCTAAAAGCTCTCATGTCGGTGATGTCTTAGGTTTCTTAAAGTTGGTCCACCTCTTTTTCTCCTCAGTATGATGTTACAAACACTGCCACGCTGTCATGCTTGGCAGTTGGTATCATCAGGATCAATTTTGTCATTATTAATTATTATCGGCGGGAACCAAATCTAAGATAATACAAATCATCACCAAGAATGCTATCCCTCTAATACTTTTTTCTTTTTTCTTTTTTCGTATAGTAAACGTTTTTACAGACTAGAGAACACCAGTAGCAGCAATATCAGCACTGACAACATTACTCTACCTAACCAAACTAGAAAGACTTTGGATATATTGTCCATTATAGATCCGATCGCGCGAACAATGCCTAGTTTGATGTATGGGTCCTATTTTTCGATTATTTCTGCCACATGCATTGGTTCCAGTATTTTGTTTCTGTAGGAACGATGACGATAGGAGAGTTATTCGCTTTCATAGTGTGGACATCATACCAGTAGCAACTATACCTTCTGAATGAATGCGCCGAACTTTGTCTGTCGTACATGTGTGCCAAGCAGAGCATGAACACTTCCAAATATGGATGCATTGTGCTTCCAACTACCAGCTTTAAATGTATATTTTTTTCCTCTTTTTTTTTTTTTTTTTTTTTTTTTTTTTCATTTTCTTCGTCTTCTACAACTTTATATTTTCAATGACATTACCAGACAATGCGTCGACATCTGAAAGGCAGCCACTTTTGGCTAATGGCCAAGGATCAAGACTCACGGACGTAACTCAGGAACATAGCTTAAGAGCCGGTCATAAAGATGGACAGCATATTGATGAACTTGATGAGGTTACCCGTCTGACAACTTTACAGCTGCTGCCTTGGTACAAGAGACCCAGTATTGCCTGGCTTCTGCCGTTCGTCTTCATGATAGCGATCGTAATGGGAGTTAGCCAGGCCGCCCAGGATCAACTCATCGTTAAGATCATCTGCAAAGACTACCATAAGGGTAGCAATATCCCTGGTCAATCTAGCAATACTATTATTGCAAATACATCTGGGGATTTCACTCACAAAAGCTATTATGATGATGATTCATGCAGTACAACTGCTATCCAAGCACTTGCTGCTTTGGTGATGAGTCGCTTCCGTTCTCTCAAATATGTTACTGGTAAAGAGCATTATTATGGCTATGTTCCTGAACAGGACAGAAGAACAGTAATGAAGAATGGAGCCTCATATTCAATACTCGCTTCTTATACTTCAATCGACCTGAATACTCTAGGAATCTTCACAATTGGATACCATACATCATTATCAGATGTTTATGGACGCAAGACTCTAATGTTTCTGACTTTGATCCCTGCACTTTTGACGCAACTTCTAATCGTCTATATGGCCCATCCTGCCACCAACGTGGGTATTGGGGTTCTGTATGTCGATGCCTTGATCATGGGACTTTTAGGTGCAGGGCTCCTGCTGGAACCCGCTATTTTCGCATATGTTGGTACGTAATAGAGGGTTTTTTTTTCTTGGCAAAATTCTTTGTACCACAAGTGTAGATGTTCTTATTATTGAACTAACACAATTATAAACAGCTGATTGTACTGCTCGTGCTGACAGGAGTCTCTCTATCGGATACATGATGGTTGCATTGGCAGTTGGAATGATCTTCGGATCAATCCTCGGAGGGTATCTGTTCAAACTTACTGGAGATGTTACCTCGGCAATGACTATCTCCATTGCCACATTAAGTGTCCTCATTGTCTACGCAATGGTGCTTCCAGAATCGCTTCCAAAGAATCTTCAAGAGGGTCGTATTAAGAAAGGCAGCAATGCTGACCTGTCGACAACGACTGCTAAGCCTGCGAGTATTTCGATTATGACTATTAAGAAGAGTCTACTAATGATCTTTGATCCTCTACTCCTGTTCGTTCCGGGAAGAATCGATGCTTCAGGAGACGTGAATGTTGTTCCTTCCAAATATATGCTAGTTATTTTGATTGGCGCGTATGGATGTCTTCAATTCGCCGTCAACGGTATTTTGGTCATCCTTATTCCATATACGGTATGATTTATTTTATCTTCTTTCGAGCATAATTGTCCATAGTAAAGATACCAAATCGACAGCGATTTGGTTCAGTTAACTAACAGACTGTCCAACGATCTATCATAACAGAATCTCGTCTTTAAATGGACAGCAGCCGTAAGTAATCCATTCATCGATGCCATATCTCGTGCTTTTGCATGCTTGGTCCATCCACTGACTTGAATGGAAATTGTTTGTTTCAAAAAAATAGGAAGATGGGGCCTACTACGCTCTCTCAGGCGTAGCCACATTCATTGTCTACGTCGGGATCTTTCCATACCTTCAAAAGCTTTACAAGATCTACATTGATAAGCAGAGTCCAAAGAAGACAGTTCACCCAACGACCCCAAGCTCTCCGCTTTATTCTGAGACAGGAGAAAGCTTTGGAAATGATGATGCTCGTATGACCGAGGAAGCATTGCGCCCAGAAATCACCGGAACGATGGCACCAGCGCAGGATGTAGCCGCTATGGCTGAAAAACGGTGGAAAACCCTCTGGGCTGACTTGACGTTCTTTATTTCTGGGTGTATCATATTCACAATTGGATACCTGATCGTATTTATCTTTGAGACGGACACTAGCATGTTCATTTGTAAGTGCTATTCTCTCTCACATTCTCTTTCACATTCTTTTTTTTTTTTTTTTATTTTTATCTGTAACCACTGTTCCAATTTTTTTTTTTTTTTTTTTTTTTTTGGTAAACGATAGCATGCTGCATTCGGGCACTGGCTTCAATAAGCAATCCGTCCTTCAACTCATTATTGACGTCTTTTGTGCCTGTTCACCAGACTGGCAAGGCCCTAGGAGGAATATGTATTCTGGACACGATTATTATGTCACTCTCTTCTCTTCTCTATGGTTGGATTTTCTCAGAGACTTCGGTCGTCATGCCCTCTGCTGTCTTTTTAACTTCTGCAGTCTTTTCATCCTTCAGTTTCTTGGCTAGTCTCAGTATTTGGGGTTTATACAGGCAATAAACATAATTTAATACATGTATAAAAGTTGGTGGCGGATTCCATGTTCTCCTTTTTTTTTTTTCAGTTTTGCACAACTCTTTTTCTCTAATCAATAATAACAACACCTGCCTATAATTGACACCATCATCCATGACAAATGACAGTACTCTCATGACACAAGACGATCTTTCAGGATTGACAAGGCTTCAACTGCAAGCATTGTGCGTCAAAGCCGGACTCGACACAACTGCTGGTGTAGGTTCACGCGTTCTTATGAAATCTTTTTTTTTTTTTTTTTTTTTTTTTTACAAACATTAGTTTCTCATAATTCAATGGCGGTATTCTATAGAATGAAGAGCTGCGAAGGATTTTACGAGAACATGAAATGCAGCACGAACAATTAGAGAGCGAAGACTCAATGCTTAAAGCAGCAGCAGGAGAAGAAGCGACAGTTATTGATGAGACTGAGCAGGTCGTATCCAATAGAGCAGATATAAACTCAACTGACAACGTGTCGACCGTTATCACAGTTGTTTCGGAAGTAAAAACTGAGGTTTTTCAGGAAGTCAAGGTTGAGGAGACTGAACAAGGGGCAACTATAAAACCAATTGCATCTGAACATGCAGCGGGACCCGTAAAAGTTAAAATAGAGCCAGAAGAGGCCGCCATCAAGCAAGAAGACAGCAATGGACAGAATAGACATATTGAAGCAGGTAGCATGAACCATGTTGAATTGACAATGACAGTCAAGCAGGAGCTGACAGATGTAGAGATGCCCCTGGCAGATGTAAAAGTTGAGGAAACAATTGTACCAGTTGCAAAGCGCAAGCAGTTCTGGGAGGCGAAAACAAGCTCACCAAGAATAAAGTCCATTTCACCTTCGTCACCATCATCAAAGTCAGTGATACGCCCCGCACTCTCCGTCGGCAAAGCTAGGCCCAATGGCAATCAACAGACTTCTACTTCACGGGCAGATGTGAGCCAAAAAAGAGGCAGACCGTTGGAAGACATTGATGGAGAGAATGATGTTGATATCAAGGGTGAAAATGGCTCTGATGATGATTATCGCGATAGGGATAGTAACAGTCCTACAGTCAACTCTCTTCCTACGCCTGGCACAGTTCGTAGTTTGATTGGCAGATTTGCCGGCTCTGCTACCATCAGCCCATCTGGATCACCCGTGAACAAAAAACGTCGAATGGATTCTCCAAAAACATCTCCTGTCTCGTCTGCATCTCCAAAAATTCCTAAATATAAGCGTGTCATAAAGATCCCGACAGCAAATCCAGGCGCCACTACAGCAGCATCTGCACGGTCTGTTGTTGGAGCTCCAGTGAAGAAGAGGAAAACGGTCAGTTCTGCATCACCGACACCGGCTTCGGCGGCGGCATCTACAGTCAGGAAATCAACTGGTGTTTCAGCAGAGACGATTAATCGCCTGGCGACTCCCAAAAAGGTTGTGTCTGCGGCGGCCAATACGGCAGCACCTCCTTCTTCCGTATCTTCGACGTCTGCTCCACCTGTACCGACACGGCCTCGTGGCCCTGTCCTTTCAACAGCTTCTCGGGCAGCACAACGCCGGAATCGCGAGAGAAAATAGCTTTGAGCTATTTTGATTTGAGTTTCGAGGGAACTATGACCGTTGCTGTGTTTTGTATTAGCCATTTTAAAATATTGAATTGAATAAATAAGCAAGCCACTCAGATGATGAACTTGAAACCTTGTAAGCTTGCAAAGTCGTCTCATTTGGTACATTTACACTTGCATACACCATGGACTCACAGCAGGAGGCATTTGAAAGGTTCAAAGCTGCAAACTCAGGCAAAAGGTCAACACGAGAGGGTCAACAGTCAAGAAGTTCGAAGTTGAAGGAGGTTGACGGGCCACTGCCTGATTTGTACTCGATTCATCGTGGCCAAGTTGTTCGTGTTGAAGGCAAGGCATTTTTTTTTTTTTTTTTTTTTTCCTAAACAAGAGACTTGGTCGTTTTCTTGAAAAATTCAAAGATGGTTTACTGGCAGTTATAAAAAAAAAATAAAAAAATAACCGGGATACTTTTGGATAGATTATGGCGCATTTGTACAAATCCCAGGATTCAGAAAACAAGGACTTGTCCATAAGCGACAGACCAGTAATCATTTCACAGAGAACGTTTCAGATGTGGTGGCCAGTGGGGATCATGTGTGGGTAAAACCATGTTCAGCTTTTGACACATTGATATGAAGGATTTTTTTTCTTTTTCTCTGTTTGATATCATTCATTACAAAGCGCAAGAGACATGGCTGGCACGATGGAGGGATCTGAATCTATCTTCTTTGTAAATGATAGGTGAAAGTAACAAGTTTACAGGATGGGAAGATTGCTTTATCGATGAAGTATGTCAGCCAAGGTGATGGAACCGACCTTGGTAAGGATGGGTAGACATCATTTTATTGTTATTTGATAAGGGTAAAGAACAGTGTTGACCAATATCAAGTCTCTCCTGTCCTCCGACATTATTTTATCTCAAAGACCCCAATTTGGTTAAGTTGACGGGAGAGGAAGACAGGAAGAGGACTCATACGACTTTTATTGATAAGCAGCCCATAGCAATTGAGGAAGGAGGAGTGTTTCTTAAAACAGTGTGTAAGAAATGTGGCGCTTCTGGACATTTAGCAACAGACTGCTTTTCAGCTGGTGAACAGTTTGAACTTTTGGCAGACGAAGACGATGAAGCCACCCGGCAGAATGTTGTTTCTGCGAAAGAGAGAAAACATAAAAGCAGCAGAGATAAACATAAGCACAATAAGGACAAGGACAAGGGCAGGGACAAGGACCGATACAGGGACAAAGAAAGAGAAAGAGTAAAGGAGAGTAGACGCGATTATAAGGATAGGAAAGACTCTTCAAGCTATCATCAGAAGGACAATAGACGGAACCGGTCTAGAACTAGAAGGTAAGGTTTTAACAGAGAGCAATAGCAACTGCTCCAGATGTAAAAAAAAAAAAAAAAAAAAAAAAAAAAAAATAATAATAATAATAATAATAATAATAAAATAAAAGAAAATAAAATAAAATAAAAAAATTCCATGCTAATATTTGAGTCGGATGTAGCCCAAGTCCGAAGAGACGCATGGACAAGCACTTCAGACCCCAAGTTGAAAACTTGGAGGATGCTCTAGCGGTGATGAGGGCCCACAAGGTACCATTATTATAACTTGCTTCATCAAGAACTTTAAAAAAAGGTTGTGACACAAACAAACAAATTTGGTCAATTTTGACCATTTGTATTCTGATGTGAACCTATTGGGACCATGTAGCATCGCCGGCACACCAAACGTGGCGATGGTGGTGGGAGTGAGGAGGAGGACAAGAAAAAGGAGAGTAGGAAGCAGGGCTATGGAGAAGGGCCTCGATCCAGATCACATTCTCGATCACGTTCGAGATCCCCAAGAAGGAACGATGGTCGCCGGACTGGACATGATCATGGTCGCGAGCACGAGGGGCGCCATGGTGGCAGCCGTAATGATAGACAGCATAGAGACAGGCACGACCATCGTTGCTAGACAATAGCGATATAAATTGGTCGGTATGTAGCAACCAAATGTAGCAACCAAATGTGGCAACTTGTTTAGTTTATTTGAAACTCCTATCCTGCTGATAAAAAAAATCTTGATCAAAATGGCCAAACAAAAAAAAAAACAACACTGAATGTTTGAATACATGTGAACATGTGCCTGCTTTTATAATATTCTTTTTAGAACATTAACATAAAGCATGATGGAACAGTAGTGAGTGAAGAATAGCTGTTGGGATGTGGGAATGAGAGAAAAAAGGTTACGAGTCGATATATATATATATATAAAAAGAGATGGAGATCGAAAGAGAGGCATGTGGACGGACCAAAGAGACAAAAAAAAAAAAAAAAAAAGCGCAGACATTGAGATAAGGGCTTCTGATGAGTTTTATCTCGGTTTGATCAGTCTTTGATTTTGATCAAAAGTCAAATAGACAAAAGCATCACAATCGCACAATCCTCAATACCCTTCGGGTTGTTTCCCCTCGCACTCTCACTCTTTCACACTCTCACTCTCTCACTCTCTTTCACACTCTCACTCTCTTTCACACTCTCACTCTTTCTCACACTCACACTCTTTTTCACACTCACACTACACACTACACTCACATGTGCATGTAGACTCACAGACTCTCAAGCATCAAAACAATAAAGTAATTTTTTTTTTATTTATTTTTCTTTCTTTTTCTTTGACCCGTGTTACAAAAGTTACTCTTCATCATCCCTTCTGTTGTGTCATGTCAGGAGCATGTTGATCACATTTCATTCATTCCTCTTCCTTACTCTTTCAGTTTTATTTTGACTTCTGATTCCTCTTTGTCTTTGTACATTTATTTATATCAATCTCTTTCTTTCTTCCTTTCTTTCTCTCTCTATTTCTTACTTTTCTATCAGCTATCATTCTAAACGTTCAACAACAAGACTACAAGCAATCCTTGGTATGTATCATCACAATGAATGACTCTGCAGTGCCATTGGAATAGGCGTTACATACTTTTTTTTTTTTTATCCTTTTGTCCCTTCTCGGAAATTTGGTTCCAATTCTTCACCTCGGCATTTCACTCCATTCTCCGAAACCTCATTTCCTTCCTTTCCGCTTTTGACTAATCAGTCTTTCTTTTTCTTTTTTTTTTTTTTTCTCTTTTTTTACTCGCCACTCATTTCTACTTTCATACTCTTGTTCCTGCTGGTTGTATTCACTCCTCTTGTACCCTTAATTCTTTCTCATTCACGTATTCATAAAAACAAGGATCTGCTTCCCTTCCTATTCGAAACTGACTTCGCCGAACTTTTTTTTATTTTCTAATTCTTTCTTGACTTCTTCAGCTTTAGAACACCTTAATACACACAGGACTTGTTATATCCTCTAAGAAAAAAAAAAAAAAAAAAAAAAAAGCTGAATCACATCGTCGTCAACACAGACCAATATCAACTTCAATAGGATCCTTTAGAGCATTAACATCGGTCATCGCTGTCGTAATCATATCGCACCACACCACACCACAAAACGTACATCTTTAGCATACTACTCTGTTCCATCTCACCTCCCCTCCACTCCTTCACATGTCCTTCACAGGCAGCCAGACTGCAGCCGTAACCACATTGGGAGATTCTAATGGACCTATGTCCATCACTTCCTCTACAGATAGTTTGACGCAGGATCCAATACAAAATACTCCCCCTGGGGGCCCACATCCTGTATCTGAACCTATCTCGACATCTCAGGCATTGACGACAATCCATCAAAGCAGCAATAATAAAAATACTCATAATGGCAATAGTGACAAGGATAGGTCGATCCTTACATCAAACACCCTTTCCTCCTCGCTAAAATCACATATCTCCACCTCTGCATCCCTGTCATCGCTTTCCTCCACTACACCCTCTGATATCATTACACCAAAGCCATATGCCGCTGCATATGAGTACTCTTCCTATTCCAGTAATCCTCCTTCATCTCCATCTACCTCTGCAGCGACATCATCTTTGCTTATGCTTTCTTCTTCCAAAGAGACAAACATGACTGACGTGCGCGTGAAAGAAGAGGAGGATTCAGAGTTGACAGAAGCAAGGCCTTTCTCGCCGGATAGCTATCCGTCTAGCAGCTCAAGGCACTATCATCATGAGCCTGAATATCATCCTCATCGGCCATCTCACGAAAACACTCGCCATCATTTTTACCGGGATACCCATTCTCACAATCCTTATCAAAATAATGATCGACCAGCTAGGCACCATGCCAGCCATCGTTACCGCGAATCTCTTGATCATCATATGCAGGACGACAGTGACACAGACATGTTGGATACATCATCTTCTGAGCACACCAAAGATTTTTCCGCCGCCACTTCCTCAGTCAACACTACCGCTGCTGTTGCGCCTCCGAAAAAGACAGGGGCAGCCAAGAAGCGGTTGGCATCTCCCAATTCTCCTCAGACAATAGCTAAAAAAGACCCCTCCTCATTGACCGGAAGTAGTGGAACGTCCATGACCCCATCTCCTCGCTTACCGCCATCTGATCGTCCCAGCGGCTCCTGTTCACCAAAGGCCCGAAATAGTTCTGGCAGTACATCGGGTGCAAACAAGAAAGAAGGGGCACCTAAAATTGCTGTAACCGCCACAAGCTGTGCCAACTGTGGAACAACAACAACACCATTGTGGAGGCGTGCCAGCGACGGATCCACCATTTGTAATGCGTGTGGTATGTTTCTTAATATGGAATAAACACCTTCATCTCATCTCACACGATCATTTGTTGGGGGGATTGTTGTCCTACCATGCCTAATTGTGCGTGGTGATACAACAACGAAAGAACATGTCAGCTAAACTCTTTGTTGTTTGTTGAAAAAAAAAAAAAAAAAAAAAAAAAAAATAGGCCTTTATTTCAAAGCAAGGAATTTAACACGACCACCATGGCTTAAGCGAAACACTGCACAAAAGAAGAATGAAACTTCAGAAGATGGCGGTGATGAAGCTGAGGATATTAATAGTCTTAATGGGCAACCATCTAAAAATGGCAAAGATAATGATAGCGAATGTGCGGGATCATGTCCTGGAGACGGTAACTGTAATGGAGCTGGTGGTGCAGAGTCTTGTGCTGGATGCCCTTCCTTCAATCAGCACCAAACCAATCGTCAGAACCTCGTCTGTGCCAACTGCCGAACGACAACAACACCGTTGTGGCGCCGTGACAGTTCCGGAAACACCATTTGTAATGCATGTGGATTGTATTTTAAGCTTCACAACGTGCACAGGCCTGTGACGATGAAGAGGGCTGTCATCAAGCGTAGAAAACGCGTTAATCTCATAACCAGTTCGCCTCCTCCTCCACAGTCAGCGCAGCAAGAATCTGACCAACACAAGCCCTCAACAGAGGAACAACAGTCGGATGAGCAGCAGCAGGAGGAAGCAACTTCCCCGTCGCGCAATCAGACTAAAGTTCAACAGATGGAGCAAATAAAAGAGATAAGGCAGACATCTAACAGTCCTGTGCCCCTCTCATCCTCTGATGCAGCACAGAACGAAACGGATAAACAGGATAACCGAGCATCCTCAAAGCGTAGACGAGTTCACAATGGTCATACAAATGGACCAATGCGTAACGTACCTGCAATTGAGGATTATATTCATCCAAAGCGATCTGTAAATGGGCAGCCAGAACAGGGCCGTCGCGATCAAAGCACAGTTAGTTCAGAGCAGATGCAGCAACGGAGCATGTCGCCTATCGAGAACATTGGCAGCAGTGAGCATGGGCATACTCATAGACATGATGACCATCGTAATGGACATAATATGGAGGAAAATGAGAATGAGAGCAACCATTATCCTTCAATGCGTCATAATGCACTCCAAGCTCGAGACTCACCGTATATGCAACAGCATTCATCCTCATCTCCTGAATCACATTCTCAATCACCTCGTTATTTACCTAACATCTATCAAGATAACGGCCAGTATCCATCCACACAATACATGTCCATGTCTCGCTATGGGGCTTGCTCGCCACAGGCATCACAGAATCATCAGTCAGCTTCACCTCCTCCCTCACAACGTTCGTACTATAAACACCATCTACGGCACACGCATTCTCCGCCCTATCGCGACCATCATGATAACCAAGATGAGCATCACCCTCAAGCGATCACTATGCAAGGGTACCAAGGACGGTCACACACTCACCGTCCGAATGGTATGGATAACGATCATGATAGGATGTCCTCTCAGTTCTCGTCCTATTCTTCAGGTTGGAATACACGTTTGCCTGGATACACCACTATGGCATCCTCATCCACGTTTAATACTCGACTCTCCTCTACAGGCATCGTGCGTTCCTCTGTAGGACCTGGCCTTAACTCCCCACCTCTCCAACCTCATTATGGAAAGAGACCCCCTAGTCCTGCAGCGGAATCATATTCACATTGTCGACGAACAGCATCGCCACATCGTGGCGGGTCACATCATAGAGACGAATCCCCTTTACCATCATTATCGCATTCGTACTCGTATCCATATGATCGACCAAGCAGTCGTGGCTCAGGATATGACTCTCCATACTATAGCCATCCACTGCCGACACTTCGAAATCCTTCAACTCATAGCAATACAGGTAGTTTCGATGGTCACAAAATCCGAGAAGCAAGCGAGCCAGCACACCTACCGCCAATCTCTCTTCCATCCCCTCATCATCATACGTCTCTTCCACGGGCCTCGGAGCTTTTGAATCAGCAACAGCAGGATACAGGGTCTTCGCGTCCGCATCAGAGCTCACATCATCACCAGCATCAACACCATTATTATCCCTTGCCCCGACCACAACATCCACCTTCTCCACCTTCATCTCTGCCATCTATGAATGGAACATCATCCGTATCCTCCACATCGACGGCTACCTCATTAGCGCCATTAGGCAACGGGACTTCTGCATTGACTAACAATGAAGTGCTGCAACAGACACGACAGGATCTTCAGAGAGAAGTATCTCATCTTTCTATGTTACTCGGCAGGGCAGCTGCAGTATTAAACGGATTGGATCAAGCACTTGGTCCACATTCCAATACTAATAATTCAACGCTAGCAAATGGAGATACTTTGGGTTTGTATCTCAAGTCGGCCACGATAACGCCTTCAGCCATGATGACGGATGATATAAAGACCAAGTCTGCTTTAGCAAGCTTAATGGCATTGAGTGCTTCGGGAGGTGACCATGCAGGGAACGAAGCTTCAGTACCTGTAGCATCGGTAGAAGCAGCTGTATCAACAGCATCTATGTCTCCATCTACAGCATCAGCGGCAGTCCCTGGATACGCTTCACCTAATAATACAGCATCACCAGCATCTTTTACATCTTCACCACATCGGCACTAGTATGATTTTTTTTATTAAAAAAAAAAAATAAAAATAAAAAAAAAAATAAAAAAAAAAAAAAAATTACCCTTGTATTCTTTTAAAAGAAGGAAAAAAAAAAAAAAAAAAAAAAAAAAAGAGGATAGAAACAGTAGTCTAATGAAATAACTATATGATATGGTTAACATTTTAAGAAATCGATAATTGCTTGTGTGCGAAAAAAAAAAAAAAAAAAAAAAAAAAAAGGCTTCTAATTGAGATGTGCACGTTGTGCGTTTTTAATCCCGGATCCCGGACTGGTATTGCTACTATTTGAGCCGGTGTCACTATTATAGAGTGAAATCCCACGCTCCTCTAGGTAAGACTTCGCAGCACTGATCCGGATCTTGCCCTTGTCAACCATGAAAGCTGTAACTTCTTCTACTGAGGCAGGAGGCGTCCCTGCGGAAATGGCAATGTTGCGAGCATGTAGCGACATGTGTCCTCGTTGGATCCCCTCTGTAGCAAGGGCTCTCAGCGCAGCAAAGTTCTGAGCTAAACCTACTGTCACCATCGCCTAAGGTTCATAGAGAAATAGTATTTTGTTAATTACTCGTGTAATAATTGTTTTATATCCACCATTATATATATATTCTTTTGTTCTTATACATTCTTCTAATATGAAATACTGATTGCTTACCATGGCAAGCTGCTTCGAGTCTGGGTATCGCATCACCCCAAGGGCGAAGGCATGAACAGGATTCGTGCTAAGCACGCCACCTTTGGTACCGACCATGATAGGTATTTTGAGCTCTCCGCAAAATACCAAGGCATCTTGACCCTTGTATCCTTGCCGTACTCGATCTTCGTCTTCTTCGATCCAATATCGCGTTAGAGGCTTGTAGGCATCGCCTCTGAAGATCTTGGCCTGTAAAGCTTCCTCTGTTGATACCCGTGCCTTTCTTTTGATGCCGTGGCCGTCATTACCGCTGTTGGTTTGAGAAACCTCTGTGTCTGTGCTTGAGAATGTGCCTGTATCTGAAGAGTGTTCAGAGTAGGTTCCTGCACCGCTTGCCCATGCATGTGCTCCAGCTTCAATGGCTCGCCAATCCTGACCTGTGGCTAGAGCAACAGCATCAATCCCGTTCATGATCCCTTTGTTATGAGTGGCTGCACGGTATGGGTCTAGCTCGGCCCATTCGTAAGCCTCCAAGATCCGAACAGCGACATCCTTGCCTGGCAAAGATTTATAAACCATATGTGAAAATGGCAAGCGGAACGTTGACTACGGTTATATAAAAAAATAAAATAAAAAATAAAAACAAATTAAAACGTTAATATAAAAAATTGATAATTGCACTCATTTTTATATATATATGACAATAATTGATACCTTGGCAACTCGGTCAACATTCAAATTGCTTAGGATTCGAACCCCAACACGACCACCACTCAACTTAGCCAAGCAAGGAGCAATCCCTTCAGCAACTGTGTTGGCGCAGTTGGCGCCCATGGCATCTCCTACATCAATATGCAAGTGCACCACTAGCCATTCCGAACAACGTCCTTGAGGGATAGAAGCACTACTACCTGGCTTAGAGTCTCTCGCAGGTAGGCTACTAGCAGGAATGATCCCATATTTTACTAACAAGTCCTGTCCCTTAAAACCATCCTTCGTCCTGTGTCTTCTCACACGATGAAAGGTGACTTGCTGGACGCCGCCGCCTCGTAATACCATATTGGTGCAGTATTCATTCGCTTCTCTGCAGATATACTGTTCATGGTCTTTCATCTTTTGTATGACATGGTCCATATCCTGGTCCAAGATGTCTAACAATTGGACTTGGGCGATAATCATGTTGCGCTCAGGAGCCCAAGCTTGAAATCCTTGATAGGCAGAAATGGTTTTCGCCGCACTTGATACGGCAGCAACAACTGAGGGCTCTTCGATTGCCATTGGAACCGTCAATGGAGAGCCATTGATGGTAAAGTTAAAAGCTAGACCCAAAGGAAGCCCCATTGTGCTTTATTAAAGAGAACAATAGGAAATTAACATTTAGGAAACAATAGTATGGGTCAGTGCTTGGGAGAGGAAGTTAATTTGATCCGCATTTTAAAGGCCGATTTGGGCCGATTTGGGCCCGTGCTTTAAAAAAGTAAAAAAATAAAAATAAACTTACCCTATACAGTTTTCAATCATATTATTCGCAATCTCTTCATCCAGACCATAGATCGGAAACACCGCTCCATCACGTTCAGTAGCGATGATAGCATCTAATCTGGCATCTAGGGACAGGTCACCTTCTAACAGGCCATGGTTTGGAGATCCAATCATCTTACGCTGCTCTTGCAAGTTAGTGATCACAGTCGCCTTTCTCTCTTTCTCAAATTGATCCCTACGCTCTTCTTCCGTCACGGAAACATCTTCTTGCCCTTGAGCCAATTCTAGCGCAAGAGCACGGCGCTCTTCATCATTTACTTCTGTATACTGCCCACCGGATAAACTATAAAGTACAGAGGGCTGCTGTTGTAAAAATTGGTTGTTGCTTCCATGATCCACTAGATTACTAGCTCTTCTTTTGTCTTGTTTCTTATCTTTCGGCAATTGACTTTGCTCTTGCTGTTGGGGTTGAGAGGTGTGATACATGGTTGTGGTGTCGAGAATATTATCATTGTCAGCAATGTTGACATCCTTACTGTTGATGCTAGTGCTGTTTTCTTCGTCACTGATATTATCGTTCTCAATGTGATTACCAGTGCTTGTATTTTCAGGGAATAACATTGTGGGGGATAAACGAAGGACGGACAATGGTCGTGGTATGATCTGCGTTGCCGTACAGGATGATGCTGATAGTGGTGAAGGTGCAGTAGAAGGAATAATATCGATCATGGGACTAGAGACTGCTGCCATTGCCACTGTTGGTTCCAGGTTTGGCGTTGATACACTGGAGGTTTTAGTAGAGTTCTGGGTAGAAGCGAAGGAATCCAAAGACGTAGGACACGACAGATGCGGGAAGGCAAGTCCAAGTTGAGTACGACGCTCTTTAATAGTCTTTTTGTAGAACCCAGTCCAGTAGGTGTGTGTACGGATAGCTTCAGAAGTAGAGGAAACGGTGGTCTTTGATGTGTTGATGTGGAGTGAAGGCGGTGTAGGTAGCGTAAGTGGAGGTGGAGTGTTGAGAGCACTAGGAGGTGACATGGTAGTGTTAGTGGTATCAGAAGGGATATTTATGGTCGTTTTGTTTCCTGTTTGAACTGAATTAGTTGTAATAGCTTTAGTGGCGGTGAGATTAGACGATGGAATTGTTGCATTGGAAGTTGGAGAAAGAATAGGGATGAAAGTCGAAGTAAAAGAAGAGCTGGCGAAAAGTGTAGGAACCTTAAAAGAAGCCGCAGTGTCGGCTGACGATGTTACTGGCAGCATGCGCAAAGAGAAGAAGAGAAAATAAAAATAAAAATAAAAGGGTCGGCTGGTACCGGAAGAGTGCTCGGATGAACCAACGTGCAGAGAAATGAGGACCAAGGTTAAAGGCAAACAAAGGCAAACAAAGGCAGACACACGTTGGTGAAAGAGTTAAAGAATAACAAAGTGATGATGAATACGAGGTAAAAGAGGAGCACTGATGGAGCAAGGCAAGGCAATGTGCAAGGGTAGTCTATGCAGCCGATTTTTTTTTTTTTTTTTTTTTTATAAATGTATTTATCCTGCTTTTTGTTTGAAAGAATGCAGTAAACGACTTTAACTTAATGGTATCTGGCACGAGCGCAGAAGGGTGGATGTGGCTTGACTGCTTCTAATCAACATCGTCATTATTTCCTGTCACGCCGGTGCAAAAGGGATCGGGAGACAGCAAGCTTTGTTTTTAAAGAGCCTTTCTGCTCATTGACCGTGCGCAAATGCACAGATGCAGAATCTAACACGTGGCTTTTTATTCTCTTTTGGATTTCCATTGCCTATGAAAAAGTCTTTCATCTTTCTACTTGCTATCCAGCTATTCAGCTCAACATCAAGCCTTACTCGTTACTGTGCTTTCATTTTGCTTCACATAAATCTCTCTGCCTTCAATTAGGTAGATCACTTTGTTGAGAGAATAGGCCCCGATGATACCAAAGGTTGTATATATATATACATATATATTTATCCATCGTCCTTTAAATCTTTCGGAGTTTGAGGCACTCGCTTTCTAATCGTGTATGAAATGTGCAATGTCCAAATTTGAAGAGCTTTTTGCCTTGCCCAAAAGCTAGGATTAATCCCATGTGCCGTTTTTGCTCAAGGCTCAACTCATCTGTCATTCATTTCATCTTTATTTCATTTTAGGCACTCAGAAGGCTCTTTTTCATCTATCAAATGTCCTCCTTTTCCTTTTTTTGTAATATTGACCCTCCTCCTTCTTATTCATTTATTTTTGAGCATTCGACACCTATTTTTTTCTTTTTTGTTTATTGAAAAGAAGAAAAGAAAAAAAGGCTCGTCTCATCTGACGGATCATAATCTGCCTCATTACAGGATATCTTAATAAAGGTGTAATATTTGTGGCAATGAAGGGAGATCTGAATGAAAAATGAATATGGTGGCAAAGAGCAAAGAGTCGACTCTAGTACATTCGTTCATTAAACTGCGGGTGCTCTCATCCAAGAGACCAAAACCTGAGGAACTGGGCCAGAGAGAGGCAGCGGCGTGAACAACAGCCACACAAAGTGAATGTTTGGAATAAAGAGGTTGCGCCCAACAATGAGCCCAAACTGAACAACAGCGTTGCAACTGCCTGTCCTGCCTCGCCTTTAATTGGCCTTGTCTCCTCCTCTCCTTTTTTCCTCCTTCAACTCTTCTTTGCATCACCTGTACTCATTATCTCACTCTTGCCCATTGTCATACTGGCTATTCCCTCCTCGATCAACACGACGTCACTCCTTTATTGCAGTTTCATACATGCACAACCAAATGTCTATACCTGTTCCTAATGGAATGCCACTTTCTCCTCGGGTAATCAACTTCGAAAAGAATGAACTAGGAAAAAAAAATGAAATGACAAAGTGGAGCAAATGGAGAGCGCTAGTATGCTTGTATGGAAGATCCTATTGAAGCAACAACAATAAAATAGTCCGGAAAATATCGCTGCTCTCCTGTGAATTAGTCAATGCTTACATTCAGCCTCTGTCCTCTTTTTTTCTGTAATAAATAGCCTTATCAGCCAGGGCCTGAGAGCATACTTCGGCCTAGCCCAGGGTTCAGCCATCAATTGCCATTGCGACCTATTCCTTCCCATGTACACAACTACTCTCCTGTACTATCCGTTTTTTTTTTTAAAAAAAAAAAAAAAAAAAAAAAAAAAATCAATAATAGTAGTATTAACACATATTTTATCCCAATCATAGCTTCAACGTCCACCATACGAGCAACAGCAACAACAACAAGCTATGATACCATTAAACTTATTAAACCCACTTGAGGATCTGCTTGAGAGCGAAAAAGAATATAATACGGATCTAAAGATTCTTCTCCAGGTACTAAAATAAAGAGGCTTTCAGTATGATCTATTATTACCTAATTGAACAAGCCGGCCCAATACTCGGATCAGTTCATATTAACATATCAGCCTTTGTCTGTTTTATTTATACTCTAGCGTGTATCGGCAGGATGGACGCAAGATCATCTTCCTCCCAAGGAAGTGGACTTAATGCTCAGGAATATTGAGGACATCCATGCACTCAGTCGAAAGCTATCTAAGCGATTAGCCGATGTGGCGACAAATGAGGATGTAAATAGAGAGTTGAGCTTAGTGCTAGTGTGGTTTATGGATGTCATGGAATCGCCTTATTCCAATTATTGCAGGAGCCACACTCCAAAATTGGACAGTTGGCCCGAGATCATGTCCAACTCCAGATTACAGAGCATTTTGGCAGTAAGTGGAACGACGGCAGTGGAAATATTGCTGCCAAGGTGTATCATGCAACGATAGAGCGGCTCGACTGATATTCACCCTCCATGCACAATTTTCATAATAATAGGAAATCGCAACTGAGCAAGTGCAGCATGTTACGTTGGACTCTTTTTTTATGAAACCAATTGATCGTCTCCATTACTACCATCGTCTTTACATGGTAATACGTTCAGTCAGTGTTCTTGACTTGGCCACTAGAATAGACTTCAGCTTGTCATATATTTATCATTCGATGGTTCTAATTTAATTTGCATTCATGCTCTACTCATGATGTAGCGATTGCTCGAATCTTCAGAACGCGGGGCGCCCGATTTTAACGCGTTAGAAGCAGCATTAATGCGGATTGACGCCATTTTAAGATTTGTTTCAGTAGATATCTCAGGAACATCCCGCTACCCTACATCTCCCGCAATGTCTGGAATATCGAGCATGTCAGCACTTCGACATGCTTTACCATCACCACCCCTCACAGACCAAAATACTTCTCCGAGATTTCCGCCACAGACTAGGGGCCACAGTAACCCGATCTCGCCTGCACTACCGCCCTCACCCATGTCTCCTGGCATGAGCCCAAACTATCGGCCTTTGCATAACCTGAACAATCCTTCGCGGACGGCTGAAGCCATGTTGGAATTGGAAAAAACACTAGACACTTCAAAGGTCTTGGACCTGTTCACCATGCAACCCAAAGTATGTCGATCCGATCTTCATTGCCTCTCACTTGCTTCAAAAACAGTTAACTGATACTAAAAAAAAAAAAAAAAAAAAAAAAAAAAATTTACTATCATATTTGATTAGGCATGCGCGCTTTCATTAGCACTGGTTGAGCGTGAAGTCGTCATTCGTGGCGACTACTACTTTACAGTGACAACTGACGGCAGTATAGCGGAACGATATGAAGATGGGCACATTTTGTTGTTATCCGATTTATTGCTGATTTGCAGGACAAAAACGCAACAGGAAATCGAAAGTAACCCAGAAGGAAACATCTCAACACACTGGCTCCTCTTTCCTCCCCTCGCTATACGATATGTTTTTGCTAGAAGCGTCACATTACCGGATCAAGGTACATAATCCCGAGTAATGCTTTTTTATTGCAAGTTCATCCCCGTTAATGATGGTTGAAGTTAACGTAAAGTCAAACTATCTTAATTTTCAACAAAAATCAAACAAACAAAAAAAAAGTACCGGTCATGGAATTGAGCATTGTCAATAGAGTTACAGCTCTGATACGAATCACGGAAGATCAACTTAGAGCCGCATGGATCTATGAAGTTAATAATGCACAACAAAGTGACGCTTCCAAGGCAGCACAACAGTCACAGCCACATCCACAACTGAACAGAAGCATTACACAAAGTCGACCAATGCATCCTATAGGGCCTGGGTCTCCAGCCTTCAATGGAGGCCCAGCTCCTATGCATTACCACAGCGCACCTATCTCATCACCTTTTCAGGGACATCCTGACGGACCTATGAGCCCCGCTCTCCGACCATCTATGCAGGCCATGGGTGGAAGGCCACTGATGGGAGGGCCTATGAACTCGCCTGGATTCAGGCCCCAAATGCTTCCTGGTAGTGGGCCAGGAGGTCCTAGGCCAGGTTTGATGCATCACGAAGCAGGGTCATTCAGTGGACGCCCCTCCCCTCGGCCATTCAACCGCACGATGGTAAAAATGTATACATATTGACGGAAGACAGGGAGTGATCGTAACATAATGATTTTGTTCGATGAGATTCATGCTTTTGTTTTGATATTTGCTTTCAATGGGAGCTAGAGCATGCGGCGAACAAACACGATGGCCAGCAGGTCAGGAGCACCCAGAGGACGTATTGTAAACAAAGGTGATGTAGCAGCGGCAAAGGAAGTTTTGTTCAAGACGAAACCATGTGATGTTTTCCAATGGCGCGAAGATAACTGGGAGCCACTTGTAGAGGATGACGATGTTATTGTGGAGCTACGACTGACTGCAGCGAATCGATTGGCCATGGCAGTTACTTCGTGTGAACATGGACAGTTGGTCCTCAATGCATGGATTGTCAATTCTACGACTTTCCGCCGCGCCTCTGAAACAGATGTCAGCGTCTCGTTGGATATGGGGGCAGGTGCGCAGTGGTTCACAGTAGCACTCAACACAGGACGAGAAGCAGAGGATTTCTGCATTGCTTTTCAAAGAACAAAAGACCGCGCCATGTACGACCCATCCTTACAAAAGTCGGTCTCGCCAGTTCTGTCTCGTGGAGATTCTTTGGCTTCATCTGTGACCCAGAAAGTACGGCCTGTGAAACAAACGCTCAATACAATGTACCCGCCGGCAGAATGTAAATTACTCTTGCAAGGAGGCGACCATGGTCAATGGATAAGTCTTGGAACAGCAAGAGTAGAGATCAAAATGGAGACGCCATCGGGCCATGTAAGACTGTTTGTATCACTGGTTTCAGGGAATAAACAGGTCTTGGATAGCGTGATCGTACAATGCGACTGTCTAGAACTGGTAGGACCTAAAAAACTAGCAATCACATTGATGAACCCTCAAGAGAAGATGAGCATCATCTATATGCTCCAGTTCAAAGATGAAGGGATAACTACCAAGATCTTTGAAGGACTGAGTCGTAATGAAAGCGAATAAGCTTACAAATAGATAGATGCATCATCCATCGATATGTGTATATATATATATAATATGATCATTATAAAAATAGAAAATAAAAATACAAAATACAGGCAGATCCCACGGTGCCAGAATTCGACAAGTCTAGTAGGCAGCCGCTATGAACACGACGTGCGGATAAATTTAGATAACAAGGTGGAAAGGAGAGGAATGACGATCCATACTAAATATGAACCATTTGAGTTAAGCGCCCCAAAAATGCTCCAGCTGGGCTTTGAGATACTCCTCTGTCGTCATCAAGGCTTTTCAAGAGAAGCAGATCCGCACAGGCATCTTTTGAGCGATATCCAAGCCAAAGGAATAAGAGAAGAAGAGGATCTGCAGCATTTTTACATTTTGTGTGTTCAGAAATTAAAGTTTTATTCATGAATTGAAAGTCTGAAACTTTTATTTATTTTCTTTCTTGTGGCACACAACAGTCTCCTCCCCTCATTCTTCATGGACCAGCCACGTTCATCCGAATATCCCAATGGGGATCATGGGAGGGAGAAAGGAGGCGAGGATTCAAAGTTTTAAGCATAAAAGTAAAAATATACATGCGCGGTGTCTAGTCTAGTGTTGAAGAGCTTTTGAGATGCTGAAAATAAATGTAAGAACCACAAATGAAAGATGTGTGTCACAACAAAACGAAACAATTGGGATGAATGCCTGGAGAGAATTACTCGGACATTGATCCATTTCCTAATCATGAGTTTATCTCACCCAACGGACACGGAAAACCCTTGACTTGTTGTGTTCATGTTTGCATTGATTGTGGGACAACTGTTGTTTTTCTCACAAAATCAATGCTACACAAAGTAAATTGTCCAACATCAAGAAATAAAGGATCTTCTTTCTTTCTTTCTTTCTGTCGAACTACATTAACGACCCCAGATCTTCGAACTCTGTGCACGGTGTCAATCCACAGAAGGCTCTATGAGTGAAAGAGTCCTACTATCAGTATAACAAGACTCTTCATGAAAAACGTTTTTCAATCTCAAGCTGTCCTGAGTACGTAGTGTTTATCAGAGCAAGACTGAGCGACTAGAGACGAGAGCGACATCCCTCCCATTGTCTTTTTTTTTTTTTTTTTTTTTTTTTTTTTGAGAGCACTCATTTCCAGCGATTGTATATAGAAAAATATATCCCTGATATATATAATATTATATATATTTATTATTATTACAGCTGCAGACGCGAGAGCCGGCTCTTTTTTTTTTTTTTTTTTTTTTTTACTCTCCCTTCCGTCTTGTCCTTAACCGTAGGGGGAGAAGTGTATCCTCAAAGGTACCACTAAACAAACCTCAATGGAGGGATGAAAAGAGAGCAGCAGGACATGCTGTGAAAGGATTGGGTTGATATTGATGGATTGTAAATGATGGATGGATGAAGATGACGCCTCTTCTTTATTTTTTTTTTTTGTTCTCTTCATCTTTTTCTTTTCTTTTTTTCTTTCTTTTCTTCTTTTACTTCTCATTATCTTTTTCTTCGCATCACCTGTCCATTTGCTTGTTCAGCACTCTTTCCTCTTTCCTTTAATCTTTCCTCTCCCTACGACCCCCTCCACCTCGCCTGACATTACTTCCAGACGCGAGAAGACCACACTCATATCCTTCATCCACATTCCTCGTTCACAAATCTATTTTTGTTGAAAAAGTAAATTTTTTTTAAATTGCCCAGCAATTGCAAAACCCGCCATTTTTGTCTCGCTTTGATTGATTGCCCTGACCCCTTCTCCTGACACAATAGCAACGTGTGTCTAACTTTCGGCAGTAATTTCTTCTTTTTTTTTCCTTTTCTTTTTTTTTTTCTCTTTCATTACACACATTCTTTCATTTCATTCTCATCCATCAGAAATCCTTTCACCATGCGCTTCACTTCCGCCATCGTTTCCGTCGCTGCTTTGCTTGCCCTGTCCTCCTCTGTCAAGGCTCAGGATGCTGCTTGCTCTGCTGTCCTGAATGACTATGCTCCTACCGGCAGCGGTGCTTACTCAAAATGTTACACCGAACAGGTTTACAACGCTGCCCTTGTGGCCCAAGGCGGCAATCCCGATTACTCGGATATTATTCACCAGGTTTGCACCAAACCCGCATGCCCACGTTCGACCCTTTTGACTGCCACCACAAAGTACCTCGCTGCCTGCGGTTCTTCTATTGATGCTGAGGCATCCTCTAGCGGTGGCAACATTCTTCAGCTTGGCAAGAACGCCTTGGAGGTCTTCTTTGCGGCTCCTATCCATGAAGGCTATTGTGCGGAGGATCCTAATGCACCTGTTCCAAGCCCCACGGTGCCCCCAACCCCTCCACCAATCACCTACTGCTTGGAGGCCCCTGTGAACAACCCCGCTTCTCGCTTCGTCTCCAACTTGGCCATCTACTTGACCTCGGGTTCGATTCGCTCCTCTCAGGCCCCATTCTTCTTGGCAAACAACCTTGATCCCAAGGATGTGTGCTCGCCTTGCTCCAGGATCGCCATGACATCTACCATTGATCATTTGGCCAAGAACAAGATGCCTGCTATCGCATCTTTCTACACACCCGAGTTTGTGCAGTACTGGACCAAGCTTGTTCCTGCCTACAACACTCTCTGCAAGACCACATATGCGCAGGCCTGGCCAGAGGGTACTTTGAATACGACTGTTCCCAATGTGCCCACTGGCACACCCAGTGCTCCCACCACAGCCTTGCCATCTGCCCCAGTCTCAGCCAGCCCTACGGCCTCACCTAGCAACAAGCCCGATAGCGCTGCTGGTAGCATGAAGCCCGCTGCTGGTGCTGCTGTTGCAGTGGTGATGGCTATTGCAGCCTTGCTTTAAGGCTGACACAAGATGACATCGTTTTCCCCTTTGCATGAGATAATCGATTTTGATCCTCTTGATTTGAGTTATTTTTACCACGTTTCTACAAAGAGAAAGAAAAAATTATTCCCGCGGTGGGCAGCTGACTGAAAGAAATTACTCCTATTTCATTCACTGCATGCTTATGGAATACATCATAAAAAAAAAAAGAAGAAAAAGAAACAAATAGAAACAAAACTTTTAATACTCTCAAAGAAGAACAAAAAAAAAAAAAAAAAAAAAAGAAAAGTACCTTAGAATAAAGCCACAATGTAATAACAGCCAGTCATAGAAGAAAAAAGAAACATTTTTGTTGTGTTTTTGTTTATCTCTGTGGATAGGATGGATATGATGATATGATATGAAATGATGTAGCACAACGATCCGAGATATAGAAGCTTAAAGGTTTAAATGTCATCTTGCCAGGTCATGTCACAGGACCGGAGGAATGTGGAATAGAAGTGATAAATAAAAATCATTTATAAATGATTCTTGAGATAAAGCATCTATATACATCTACATAGATTATGACGAATGGATAATATTAATATTAATATTATATTCTCAGACGGACAAACATATTTGTTCCGCATCCATATCCATTATTCATATTCATATCTTAATTCCATTCCTTCAGTTATTCCGTTCGCAATGGTCTCACGCGATGATCGCACTATCCCCCATTTGGCCATTCTGTCCATGAGACACGGATATTTCATCTATTTTGGGTGCAAATGGCTCTGACCGACAATTGTCGCTTCTCCATTAATTGACCCATCTGGGCGTTTTTGATATCCTCCTTTTCATTAATTAGCATTATACATCCGCATTTCTATATTCTCTCTCCTCCTCCTCTTCTTTCCTTTCCTTTTTCCGCTACTCTTTGTACTTGCTGAATAAAAGGACAAGTCTTTTTTTTTCCTTTTCATTTCTGTTTTATTCGCTTCTACATCACGATTTCTTATTACCTTATTATCCTTACCACCACCATTATTATTACTATTATTATTTAAAACAATCATGTCTGGCTATTTCCCTCCTGGTCAACCTGGCTATGGCTACCTTCCACCTCAACAGCCTACAGCCTATCCCCCTTCTCCTGCCGGATACTCTTCTCCCTATCCTCCGCAGCCTCAACAGCCAGGGTCTTATCAAGCACCACCCATGTACCCTCCTCAGCCCCAGCAACAGCCCTATGGAGCGTACCCGCCTTCTTCGGCCTCTTCTGTGTCAACACCATCCCATATGCCGTCCCCTCAATACCAGGCCTATCCTCCTACGAGCTATCCCGGATCCTCTATCCCGTCGTCATATGACCAAAAAATGCCATCTCAAGACGTCTACCCTCCATCGTATCAGAATTATCCAGCATCGACGGAGCAATCGTCGTCATCATCACCTTATCCTGCTTATCAGGAACTTGACAAGGATTTTGGATCCTCAGTGTATCAACAACCACAACCACAGATCTGCCCACCTGCACCACAAGGATACCCTGGGCCCATAACAGGAGTAGAAACAGGAGTAGGACCAGGAGCAGGGACAGGACCAGGATCAAGAATGGGAGGAGTCATGGCAACTGACCAAAAGGACATTGATTTCTGGATGCGGGCTTATCCTCGTCCGACACATGGTCCTGGTCCTTGTACTGAACATCAAATCCAAATGTGGTTCTATCATATCAACTATAATCCCAATAATAAGCAGAAACCCCCAAAGGCCCCATCTTCATCATCATCATCATCAAGTCAGATGCATGGTGATGGTGGTAGCGTTGGTGGTGAGAATGGAAATCATTATCCGGGTACGACCATTCAACAACAATATCCATCACCTTATGCTCCGCCCATGTACCAAAAGCCTGAATATTCTTCATCTCATGAACAACACCAACACCAATACCAACATCAACAGCAGCAGCAGCAGCAGCAGCAGCAGCAAGGCTCTGGAAAGCAAACTCCTGACTGGATGAAGTTTGCTGGAAGCATGGCTGCTGGAGGATTAGCCCTTGGTGGAGCCAAGAAACTATTTGGAAAGTTCACTGAGGATAAGACTCGTCCTGCTCATCAAGGATAAAAAAAAAAAAAAAAAAAAAAAAAATTTATTTGTATCTTAAAGTCCATAGATCAAATATTGGTTGATTTCATTTCCTCTCTCTCTCTCTCTTTATTTTTTTTTTCCTACCTCTCTCTCCTTTCTCTCTTTTCTCTTTCTTTCTCTTTTGTGATAACAATCATGATTGATCTGTTCGGAATAAAATAAGTAGGTAAAAAATATAAATATAAAAGAATTTAATGAATGCCTTCCTTTGCATGGACAATGTCTGTTTGCGTTTGTTTGCTTTGCTTATTTGTTTATTTGCCTTGTTTGGTTTGTTTACACATCTTTGGGGATCAACTTTGTCGTAAAATGAGAACAGGTTGCCCTCAAATCCATCTCTCTGCGCAACAATGGATAATACAGTAATATTTATATATTTCGCTCCCATTTATTATTATATTGCATCATTAAATATTGAAACAAAAAAATATACACAAATGTATATGATAAAAGTTTAAAACAAAAAGTCAGACTTTTTTTTTATTTTATTTTATTGGAAACTGCCTAGTGGCGATTGGCCTGGGTCTTGGCCTCCAAAAGCATGTCGTTCTGGGGAGCGAGACCAACGCAGGCACGGAAGATGTTCTCCATAGCATAGCGCTGCTTCGAAAGAGCGTTAACAACTTGGGTACCGTGGGGAACCATGGGCGCCTTGAGCATGTAGGAAAGGATCGAAAGGACCGAGTTGAAAGGAGCAAACTTGGTCATCTCCTCAGTCTTGTACTCAATACGGGTCATGAGCTCAGTCAAGATGACCAAGTCCAAGATGAGAGGCGAGGCCAAGAGTGAGTCCTCACAGGTGTTGTACAACGAGATGGTGTTGCGACCTCCCATGAAAATCTCAGAGACATACTCATCCAATGCACGCTTCGAATCCTTCACAGCTGGGATGTACTTGATGACTACCAAGTGATCGGGATGCTCACCCTCCTTGTACAAGAGGTGGTTGGCAGCGACCATGTCGTCAACAACGTTCGACTTTGAGATCTCCTTTGAACGGAACTGCTGAGGTGCAGACAAGTTCTTACCGTCGTTGTTACCAAGATGGTTGTAGGACGAGATAGCAATGGGCTTGATACCGGCATTGACCAAAAAGTCAACAAGGACAGACTTGACCTTAGTCTGGCCAGACTTGAAGTCATCACCACCAATGTAAACGTTATGACGCTCAGCAAGCTCGATGCATCCAGGAACAAAGGTGTTTTGGGGCGAACCGTTGATGAAAGGAGTGTTCTCCAGAATCGAGGCAATAGCGAAAACGGTCGAAGGTGAAACTTCCTCATGCGACTCCTTGACGGACTTGAGCAAGTTGTCGGCAGTGTCGTTGACGCCATCTAAAAGGGAAGAGAAGCGCTCGGTGTTGGCAGTCCAGATAACGACTACCTTGTCCAAGTCATTGGCAGCCTTGAAGTTGCGGATATCGGCGCGGATTTGCTCGACATGAGCCTGCTTGTTCGTTCCGGGAATAACATTGTCGGCACGGTCAGACTGATTGGCAGCAATGAAGTCAGGGTAGTAGACTGAAGGGAGAGGCTTGAGAGTAGCCATCTCAGCCTTAAGCTGACGTTGGAGATCGTAATCGAGGACTTGAGCGCGAGCCATGGCATCAGCGAGGTTGAAGGACGAGATGTCCCAGCCGCCAAGGACGAGATCATTGGGGTGGACCATGGGAAGGATGTCGGAGAAAGGGATGTAGACATCATTGCCCTTGGCATCAACACCCAGCTTCAAGGTCGAAGCCTGGACGACGGAGCCATAGTAGTTGGGCTCCTGGAGACCCTCCTTGGTATTCCAGGTTGTCTTTCTGCGGTTAGCAATGATGGAGGCGGTCAAGGTCGATCCGTTGTTTCCACCCCATCCAACCATCATGAGACTATTAGATATCACAGATCAGAAGCATTCCATTCAAGTTAGAAAAATTGATCAGGCACCAAATATTTTCAAGGAAAAAAAAAAAAAAAAAAAAAAAAAATATGCAGAGCTTTCTTTTTTCTGTGCCTCCTTTTGTGGCTGAAATTGATAAACAGAACAAGACCGACAGATCACATTCCATCGAATTGACATACCCTACACGTGGAACTTTGAGGTCGGTCTTGAAAGTGTACTTGACAGAGGTGGGGTTGACGGAGTACGATCCATCGATGCCCTTGGAGACGGTGGCATTCTCATAGACGTAGTCGGCAAGGATGTGCGAATCGGTGTACTGGACATTCTTGCTGTTGACCTTGAAGGCCAAAGGGGCAGCGGCGGTGGGGATTTGTTCAGCGGCAAATGGAGGCATGGTTAGAAGCTTGTTGTTGGGGGATTTTTTTTATATATAGTTCTTGGGTGTATTCTTGGTTTTCGGACGGGGATTCTTGGAAGTAGTTGGTTTTGAGCGGGGGGGGGGGGGGGGGGGGTACTAGTGGGTAATCGTGGAAGAAACGTCTGGGGCAGAGCGAGTCTCGTTACTTGGATGCTTTAGGCTTGGGACTCGTTCTCTTTCTTCCGCGGTGGGGGTTGTGGAGACTGGCAAGCTGGTTGGAAAACGTGGTTGCTAGACTCGGGGTTGGCTGCCAAAGAATATGGTAGCCAAACAACGGTTTGTGTGTGATAAGGTTCTTGGGGGGTAGAAAGGTTTCTGGGGAAAGAAAAAAAAAGAAAAAAGAAAAAGCTGATGTTGCAGTGGTTGTTGTTGAGATTGAGAAGGAGAAAGTAAAAAGAAGAAAAAAGAAGAAAAAGGAAGGAAGGGTTGGAGAGAGATGAGTTTTTATAGTCGCAAGCAGGGCCAAACTCATCATCATCTTTTTTTTTTTTTTTTTTTTTTTTTTGTCATCTCGATTAGATTGTCCCTTCCTTCAGTTCCAAAATAGAGAAAACATTTGTTACGAGCTTGAATCTTATCAGCACCATCCTCAGCCAATAGGAAGCACCCTCGCAAATCTTTTTTGCACGATGGGGTGAAAAAAGTCCTCTTTCTTGTTCTTCTTGATTCTTTGCTGGTGCGGGATTTCTTTTATGCCAACAGCAACCATCACATTACTGGTCTTGGATACTCAGGCACAGGCAGGTCTCCATGCAAAATAACAAGCTAATCTCTCTTTTTTTTTTTTTTTTTTACTTTATTTTAGGTATATACCGAGCTAGAGTATCCTAATTTTCAACCTCCTCTTGTTTTTCAGTAAAAATACCTTTCCGTACATCTTACATCCAAATCATCTATCACCATCATCAACAACAATAACCAACAACAAAAAGTAATACGGATTCCAATGTAGTTAACGACACGATTACAAAGATATCTATCAGCTTGATGTTCTTGCTTCGGCTTTCTCTTTTCTTTAAAAAATCGACTGTTAGCTTTTGATCGAATATGGTAATGGATCGTCACATCAAAGAAAAGGGGACCCATGAGGAAGTGACACATTTCATTTAAAGGAGTGCCCAACTTTTTTTTTTTTTTTTTTTTTTTTTTTTTTGGAGATGCACAGTCGTCGTTGTTTATTTTGGACGCCCAGGTCCAGCATTGGGAGAGCAGGCATAAAAAAAAAAAAAAAAAATTTGCTCCTTTTTTTCCATCGCGTGTTTGTGTTTATCCTTCGGAAGGGGAGGAAAAAAAAAGCGTTGTGTTCACATTACACATCGCATGTGCGTAATACACATCTGGCACGTTGACCGTTGCTCTCGATAAGACTTTATGCTTTGACCTGTATTTCCCAGAAAGTGATAAACACACACAATAAATGTTCACTCAATAAAGCCAGTTAAATGTAAACTTGGTTTTTTATGATGATTATTATTTGTCCTGCTAAATAGTCTTGATAGTTCTGAAGACCAGGACAGGATTTTTTTTTTTTTTTTAAAAAAAAAAAAAAAAAAAAAAAAAAAAATCACTCCATCAAGTGGATTCTCTATACTTTCCCAGGATTGGAAATGATTTACTCGAGCAAGAAAAAAAAAAAAAAAAAAAACTATAACTATAACTATAACCTGTTTTTATTACAGTAACCATGCAGTAGACCAATACGACAGCTATGCGTGTGCAAGTATGGCCTGTACGCATGGGACGGCGTTAGGATTTGCCGAAGCGCTGGAAAAGAGTGAACGGAATCTTCTGTGAGTGCGATCCAGGCACCAGTGAACCGTGATCGGATTTCATGTGTTTGCTCTCTCTTTTTTCTTTGCTTTGCTTCGCAAAAACAATTAAATGTTTTACATCTAGGACCAGAAGCACACAGGACCATGTTCATTTACAATCCAATCCAGCTCCACCTAATTGAACGTTATCAATTGCATAGACAATTGCAGAATCAATGTTTTTGTTGACAATTCTGGATGAGATGACTAAGTCGACTTTGCTTTTCTACTTTTTTTTTTTTTTTTTTTTTTTTCTTTATTGACAAACCTTTACACAGAAAGCAATGAGATTGAACTGAAAAAAAAAAAAAAAAAAAAACAGTCCTCAATCTTCGTTGAGGGATCATTCAGTTGAAGTCTACTCTGTCAAAAACAATTCATTTTCCATAGCACGCCACCAAATCTGTCATAAATGAAAATACGAAAAACTTTTTCACCTCTTTCTTTTTTTTTTTTTTTTGTTTCTTCTATCACTAATTCATTCCCCTTACGCACGTGTTAGAGAATATGTCTCGCCGCTCTACTCGAACTCGTAAGAGTCAATTGCCAGAAGAATATCTAATCTTTTTTTTTTTTACTTAATCCATACTAATTCATTTTCTGATATAAAAAAAAAAAAAAGGAACCGCTATCGTGCCTGCTACTGATGCTCCTATCTCGTCACCAAACAAGCTCAAGGAAAGGAGTACAACAGCATTATCAACTTCTGTAAAACCATCTGTCAAGATTACAAAAAACACAACCACGGCAGATGCAGATAAACAGAGCAAGGAAAACAAGGACAAGGTCAAGGACAACAGGGTAGACGCAGACACTTCACCAGATGATGAAAAAAAGAACGACTTGATCGTGCCCTTAAAGAAACGCCGGATCACAAAGGAGCGAAAACAACAACAGGAACTCGACATTGAGAGCGATGTCAAAAGTCGATGTACATGGGCAGCTAACACAAAATACCCTCTTTTGCAACAGTATCACGACACTGAATGGTGCATTCCCGGCGGCTTCAATCGTACAAACCGCTACCTCTTTGAGATGTTGATTCTTGAAGGTAAAACAAAAAAAAAAAAAAAAAAAAAAAAAAACTTTTTGTTGAACGCGTGGAAAATTATACCTAATATCCGTTTTTTTTTTTTTTTTTTTTTTTTTTTCTTCCCTTCCTGTTATGTGTTTATTTTGAAATAGGCGCTCAAGCTGGCTTGTCCTGGGCAACTGTGCTCCATAAACGGGAGGCATACCGTAAAGCCTATGATAACTTTGACTATAATGTGATTGCAGACACCTACACCTCACCAGAATCGAACGAGCGTCTATTGAAGACGGATATTATTAAGAACAAACTCAAGGTTGAAGCATCCATCGTCAATGCCAGGGCATTCAAAAGATTGCTCCAAGAGCTTTATCCTGATCAGGCCCAGCCAGAGGACGAAAATGGGTTCTGGCAATTCTTGCAGGCCTACAAATATAGACCGAAAGGTCAGGAAAGGGCCAAAAGTACGAGCCATCATCTGGAGAAGGATATTATCGTCAAGAATGAAGAGTCTGATCGCTTGAGCGCTGACTTGAAGAAGCTAGGCTTCAAGTTTGTTGGTAGGTTTATCATCCATAATCGTTTTTTTTTTTTTTTTTTTTTTTTCACTCTTCAGTGGGCAGATCATAAAAAGCTAAACTTTTTTTTTTTTTTTTTTTTTTTTTTTTTTGTTTTCACATCACTTCCGTGATCAACCAATAGGTAGTACAATCATGTATGCCTTTCTCCAGGCTATCGGGATGGAAGTAGAAGGTGTCCATCATAGTCGCGATTGCTTCATGAATCCCAATAACATGTAGGCTATCTGGCTATCTGTGAATAAAACAATAGAGAGACCTCAATTGAAGATACAGACAATAGTAAGGGCTCGGTCGGGATGGATGGAGTGGTTGAATACTCAGGGCATGGGAAAAAAAAAAAAAAAAAAAGAAAAGAAAAGGGCTTTAGGAAGCATGGTAGTAGTCCCTTGTTCTCTCCCTTGTATCTTGACGAAAAACGAGAAGAACATGTAAAATAAGCATTTGATCCTGATCCGTTTTCCTCAAAAAAAAAAAAAAAAAAAAAATAGCTCCTTTGGCTGTTTCGGAGTAGGTTTGATCTTCAACAGTTAATGTTGTCTCCCCTCCCCTCTCAAGTAGCTTAATATTTTTTTGTGTCTAAATAATCTGGGTCTTTTTTTTTTTTTTTTTTTTTTTTTTTTTTTGAACGTGACGAGATCAAAAGGAAACATGAATGATTCGAATCTCATGCTGAGTTACCTACAAATGTTTGCTGAGTGTGCCTAGAGAGATGTGCTGCCTGCCAATCAGCTTTGGACCATTTTTCCATCCTTACAGGGGGATTTGGTGTGGTGAGCAAGTTGATGATGTTGAGATTCTCAAAAAGTAAAAATTAATTGATTGATGTCTCTCCTGTCCATGTAGCATTTAAGCTCGCTTGGACGCATAATAGGTCGAGAAGTAGAAACATTCTTTTAGACTTTTAGATCATCGTAATTTTTCAATATGCAATAATCAATAATCGCGCCGATAATGTGTTTTATTGAATAAGAGCACGCGTCGTGAATAAAGGAATTTTAAAAAAAAAAAAAAAAAAAAAAAAATGTATAAATATAAATAAAGTACAAAAAAAAAAAAAAAAAAAAAAAAAAAGGGTGCAGTGTATGAAAAGGTATGATACAGAAACATAGGATACAATGATTCCAATGTTACGAAATGTAAGAAGGCTCTATGGTACAATAGGTTCGATAGATGAAAGTGAAGGAAGTGAAGGAAAAAGTAAACCTGTAGCACGTGTATAGACAAGTTCCCAGATATGAACAAATGATCAACACTTGAAAAATAAAAGAGTCCTCAGTGAACAAACCAAAATTTAAAGGCGCAGCATTGAGGACAGGGCGCGCAATTGACGATCGTCCTCGACCCATCGAGTTTTCTCGCGTGAGATCTCCTTTGGCTCAAGTTTAGGGAGAAGCAATGTATGGGTTGCTAAATTTGCCAGGACTGAGAGAGAATCCTGCTCATGAAGACTTGAGCGATCTTTGGTGTTGTTCTCATATGGATGGTGGACAGGAGCCAACTCACGAAGGGCTGGGATCATGATGGGTGCAACATTTTCGGCTGTAAAATGATCCTTGGGCTCAGCCATGGTAACATCGGTCGTCAAAGGTTGCTCATCGTCAGAGGCCCAGGAAGCGACGGGTGAGTGGCCGGGAGAAGGGAAGGAATTGGCACCGGGGCTGGAGGATTTATATCGCTGCTGTCCATGCAGGCCGTTCCTTGGGACTGAAGAAGAATGGATGGCTAGATTACTGTTTGATCGTGAACGGAGGCCGAGATGCTTTCCCTCGGGAAGGTGGATCGGGGAATAGCGATGTTCCCTCAGGCTGTGGGAGCCAGAGTTGGTTCGACGATGGCCGGACGAATGCATGGATGAAGAAGAGTCGCTACGACGATGATGATGAGGTCCTGCCTTGGCATCAGCCCGCAATGATGACGGGTCCTCTTCTTCCTGGTTGGGTCTTTGTTGAGGACGCTGTCGGTTGCGGTAGGGCATATTCGGGGATGGACTGGACTGCTGGACAGTAGGAAGGGTAGGTTCTGCTGTGGCGGAGGTGACGGAGGGGGTCTCTGGATAGATACCCTTTGGGACCATGATGTCGGCAAAGCGTGGGTCGGTAGAGGGTGTGATGCGCAGACGCTCACTGTGGACATCATCATTGGTAAAGTAGGAGATGAGATGGAGCTTTTGATTATCAACGGTGGTGATGCTGAATGATTGCTTGAGTAGACCTTTATCACGATAGACGTTCTTGCCGGTATGGTTGCCCTGTGAATCGTCGAGCTCACGATAGGTCAAGAAGCTGCCGGTGACACGGCTGGGGCTCCAGCTCTTGCCATCGGTCCAGCGTCTCATGCCGGCTTCACGCTCATCAAAGCAGTAGACGGAACCTGAACGGACGCACTGACGCTCAATGTCGGACAGACGGCGGTGCACACGAGAGAGACGACCTAGGCGACAGGCTGTGTATTGTGGATTGGGATTTGCATGATCGAGGTTAGTCCAAAGGGATGTGTTCGGGTGTGTCCAAAAGAATAGAAAGGAAATAAGAAATAAAATAAGGAGAGAATAAAGTGAAGATGACAAAAGAGAGGTGGCGCAGGGGCGAGGCTAGACTTTAAGATTATGTTTCGATGAGAGCTGTACCACAGGAGTGGCCACACATCATCCCAAAGAAAGAAAAAAAAAAAAAAAAAAAAATCTTCCCAGAACAAGGCACCGCCTCAAGAAAGAAAGAAGGAAAGGGCTTGGAAGAATGCAATGCAAAATAGGCAGTGCGATTGATCAAGCATACAAAAAATAAGCTTATTTCTACATGTTACTTTTTTCCACTTGCCTTCAAAGATAATGAGTGCATCTTGTGGGGTCCTAATGAGACCAAAGTAGGTCTCCATAGAATTATGATCCATTGTAGGAGTTTAGCTTATTTGGGTCTCTTTTTTTTTTTTTTTCGTTTGTGATATCGTTAAAGAATAGGCGTAAGGGGGTTGTAGTATGATCAATAGTTTGGAGTGGAATGCAGCAAGGACCAGGAACACAAAGAAAGAAGTAAAAAAAGAAAAAGAAAAAGAAAGAGAAAGAGAAAGAGAGAGAGAGAGAGAGAAAGAAAAGAGAAAAGTAGGGTATGGTTGTTGCTGTTGTTGTTGTTGTTGTTGTTGTTGTTGTGTGTGTGTGGATGGATAGAGTAAGTAAGCAAAAAAGACAGAAAGAGAAAGTGTGTATGTGAGTTTGAGTTGAGAGAAGTGGATGAAGAAAGAAAAGAAAGAGAAGAAGGAAGGAAAGGAAAATAAAAAAAATAAAAAAATAAAAAAAAGGGGAAAAATAATAAAATAAAAAACTGCTTAAAAAGAGCTTTGGTATTTATACTTGTTCGACTCGTGGGGGTCGGATTTTATTTCTTTCGATTCATTTGTATTCTAATGCTCAAGGACAACAGGAATAATAATGAGAATAATAATAATAATGAGAATAATAATGAGAATAATAATGAGAATAAGGATAAGAATAAGAACAAGAATAAGGATTAGAATAAAAATAAAGAATAAATAAAAATAAGAATAAGAATAAGAATAAGAATAAGGATTTACAGTAACAGTAACAGACAGATATAAATATTTATGTAGCGTAATTAAAATAATACGACGACATGATATCATGATGTAGTGGAGCCTGCATTTAAAATAGTCTTTATTTCACACTCACCACCTTGCAAATATATGTATAAAATACATGTACACAGGCAATGCAAAGGCAATGCACCAGGAAATAAGAATAAGAAAAAGTAAAAGTAAAAAGTATACATGTATACATGAATATACATATACAAAGACAAACGACGGATATGAAAGAGTAGGGGACAGGTATCAATTGAGGCTTTTTTTATTCCATTCACTTAGTCTGTTAGTCTGTTAATCACTCGCTTTGTTATTTGTTACTTCCGAATAGTTTAAAAAATTAAGCATTTTTTATTTATTTTTTTTTATCTTTCTGGATGTTCCTGTTTGTTTGCCCTGTCTCTGTTACTCCGGCACTGTGTTTATCCAAAGCCCTTTTTTTACAACTAAAAACAAAAGGAACCTTCCCAATGCTTGTTTTTTTTTTTTTTTTTTTTTTTTTCGCCTTTTCTCTTTATTCATTAAAAGAAAAACGAAAAGGAAATCAAATTGCGTAGCCCAATGTAGAGACGCGCAGCTCCTGTTGTTTGTGTGGCGTATCTTTATGCAATTGTCAACTATCTTTCCTCTTTCTTTTTATTTTTTTTTTGTTTTTATATAGACAAGATGTGCTTTCGCAAAAATAAAGTTATGGATTTAAATCCACACAGCGGTGAGGATAACACTCCTATATTCCTACACTTTATGGATGAGACAAATACACCCCCGATGTTCAATAGCCTCTGTTAATACCTTGATGTGTGGAGCAAGTACAGATTAATAAAAAATAATAAATATAAATATATATACAAATATATATAAATATTTATATGTATATTGAATAGGAAGGGTCTTCTATCTTCTTCCAACTTATGAATAGGATAAATAGAACAGGTGTATATATATATACAAATGGTGTGGATTTTAGGATATTGCGGGTGTGGACTTTTTCTTTTTCCTTTCCCTTCGCTTGGCACTAATTTGGGGTCAGAAAAAGAAAAGAAGAAAAAAGGCATTGATATGACAGGCGAATATATTTGGGGGGATGTCTGCCTAGAAGGGATGGGATCCATGTCCAGAGTGTAATTGTTTCATTACCCTTTTCCGATATCAAATAACCCTATACGCATCCACGGACCTAAATTAAAAAAAAAAAAAAAAAAAAAACTCTCTTTCTGTCATCTCTAATGCTTCATTTATAACAATTTGATTTCCCTAATTGTAGATGAAATGTGCGCCCATCCAACCCCTGTGGATACACTTACAGGCAGGATTTGCCTGATTACATTTTATTCCGACGAAAGGAGAAAGATGGATGAACAAAGTAACAAATTTTTATTTTTATTTTTTTGTAATTATAACCGAAAAGGCACCCGAGGCTAGAACCAAGCAGCAAGCAATCTTTTGAAAGTAAAAAGGACCTTCAGACGTGAGTCCTTACTGAGGGTTTTATTTTCCTTTTATTTGATTTAAAGCATTAAATGCGACCATGAAATAATAATTAAAAAAAAAAGAAAAAAAAAAAAGAGCAAGCTGTCCTTTCTCCTAGAGGAACGAGTGTTAATAATAGTCAAAAGACAATAGCTTGGGAAGGAAATAATAATAAACATTGCTTATTATTATTATACACTCGTACATGCCACTTTTATCTTTTTTATCCTCATTCGTAACAGATATCACGAATAAAAATATACTTTTTCTTTTCTTTTTTTTTTTTTTTTATTTTTTTTTTTATTTATGGATCATGGAGGAGGTAATGCTATGCTATGCCATGCTATGCTTTGCAACAAGGGATCTGGAGTCTTTTCTTTTCTTTTCTTTTTTTTTTATACATATAAATACACATATATATTAATATATAAATATAGCCCATATTTATAAATCTTTGACAGCCAAAAAAAAAAAAAAAAAAAAAGAGTTCGTGTCATCCTGTATTTGGTCCATGATCCAAGTCATAGTATGTTCATGTATACCAGGATCTGATCATCTTTTATTCTTACACTGCTGTAGGAATATGGAATAACTTGATTCGTCATTTCTGTTTCGCCAAAACCATGTCTCAGCTTTGGTTCCTCCTATTTTGACCTTCTTTTTTTACTATTGCAAAAGCATAAAGTAAATAAATAAACATGCAAGGGCTAAAAGGATAGAAGGATTGTTGGCAATCCAATTCGAATGAATTTGTCCTGCACACTGCTCTTCAAAGTCGTCCAGGAATTCTTGGATGGGCACAGTCTATAACATTATTATTATTATTATTATTACTATTACTATTACTATTATTATTATTCTATTCTTTTTTTTTTTTTTTTTTTTTTTTTATTATAGAAAAAAAGAAAAATATATTTATAATAACAATAATCGACACCTCATAAAGTCTTGATGTCAGGCCTTGAGAACAAGGAGTTATATTTCCTTATTTATTAGCGGCGTAATGCATTGAAGGATGAGGTTATTAAGATCTTTTTTTTTTTTTTTTTTTTTTTTTTGGATCTTAGCCTGGACCGACAACGTAATATTTCTAGTCGTGAGTTAGATTTTATCCGGAAGATGAGTCTTTCATATGAAAAGAAACTGGCAAAGAAACTACGATCTACACTTTATGAAGGCGCTATTTTACTATTACTGGCTATTACCATTACTTGTTATTACTATTATTATTTTGAAAAGAAAAAAAAAAAAAAAAAAAAAAAAAGTCGACTGTGGCTGTTTGATCAATCTGGAGTTTCGTTCGAATTAAGATTTATTATTATTGGTACCCAATCATTCCATGGATAAAACGGATGCTCTTGCTCAAAAGCCAAGAATAAAAGGGATCAAATAATAACAAAAAAAAATAACAATAATAATAATAATAATCGTTCATCCATCCTGTTTGGAAATTGACATGTTTAACGAAAATCCAGAACTCCAGATGTTTGTTATTTTCTGATTTTCTATTTGGTGAAGGAACAACCTTTCATGCAGCTTTCCGCCAAACAGGGCGCATAAAATAACTCGTACAAGGCGGATAAAAAAGACGCAACGTAGACAAAGCAATGAAAGATAAGCTATAGCCTTTTGAAAACCTTATTTTTATCCACTCATTTGTTCCTTCGTAAGGAAGGGAAGGGGAGAGGGAGGAAGAGCACCCTGAAGGAGTGTCTTGGCAATTCAAAGCAAACACTAAAATCGATAGACGGAAAAATAAGGTGGACTGATAAACAATGAGGCGAAGGGATTTTTTTTTTTTTTTTTTTTTTTTTCTCTCGGCATGTCGTCCGAGCGGACTAAACATATTTACAGATAAAAAAAAAAAAAAGTAGCGCAGCCCTCATTACTATTACCAGCACAACGTCGATAATGTTGATGAGTAGAAACTTCTTGGTTCATCTTATTTATATACACCTAACAATAAAGCCCAACCTAACCTAATAATGTGGAATGAAAATAAAAACAATCTCATCGAGGTAAAGACAAAGCTACGGCAAGAAAAAAAAAAGCCTTTGAAATATTCAGTCGTCCAGAACATACTCTGTCTAAACGCTTTTTTTTATTTTATTATTTTGAGCGTGAGAAAAAAACTTTTTTTTTTTTTTTTTTTTTTTTTATTATACTAAGTAAGTTGTGGATCGTCGTCGTTCTTTCCGTAAGGATTACTGACCTCTATGGAACGCGACCCACAAGGAAAGAAAAAAAAAAAATAAAAAAAAAAATAAAAAAAAAATATCCCGAAGTTACACATAAAAAGTCAATTGTCAATTTTTTGATCATCTATGCTCCAGTTGATCCGATCATCAATTATTCAGCTTTGGGATGTTTTTATATGAATCGATGGTGTTCATACAATGGCTACGCCGCGTTTTGTTCCATGTTCCAGCTCTCGCTTCATTTTAAAGTTTTTTAAACTCGCCGCATCCTTCTTCCTGCGCCTTCTTTTTTTTTTTTTCCAACTCTTTGCCGTCCACTTGTCTGTGTTGTTTAGCACAATGGTTTCAAGCGTACTCGTTTTAAATAGCTACGCTTTTGCTACAGAGCTTCAGTATGCATCTAGACAGAGATTTATACCAGGGTCGCCCCTCTGTCACTGTCGTGATGTACGCATGCAAAAAAAAAAAAAGAAAAGAAAAAGTAACTCTTGATCCAATAGACTAATATATTTTAAATCGGCGCCTTCTTTATGTCATAACGGGGGTATAAAAAAGATCAACGTTATATTAATATATAATACAGTAGAGTTCAAACATTCAAGATGACTGTGTGCACGCTGCTCTTGAGTGCGCAGATGTGTTTTTCATTATTAAATAAATAAAGTTTTTTTCCTGATAGAATTTATGGTCCCGACAGCAGCGTGGTTCTCTCCGCTTTCGCTTGGCCTCATGACCTCCCTAGTTTATAGATGGACCCATGTCCACCTTCTCTTCAGCAAATACATGACATGACATGTATATATAAATATACAGGTGCTGTATGATCAAAATTTATATGTGTTTATCTATTTACACTTTTATAAACATTCGACTTTTATAAACATTCGACTTTGGAGAGAATGATCAGATCAGTCGCCGATCAGCCCCTATTCCACCACTCATGATCTCACACGATTTTTTTTTTTTTTTTTTTTTGATAAAAATACTTGGTGCTAATTCTGCTAATTCTTTAAAAAACCGCTCACATTTCTCCTCCGTCATGATGCCGATTCTGAACTTTGATCGAGCACAAAAGAAAAAAAAAAAAAAAAAAAAAAAAAACTCCTACACATATATATTTATAATACTAGTGTATAGACACGAGTGAGCAAGGGGAGAACTGAGTTTTTTTTTTTTTTTTTTAAAAAAAAAAAAAAAAAAAAAAAAGAAAGACATGATGACAAGCCCTGACATGGGACAATTTTCTATTTTTGTGTACTTGAGACATCTGTGTACATGTACTTGTTGATGAATGAGACAAAAAAGAGACGATGTGAACTAATTTCTGAAGGGGTGTGTCATTCATTGTCAGCTGCACACTAGGGTTTTCTGAGCACTTGAACGGTCAGGGACTTTTTTTTATTTTTTTTTTTTGCCAGGGGTCAGGGTCAAAGTCAGGATCAGGCTCAGGGACAGGGACAGGGTCAGGGTGAGGGTTGAATGGCAAAGAGACGTCAACATCACACCTAGATCCCCCAACAAGTTTACCCATCTGAATATACTTTTGCGTAATACTCCATCTTTCTCTATCAAGAAGGCCTTATCATTAGGTCTGTATTAAAAGAGTCTTTGGTCTAGAATGAGATGGAAAAAAAAAAAAAAAAAAAAAAAAAAAAAAAGAAAAAAAACAATAAACAAAAAACTGCGAATGAACCAAACTAGAATTAGCCACCAACAACACAGTATTGAATTGCGATATTGGAGTAAACATTTAATGGCAAGTGATTGTTTTTAAGCTCATTGAATTAATTGCACCTGGGCGGTGCAGGGTGTGGTTAAATGGCGGCTGGAGTTCTTTTGCCTCTTCGTAGCTATTTAGCCAAAGCTTGTTTATTCCGATGTGTATTCAACAATCAATCCAAACAATCTAATCAAAAAAAAAAAAAAAAAAAAAAAAAAAAAAAGGAGGCACAATTGATCCAGTGGGCAGGGTTGCACAAAACAAAGAAAAAACGCCATGAAAATGTTTATTGAGCATAAGCTATTTGCAAGCGGTGTTCAATTGAGCACACAACTTTAATAAAAAAGACATGCGCCACCACATAACATTCATGTATATAACAAATATTAACCGATTTACAGAAGAATCTTTTTCTACATCATAATTATTGCCTCAACTACGCATTTTTTTCTTTTTTCCTATTTTCTTTGATCCGCAAAGTGCATCAGTAGAAGACTGGCTAGTAACAGATCTACCAGGCATCTGGCTTTCTAAAGTTAAAAAAAAAAGGAAAAAAAAAAAAAAAAAAAAAAAAAGCCATCAAAAGCCTTTCCACTTGATTCTGACTGACAATTTTCGAGGCTGACAGACAAATGGATCGTCACGGGATTCACCACTTTGACATGCAAGCTCTACTAAACTCTTTGTTCATTTTGAAGAGACAATCAATCTCATCGCCCCACCTTTTTTCCCTTTTTCTTCCTTCTTTTCTTTTCTTTTCCCCTTATTCGCCCTCCACCTCTTTGTTTTCCTAGTCAACCCATATTTCTCTCATTCAATACAAATCAATGTCAATGGCATCCACAGCAGGACTCTCACGGCGTCGTGGAGCGGGAGCATCAGAGTCGGGAATGGGTCAGACCACATCTGGACAACTTTTAAACGGCAGTCGACGTTCCAGCACAGATGGTAAAATTGCTGCCGATCCTAGAGATCTGCAGATGGAAGATGAGAATCGGACACAACCTAGATTTACATTGATGGAAGAGATTCTCCTCTTGGGACTTAAAGACAAACAGGTACCTTTTTTTTCTTCCCCCCCACTCGATTTACGCCATTGTTTTCTCGTAACAATTATTTTCCTTTTTTTATTTTTTTATTTTATTTTCTATTTTTGTTTCACTTGCATGGACAGGAAGAGCTTTCTATGCGTGTAGCGAAAGCATCGGTTTAAATGAATTATGGATGCATGGGATCAGCGTAATACTCTCTTTTAACTTGCAACCTTTAACTTTTAACTTATTGGTTGATCCCCCCATTTTCAAGGACAAAACATCTCAGGTTACAAAACTACAACAAGATGATCTATACAGGAGAAAGAGAGAAGCATGCATGCACAACTAAAGATTGGCGTTGTTCGGTTCTTTATTTTTTTATTTTTTCTCTCTCTTGTGCTCTCTTCTTTGCGTTTTAATACTTGATACCTTTCGTTGGCGCTACAAAAGCCAAACAACAAACAGGATACGGAACATGAAAAAAAAAAAAAAAAAAAAAAAAAGGACTGCGAGATAATTATGGGTTCTAATCTGACCGTTTTTCTTTCCACCTTTATCATTTGATTTTCTTGATTTAGGGATATCTGTCATTTTGGAACGATAATATCTCATATACGTTAAGAGGATGTATCTTGATGGAACTTGCGTTCCGCCATCGAATAGCTATGGTCAAAGACCCCAATAGACGGAAATATCCCCTACCTGATCGATACATTGAAGTCATTAACGAAAAACTGACAGGAGAAGTGCTCTTAGATGAGGCACTAAAAATGATTGCTTCTACACCAGAAAGAATGAGCGTGGGTCAGTGGATTGATCTCATGAGTGGTAAGGCAGCTTTTTTTTTTTATTGTTGTGATCACACATCACGAGCATTGTAAGAAAAGTTTACTCCTTCCCCTCCCCCCTTGATTCCTCTTCTTCTTGACTTACTTTGGATACTCTGGATATCTGTAGGTGAAACATGGAATGTTATGAGGGTTGGATTCCAACTAAAGCAAGTTCGGGAACGATTGGCAAAAGGACTTGTAGATAAGGGCGTTCTGCGGACAGAGAAGCGTAATTTTTTGATTTTTGATATGGCCACCCATCCAGTCACCGACTCTGCGGTCAAAGAGGAGGTCGTCAAACGGACATGTACTACACTCATCTCAAGGTCAGCAGGATCAACGCCGACATTAGCTGAGCACAATTCACCTATTGCATATCAGCAGCTCAGGACAGTATCGATGGTATGTGCAGCGTATGCGGCAAATGTGCTGGAGAATGCTCTAATGTACCTTAACCACGAGATGCGGGAGCGTGCGTTTACAAAAGTGGACGAGCTCTTGACTGACTATAGTGTATTTCCATTTGGAGGGAATGCAAGCAAAGGCGAAATATTTGGCAAGGATCTTCAGATGGAGATTGTGGCAGCCGTGTTAAATGTGTTCACAAAGATGGATAGTATTTTATAATCGCGTAAAAAAAAAAAAAAAAAAAAAATCATAAAAATCATTAATATCCATAAATTTGAGTACTCTATTTTGATAAAGTAATGCAAGGGATGGATGAATTCATTATGACCGGACAAGGTCCCTGTGCTCTCAAAAAGCGCCATCTGTTGTTGATTTTGTTCTCATCCCTCTTGCTCTAATCTAATCAGTCACTCCATTGAACCAAAGGAAGCGGAAGCGCTTCACAGCATCAGCACATCAGGGGATCCATGTTACTTGCAGCAAGTTTGCACTCGGGGATCTCTCATCAGCTTCCAAAGTCTCAATCAACAAAGTCGTCCGTAAAGGAAAAGGACAGTTCATCCGCCCATATGCAGGACGCGCCCTCACAAGGCCTAACGAATGGCCACAAACATCAACAACCCTCTACTTCCAGTAAAAGACATCAATACCAGTCGCTTGCAGATGAGATGAGAGGTACAACACATTTTGAATTGTCAGAAATTATTCATTTACTTTTTTTTTTTTTTTTTTTTTTTTGACACATCACTCAATTTTATCGAAAACTAAGACCAACCTGTACTTTTTTTTTTTATTTTTATTTTTTTTCCTTCCTTCCCCCTGTAATAAAAAGATGTTCAGTTTAAGCATGATCATGAGCAAATATCTCCGGTGTTGTCAAAGACAAAGTTCAGGACAGCAAAGGCGCATAGCTCATCACACCTTGAAATCAAAAAATTACAAAAGATACCCCGGAAAGAGTTGTCGGATCCTCATGGAACTGCAGGGGGATTCGAACCTATATATCCCTATCCAGAAAACAAAGATATCATTGTCTGGAGGACAAAAGACCCCAAAACCGCCATGACCACCACCATTTCAACACTTGATACACGTCCTAACTCTGATTCCAGATCTCGCATGTCACAAACTCGACGGATGATGGATGAAAAGATGGAACAGCGTCGAAGGGACGTCCTACGGGATCTCTCTGGTCAGTTGGCAAAACAGGAATCGTCACAACCAGAATTGCTCAAGAAATCAAGTAATAGTAGCATCCGTAGCTCAAAGGAGAAAGCAGCTGACACATCAATATTATCAGACCTAAGAAGGTCGCCTGAGAATAACTCAAGACATCATCCATCCAGAAAGTCATCCTCATCTGCCAGTCCGCCTACACAACACAATCAAGCTCCACCATCACCTCCGCTAAAATCATCCTTAAAAAGAAGTAGTCGTAGTAGTTATAGCATGGATAGCTTTGACAAACGACTCTCAGCTGGTAAGACGCACTTACAACGGATTTTATCCTTGCCTGGCTTTGAACCCAATCCAAGGGGGATTGCACCGACGCCATCACCAGATGTGTCACTTGAGTTGACCCTCAGTCAGTCTGACACAAGGAGAAAGAAGCATTCAATGCAGATTCGTGAGCGTATGAAGCAATATGAGATGCAGCTGGATCAACGAATCCAAGCAGTACAAACCAACAACCGACGGCTCATGGAATTGAAATCGCTCCTTGAGCATCAAAGTCAAGCAGTGGTACTTCACAACCCTGGCCGAGACGACAACAACAGCAATGACGATGACGATGATGATGACATAGAATGGGTAGAAGATCAACTGGATCAGGGGCTGAGAGCTCAGTGGGAAGAAGCTCAGATATTGCTTGAGGAGAGTCAGATATTGCAGCAACACATGAGGGAAGACCTGGAGCGAGAACGTGAAGCCAACAAACAGTTAGAGTCTCGTATGCAGGGGATGTCGAATCAGCTAAAAGAGTTGGTTGAGTTGAGTGAAAATCAGAATGTGGAATTGAATCAAGTTCGTGAGCTTGCTACCAAAGAACGTGAGCAACTGGAGAAGCAGCTATCTGAAGAGCGAGGAAAGCAAGAGCAACTACAGTTGGCTCTCGCAAAGGAGAAAGAAGCACTGGAAGGAGCGACCAGGCGAAAATCATCTGATCAGGCTGAATTTCGAAAACTTCAATTGGATATCACATCTCTCAAGCAACAACTCGAAGCCAAGGAGGACGAGCTTCAACGTCATAAGGACGATACCGAACTTCTTGCTATCAAGCACTCGGAGCGTTTAAAAGAATTTGAAGATCATATCCAAAGCCTGGAAAAGCGGCTAGAGACTGAGAAAGACCGTTTTTCACAGGATCAGGAGGCACGGACGCGAGTGAGATGGCGGGTCAATGAGCTGGCGCAATCTGTAGAACAAAAAGAAGATGAGATGAATGAGCTTCGAAGCATGTTGGAGGAACGCGACGAGCTATTGGAGGCTCGACAGCATGAACTGGAGGAGGCGCTCGCGCTGGTTCATTCACTTGAAGGCCGATTACGGGAGGAACAAGTAGAGGCAGAAGAGAGTCAACAGCAAGAACAAGAGCAACATCTCAAGGAGATTCGACAACATAGGACTGAATTACGGGATATCAGGCTCAAGTTGGCAGGAGAGAGGGAATCGAGCCGTCAGCTTGAAAACCGGATCAAGCTTTTGTTAGAATCCCATCAAGAGACAAGCCAGTTAAACGAGTCCAAGATTCAGCAGCTTGAGGAAGAGTTGGAGAAGCGAACACTGCAGCTTTCTCAATCTAGCTCCTCATCCTCATCTGCCACCAACACGATCCATAAACTACAGCTTCAAATCGACGACCAAGAACGTGCCCTGATGGAGAAAGAAGATCGGATACAGGAACTAGAGCAGGAGCTCAAATCGGCTCAGCAGCAGGCCCAGAATGTAGTAGCAGATCTGGAGCTGGACTTACTCGAACTAGAGAACGAACGATCCCGTCTAGACAGTTTACTGCAGAAGGCACAACAACAATCAAAGGAGGATCAAATGAAGGTTGCGGACTTGGAGGTCCAGTTGGATCACAAGAATCAGGAGTTGAATCTTGAGCTGGATCAGAGGCAGGGACAGGAAAAGATGCTGTTGGAAAAGTTAATGGAAGAGATCGAATCTGAAGAGACGGAGGATCTTGTCAATGATCAACTCCGTGAGAGTGATTATGGACCAGATGATGGATCCATTGAATACATCTATTCAAGGCTGCAGGAAAAGATCCGAGAACTCAAACTAGAACGCTTCTACCAGGACAAATCCCTGGTTGGCATGCGTGTCAAGTTGGGCCAGTTTGATGGTGAGATTGAGGCACAGCAGGCTCAGTTAACACAGGCGGAAAATGATCGCAAAGGCCTTGAGGAGCAGTTAAGGCATCTCCAGGACCAACTAGCTCAAGCAGTCGATGAGCAGCAGCAACTTCGACAACAACTCGAGAATAAAGAGTCACAATTGAAAGAGAATATCAAGGAGGACAAGTCCATATCGAATGGCTCAATGTCCCGGAGCAATTCGCAAAATGGACAACTATCAATGTCTACATCTAGTCGGAGACATGCAGACCAGCGCGATAAGGAAAAGATCAAGAGACTTTCGACGCAGGTTGAGGGACTTGAGGCTCAGATTGCTACGTTGGAGCAAGAAAAGCAACAGCTAAGTGAACAGTTGATATCCACACAGGAACAGCTACAGGCCATGGATGAGACGATCCAAGACCAAGGCGAAGCAGCCAAGTCGATCCGAGCAAAGTACACCGAGAGAATTGTAGCGTTGCAGCGTGAACTTGTCAAGCACCGCAAGATGGTGGTGAAGCAGGAGGGTCAGATGTTTCTATACCTGTCTGTTATCGAGAAACTAAAGTTACAGTTGCGAGGAACTAAAGTCGAGCAATGAGCATAGATCATCTACCTACCTATCCACCTATCTATCTATCTACCTATCCACCTATCTATCTATCTACCTATCTACCTGACCTTCCAACACTTTGTACTATTAATACCCGCTTTTGAAAACGCCCTGTTTGTCAATAAGCCAACTAGCCAAATATCCAAATACCAGACAATTGAGAGTGACACAAAGACAAAAAAAAAATAATAATAATAATTACAAATTTAGAGTTGAAGATTTGTCTGATTTTTCATTTTAAAGCATTATGTTAATCGTTATTTTTTTAAAAAAAAAAAAAAAAAAAAAAAAAAAAGTTGGCCTTGATGGCCGGATTTGCGGATAGTAAGAATGACTACCAACACCAGAGAGGGCTTGGAACTGATAGTTTGATTTTCATACGCTCAAAGGAAATCATAGTTACATGGATGAATCTTTAACAATAATACATGGTCTGTAATAATAATATATACGTAATGATAATAAGCCAAGTTACTTTTTGCTCCACTGGGTCTTGTCTGATTTCGCGCTCGCAGTGGACGCGTTAAAAACATGTATGATGCTGTGAAGTGAGGCATTTTACAGAAATTACTATCACTCTACTACTATTAAAAAAATGTGTAAGCTGCTCTTTGATATAATGGAGATGGTGAATGTGAATGAATGAATGCAGCAGTAAAAAAAGAAAAAAGGGGGGCGGAAAGGATGTAGTGTTTGACAAGCATTGAATACATTCATACACACACTATAGTATCAAATACAGAAGTGCATGCTGGCTTGTTTACATTGCAAAAAAAAAAAAAAAAAAAAAACTTCACCCCCTGGGTCAGCTCCTGGGGGGTTTTTTCATGACATGCGAGCTTGTTCTCCCTATTCTGACGCTTTTGTTGTTGTTGTTGTTCCCGCGTTTATATCCATATTGCACTAGCATTGTCGTTGTCCGTTGTTTGTGCCAAAGTTATACATGACTTTGTCTTCTCTTTTGCGTTTTATGTTGATTTTTTATATTTCATCCATCCTTCATCCCTCTCTTTTCTCTTTTTCCTCAGTCTACCCGGTTACTGTTCCTAATCCTAAAAAGCGCCATCATTCACGGCAAAGTTTACTCCACTTTGTAAAGGCGCATCTACACACAACTGATCCCTTGATTCCCTTGACTCCTCCTGTTCGTCCTTTTGGTTTTTTATATTTTTATTTTGTCTGTCTGAATGTTCACTCTCTCTTATTCAAACGACCCTGAACCATGACGATATAGACCGCCCTCTTTCTCTTCTTCCATTTTTTCAAGTCTTCTCTCATTCCCTCCTCCTCTCTTTTTTCTTTCCCTTTCACTCGTTCTCTCGACTGTCTCATATATTTCCTTTCGTCATTTTTTTTTTTTTTTTTTATCTTTTTTCAATTCATCTGTTCATCCGTCCTTTTAGTTTTCCTTTGCTTTCGTTTTGTCATTTTATCTCTTTTTACGAATTCTCCACACCTATTACAGGCACGTCGCATTCTCCAATTCTCAGCATTGCTCACAAGAATTTTTCTGTTGATTGTATCTGGCTGCCTCCCTACTTCACCCCTTTTCTAGTCCGTCCTAACCTTTTCTAGTTTGTCAGATCTCTCGCACCTTGTTGTTTCGAAAGAAACACAGCTACAAAAGTGGCCTCCTTTAACCAAACATTAACGAGAGTGTGTGAGAGATAAAGAGAGTGAGATGGAGGAGGTTGCTGCAAAGTCTTCGGCAGAGTCTGTGTTTTTGTTGCAACATCCTCTTGCTAATCCAAAAGATCCACCTGTGGTTATCCCCACTTTACCACGGCATCGTCAGCAAGCATCATCCTCAACAACTGCAACGACTTCAACAATGTCTGCTACCCACGTCCTTCCCACCTCCACCTCGTTACCATACTCACCTTCCCCTCCAGGATCTCCAATATTCGGATCAAGGAAAGTGGCTCATTTCAATCAAAGCTATCGTCGTACTTATAGCCCTTCCTCAGGTACAGCAACGCCCGCATCAACATCAACAACAGCGACAACAGGTGGTATATCTTCGAAAGCATTCCAAACTCACCCAACACAACTGTCACTAGCTAGAGACCTGACAACCCGTCTGTGGCAACGTGAGGCAGAACTGCATACTATGAAGGAGCTTTATGATGCAAAAATACGAAGGCTCACAGAAATGTTGCAGGATGCTGGGGTATCGCCCACAGAGGTAGAGAACAATCTTGCAGTCGTGGCAGAAGAAACAGACGGGAGACGGCCTTTGTTTGATGATGACGACCTCGATGGGACCACGGGGGACTACCAACATCCTCATCTCTACCATCTTGTTGGGGGAATGGTTGGTGTCCAACGACGTCAAACAGTTGTTGAAGAGAATAGTCCTGTGGACTATCTATTTGAAGAAGAATGCAGTAGCATTGTCCTTGATGATGAGCCTCCTGAGGAAGAGGATGGCGACCCCTCAGAATTTATGTCCAACTCTGGCACACTATCCCTTCACTCCAACAGCACAACACAATTGACAAAGCCTGACGATGGATCTCTCTGTCATCGACCCTCAGGGGTAATGCATAAGAGAGCCTCCGCAGATACTCCCTCCTCTTTCACTTCTCCCGCCATGACCGCCGCAGCAGCCTCTACTCCCACTACAATTCCAAAACGTCGTTCGTCAAGCTCTCGATTGTCTCAAGCTGTCCGCCCGTTTTCACCGATCGCATGCGATATCTCAACGGCTTCATGCCCAGTCAACTCACGTTTACAACAGCAACACCAGCAGCATCAAGAACAGCAAGAGCTTTCAGATTGCTCAAAGCCTGGGCTCGCTACCAATTCTAAAGCTTATGCCAATGAGGGTGAGGCCAAAGCCCAGGCACATGGTCAAGACCACCAAAACCAGGGACAGCAACCACAAGGACATACACAGGACCAAACCAGTGGAGGCACAGGGAATCTAAACCATGGAAGCCTGAGCCCTATCCCCTCATTTATTGCAGATTCATTTGCAGCAAGCACGCTCGGCATGAAGACTCTACGTGAGAAGTTGGCTCTAGCCTCTGGGGTATTGTCATGGAGTAAGTCGACAAAGATCGAGCAGAATAATACCAATACCAACAGCGTAGCGACCAGCCCCAATGGGTTCTTTATTCGTCGCGGAAGCATCGCTAATGATAAGAAATCTGCATTGGTAGAGGCTAGTATACCACCACCGATACATGGGAACTTCTCTCCATCTGAGACAAAAGATAGTAATGATAAAGAACGAGAATCCTGGACAAGCATTTTATCCTCTACAAGCAGGAAGCAGCACTCTACAGGACTGTCGACGCAGGCGCTGCAGGCGCGACCAATGTCTGAAGTTGGATTCTTGGGATCACAAGCGAATTATTCACCGTTCACCATGGCAAGAGATATTCCGCGACCACCTATCACACGGATCCACGATTATCTTCAGCGTCCTGACTCTTATAATCCTTCGCCTCTACACTATAGAGCCATCTCCATAGCTGCTAACCTTATTGATACAGGGGCCATCACGCCAGCAAAACTTTACGCTCGACGGACGCAGAGCATGATCGCTAAATGGACTCTAGGATTGATTATGAACACCAAACCGTCAAAGTCGCAGCAAAGCTCGTTCCCCGTCATTCGTGAGTCGCTTTCGCCAGAACAGGAAGAGATGTTGAGCCACCATTATCATCCAGATAACAACGATAACAATGACATGTTTTGTCGTCAACAGACTACATCACCATCCTTACAGGATAACCTCAAAGGGCTGGAGATGGTCTCGAGCAACCGACGTTTCTCAGAGACACTCAATCCGACGGAGCTACCAAAAGCCTTGCCTTACAAGAGCCATTCAACCACGCTTAGTCTTACCAGCTCGTCATTCCCGCATACTTCGTCTTTAAGCTATTACCAGTCACACCACTTGAACTCAGCCCAGACCATTGTGGAGCTTTCAGATATCAGTTCACAGACATTGTCCATGTCACCACCGTTTACTTGCCTGGGCGAGGCTGTTGGGAAACCGCTCACGGATCGATATGGGTTCCTAGTTAATGCAAGGCCGATGGCAGTACAGCATGGGCTCATGAAGCTGAGTCAAGCCCATGCTTTCGATGGGTTGGAAACACCTACGTTTGAACGCCCAATATACAGCAAGAACACCTTGCGTATAACTGGTAAGGACGGCGGCAATACAAGCTTTGAGTGTCTAATGACTCCAGCGGATGATTCAAGCGCTGGATCTGGACAACCTTCATCTTCGCCTCCAACATTGTCATCCTTTTACTTTGGTGCAGGTAACTCAGGAACATTGGGAACGTTTACAGCCACAGGAAATGCAACAGTTTCTGCAACGACCGCCTCATCGCCTTCCAACATCACATCACCCATCCTATCGACAGCAACACGGCCTACCTCGACGTTGTCGCCACCAACGTCGTCTACCGCTACAGTCACAACCTTGCTTTCACAGATCAAAGTCCTACATGACTCTGTACAGATAACTCAAAAGGAGAAATGGGACACTTTTCTACGAAAACGAAGAAGGCGTGTTCATCTGGGTGAGACGAATGGTGGCGCGTTGGCCAACATGTCAAGTACCAATTTGAGCTCACCATTATTTGGAAATTTGATGCTATCGTTGGAGGACCAGGAGCATGATGATGAGGATGTGATGTACTGGACCAGCGTCTGTCTGATTGGTATTGCGACTATTGGCAAGGGATCTGATTGGGAAGAATTCCGCGACCTAGCTCGCGGAGGTATCCCTGTCGCCTATAGGTACGAGTTGAGGAAGGGGAGGAAAAAAAAAAAAAAAAAAAAAAAAAAAAAAAAAAAACTCATTTCTAATCATTCTAAATATTAATGGTTTTTCTCCACTTAGGAACAAGATCTGGCAGGAGACTTCAGGAGCCCTTGATATGCGGTTGCCAGGCTACTACAAGGAGTTACTCTCAAGACAGAGCCTTGAATCTTGTCAATGCTGGAGTGATATCAAAATGGTAAGCAGGCGATAACAAAAAAAAATAAAAAAAATAAAAAAAAAAAAATAAAAAAAAAAAGCCCTGTCCTAATCTGAACTTTTTACGTCTTGACTGCAGGATTTACACCGCACATTTCCTACCAACGTATTGTTTGGGCCTGGTGGACATGGAATTGATAAGCTGAAGAATATACTTCTCGCTTATAGTCTGTAGGTTAAGTTTTTAATGCTCTCTTTTTTTTTTTTTTATTCTTGTCATCATTCATCATTTGTCTTTGGAGACGATTGTATATCATCCATATCTGATCTCTAACTTATCTTTTAATCAACAACAACAACAAAAAAAAAAAAAAAAAAAAAAAAAAAGCCATAATCCCACTGTTGGATATTGTCAGGGAATGAATCTCCTTGCTGGAACATTACTTCTCACCAACCACTCTGAGGAAGAAGCATTCTGGATCCTCACTTCTATGCTCGGACGTCACCTACCTGAAGACTATTTCACTCAGCAACTTCTTTCTCCTCAAGCAGATCAACGTGTCCTCAAAGAACTTGTTCAAGAGATCATGCCTAGACTCAGCCTACACTTTCAAGAGATGCACGTTGATCTCACTGCAGTGACCTTTAGCTGGTTCCTGACCCTCTTCACAGATTGTTTGCCAGTCGAAACCCTACTCCGTGTCTGGGATGTATTCTTTGTCGAAGGCATGATCGTCGTCTTCAAGATCGCGCTCGCAATCCTCTGGATGAACGAGAAGGACATTCTCAAGTGTAGGAATGGTGCAGCAGTCTATTGTTTTATGAAGCAGATGACATTGACCATGCACCAGGCCGACAAGCTGATCAAGGTCGCCTTTGTGACCTTGAAATCCTATATCCATCCTGAAAAGATTGAGGCGAAGCGACAGCGGTACCAGAAACTTGTGAGGCAGGAACTAATCCAGGAACAGCAGATGCTCAAGATGAAGACTTTCACCTGCACTATCCCCTCATCACCAACCTCTGCTACCAAGAATGCTGCTCGAAGCTAATGACAAGGCTCTTTTTTTTTTTTTTTTTTTTTTTTTTTGCTTTTGCTTTTGCTTTTGCTTTTGCTTTTGCTTTTGCTTTTTACTCACATTTTCTAATAATTTTATTCTATCACTATCACGATGTACATAGCAATCTACAAACTAGTTTCCTTCCAATTGTATAATATTAGTTTTATCAGCAAAATCTCATGTGTAAAAATGAGTGCGTCTAATTTGTTTTTATATATGGGATGCATAAGTCGGATTATTTATAATGTTGGGCTATTTAATTCTATTCTGAAAGTTCCTTGGCAATGACCTCAATAACCAAAGCCTCTTCAGCTCTTGGAATGACAGTTACCCTGCGCTCTGCGTCCATGAGTCCATCAAACTCCTTGGGAGAGACCTTCTTGAAGAACTCTTCAAATACAACACCTTCCTGTTCTTTTAATGCCTTCTCTACAGCTTCAGAAAATTTGGCGGGATGTGCAGTTGAGAGTGAAATCACGATATTCTGTGAGTCAATCTTGGGAAGCACAGTCTCTGCAGCATGGACACCGACAGCAGTATGAGGATCCATGACGTATGATGCTTGTGAGGCATCAGCAGGGAAGCTGTATGCACGAATAGTTTGACAGGTCTATTAGAATGCATAACATGAAAGGTCAAAGAAAAGAAGTTAGAGAACAACACAATAACATAAAGAAGGGAAAGAAAGAAGAAAAAAAAAAAAAAAAACTTCCGTACCTCTTCATTTGAAACGTGTCCAGCATCGAAGATTCTTTTAGCCTCTGCCAGGACCTTAGCACCAGTATCGAAGCGTCCCTTCTGCTTCAGATCGACCATCCAACCATTGACAATCTCGCCTGCCTTTGCATCTTTATCTAATTCAGGCACACTTGCATCCAAAGCAGCATCACGAGCCAAATAGAACAGCAAACGTTCAAAATTTGAACTGACGACAATGTCCATGGCAGGGCTAAGCGTCTCCTGCACACCACCATTCTCATCCACAATCTTCTCACACACACCGTTGCAGAAGAATCTATACAGGATATCGTTTGCATTTGTAGCAACCAGAAGCTTGGAAGTGGGAAGACCCATCTGATGAGCATAGTAACCTGCCAAGATGTCTCCAAAGTTGCCAGTAGGGACAGAGTAGGTGATGTGGACTGCTTTAGCTTCTTCTGATGCAGGGGTGATGTTGAGAGAACGGAGCAAGGAGAAGTAAGAGTGGAAATAATAGACAGTCTGAGCAAGAATACGGGCCCAGTTGATCGAGTTGACGGCGCCGAGGTTGTATTTGCTCATAAAGTCTTTGTTAGCAAAGAGACCCTTGACAATATCCTGGCAGTCATCAAAGGTGCCTTTGACCGAGATATTGTGAACATTCTTGTCCAACACTGTAGTCATCTGGGCTTCCTGGATAGGACTGACTCTGCCAGTGGGGAAGAGAATGAATACCTCGAGGTCTTGTTTGTTGCGGAGGCCATAGATTGCAGCACTAAATCAATTTTAGTGTAAAGAGAATATCAAATAAAGTTATTACTCATAACCAATTGTTGGATCAATTTTTTGAAACCCGTCCCAATGTTGAATACAAAAAAGAGTCATAAAATGAAAATGAAAAGATAAACTCCCAAAAAAAAAAAAAAAAAAAAAAAAAAAAAGCATAATTGCTTGATCAGATCATAAAATGATCGAGTGTTGATAATCCGTACCTGCCAGTGTCCCCGCTGGTGGCGCCGACAACAGTAATCTTGTGTCTATCTGCTTTGTTCTCAATGCCTGCGTTTCTGCGCTTCAAGAAGTACTCGAAGAGATTGCCAACAAACTGAAGAGCGACATCTTTGAAGGCGAATGTGGGACCATGGAATAACTCAAGGATGTAAAGTCCATCCTTGACCTTGTGCAAGGGTGTGATGTCCTTGTGGCGGAAGGCTGAGTAGGATCGATCTACTAGCTCTTTCAGATCGCTCCGAGGGATCTCGGTATCGTCGATATAGAGAGACAGGATTTCGAGAGCAAGATCTTGGAAAGATAGCGAAGCCCACTTTGTCAAGAAGTCAGCAGGAGCCTGAGGGATCGAATCTGGGATAAAGAGACCACCATCTGGTGAGAGGCCTGCAAGAACAGCCTGCTCAAAAGTGTAGCTGTTGACTTTGCCGCGGGTAGATTTATACTTCATGACAGTGATGGAATTGGTGTGTTGGAAAGAGAGTGTGGAATTAGCTTGAAAGAGAAGAAGAGTCCAGGGACAAGTTTGGGCGACTGGTGTTAATGAACTGCACCAATCACGTGTGTCTCCTACTGCCATTGCCGAAAAGGAAAAAAATATGGCTGTAACACTTTTATATTTACAAAAGGTGAATTAGGGCCTTCAACCTTTCTAAATTGAAGTTTCACTAATGCATTGGGCACTTTCTAAGCCTCCAAGCATAAAGTCTTCCATCTTGAATATGATTTGATGCACCTTCTTCATTCCAACAGACCAAATGGAACAAACACAAGACTTTACAAGCTTCTTGCTTGGCAGACCCGTCATTGTCAAACTCAACTCAGGAGTCGATTACAGAGGTAATTTTTCAGGCACAACTATCACAAAGACACTAAGGCAATAATACACAGAAAGGCTTTGTAGAGGGATTAATATCATTCTCACGAACGCGCGCATCTCATATTAACATCCGATATCAGTTTATACACTGGACGAATAGTGACTAACCGGGACTCTTTTCTTTTTTTAAAAAAAAAAAAAAAAAAAAAAAAAAAAAAAACACTCTCCTACTCAATAGGGATTTTGGCATGTCTTGATGGATACATGAACATTGCATTGGAGCAGACTGAGGAATATGTCAACGGACAACTTAAAAACAAATACGGTGATACTTTTATTCGTGGAAACAATGGCAAGTGACAAGGAGGACTTATTTTCTTTTTTCTTTCCTTCCTCCTCGATTACAACGATAAGGGATGTTCAAGGCTAACCAATCTATGGTGCATGACTTCACTTTCCATGATCTAGTGCTTTATATTTCAACTGCGAAGGGCGTATAGGGAACTGTACTGAGTTTCACCTTTTTTTTCTTTTTTTTTTTTTTTACCTTCGACACCTTCAATTGCGGCACATACTGTCCGAAAAAATAGAAATAAAAAGGTGCTGCAATTATACAAACAAGACAGCAGCTGAGTAATCCTCATGCGCCGATAATAGAAAAAAATCTAGAACACCATTTTATCGATTCCAGATCCAATAAAGCTGGCTTGTGTTCATCACTAGGTTCAGAACCTTCAGAGCCTTCAGCACCTTTACATGCGCTACATGAGTCCTACATTGTCATAAAATAAATTACATTATATAACATATAATAAATAATAAAAAATAAAAAAAAGGACCTTTATTTCGCAGTTATTCATGAATTTGCACCTTGACCACCATTCAAGCCTAGTCTTTAGGCAATTTGGCCAGCTTATTAGTAGAATAGATTGCTTTTCTGCTGCACTCAAGCCGAGGGTTGTCTGAGTCTTTATCTCTTTCTTGCTCTCTTCATAGACAGTAGACAATCGACTCACCATGTTGACTATGGCGAATCAGAATGTAGGAGAGTAACAAGAAGATATTGATACTATTTATTGACTCTCCTTGTTGCAATAGACATTTCATTTTATCTCGCACATTTGAACTTCTTTTCATTCATAGTTTCACCCGCTTTACGCCTCCTCTCCTCTTCACGGCGGCCATCCTCTACCTCCTCTCCCACTTCGCTCTCTTCTCATTCCCTTCTTCTCGCTTCTTCCTTCCTGGCCAATATTTATCTTAAATGATCAGAATCATTTGATATATAAACGGATTATTCAGTAGGCGGCGGTCGTGTCCATTTTCTATAGTTTGGTTCCTTGTGAGACTTGTAAGGTTCCACTTCATTTATCCCTGGCCTTTCTGATTCCACGTACCTCCCTAATTCCGGGTTACTTCGTTCGTAATCCTGTCCAGCGCCCCAATATTTTTACACGGGTTTACTGCGTAAATTTTTTTGGGCGGCTCGCTTACATTTTACATGTGTTTACTTCGTTCGTATTTTTATCCAGCGGTTCTGCTTAATAGCGTACGGAAACACTAGAGATGTATGCACGCGCTAAATGAAAAAAAGTATCAGGAAACCATCTACAACCTATAACAACAATACGACCAACAAAAGCACAAAGTAAAGCAGCATATATATTTCAATTATAGATAAATCGTTTTTAATTCTTTATTTAGTCCCAGAATCCCATAAAGAATATCAATATGTATTCAGGGCTACGTACGACTTTGATAAGATAAATATTCTGGTCAATATTTGATGTTTGGGTATCGAGCTTGTGTCGTGGAAGGCTTCCTGGTAGTGGTATTTAAGGCTGAAATAAAGACTCCGTACAAATAAAAAAAAGATCTCAGTGCAAATATCTTTTTCCTTTGCAAAACATTATTTGGCAGCCCAGCTGCCATCTAAGTGTGTGAAGCTAGGTGGCTGCCCCAAAAAAGGATTAATCTATTTGGCAGCCCAGTTGCTAAATGAATTAAGGAAAAATGCACCCCCCTGTCAGAATAAAATATTGACCCCCGGTTGAGAATTCCCTTGACCCCCCGTCAACATTCATTTTTTCGGAATTCTTACCCCTGTCCCCCCGTCAGAATTCCGGTACACCCCCCGTAAAGATTCTCAAAATGTAAATCTTTACCCCCCCGTCAACCATCTCAATTGTGGGAATCCTCACCCCCCCCGTCAACATTTTGAGGCTGTTTTTTGAGAGGAAAAAAAATTCACTTTCTGCATTTGGTTACATCTACACCCGACTAACAATTTAATACCATTGAGCCTCTCTTATCAAAACCTGACAGTAGATAGTAGATCAATTAGACACATGAATGACCCCTTCCTAGATTTGTTTTCATCACTAGGCTCAGAACCTTTAGCAACTTAACATGCACCACATGAGTCCAATAGTGGAGATTAAAGATATTAATTGTCTAAAATACAGATTGGTACACACATTCATTGGCCTTTTATTCTGCATTAGCTGTGTGAGGGCTCAGTGGGAACCGTTGGGCACAGTAGGGCTCTTTTTTTTTTTTTTTTTTTTTTTTTTTGAAAACAAGGACCCTGGTTATTTGCAAAGCTCTTTCAACACAGCACCCTAGCTTGTGCTATGAACCTTAACTGCCGTGGTTGCTGCTCTGTACGTATCAAAAATTTCATCCAACCGAAGTGTTCGATCCTCCGCAATCTTATAGAACTCTCTCATATTCAGTATCCATCGTTGTCTCATGTATATAAACTCAAGTTTTCTGTTGATCAACAGGGCTCGTTATCCGCCATATCAACGCGCTTCCAGTATCTGGCGTAAGATTCACTAATTCAGAATTCAGGGCAACAGCCTGAGCTTGCTTTTGCTTTACTGTTCTAAGGAGTTCTGTATCCCAATCATTGCTGTCGACTTTGAAGGCGTCATTAGGAACGGGATGGAGAATGAGATGGAGAATGATATAGAAAACCACGGTATCATTCTAATATATATTTCTTTCTGTCTTTGTACGACTTTCTAACGAGAACTCTAAAAACAATGTCTGTATGCTTCGCCTCTTTCTAGAATACCAATGCTGGGAAAATCTTGCTTAAAATAAAAGGATTGTGTTTCTCTTTCCTCCCTCCATCTCTACTTTAAACCACCTCTTTCCAAAAAAAAAAAAAAAAAAAAAAAAAAAAAAATGCCTTGCAAAAAGTTCGTGAGAAGCAACAAGACCAACGAGGAAATCCTAAAGGAATTTATCGAAAGTTCACCTGAGAAAGACGGTCTTGGATTTTTGAAATGGGGTCAACATCATTACAATGTTTCTTACCGAGAGAGAAGTAGCTTCTTAGAGATATACAAATCGTCAACAGAAAAGGATCTTGTAAGGTTGGGTAGAAAGCAGCAGGCACAATTGCAGGCCTATTGCAATGAGTGGAAGAACAAGAATAAGGAAAAGGTAATCCTTTTATTGTTATTTTGTTGTTGTCGCTGGTTAGTTCTATGAGCTAATGCTGAAATAAACTGAATTAGACGCCTGACGTAGACTTGCATCAAAGCAGGGGTTCACGAAATTCTCAGCTTCGTGGCGATGGGGTACTTGAATGCTGTTTGAAATCAATGGACTATTATGAGCTCGAAGGAATAAACATATCCAAGGAGCTGATGAATATTCGGCAGAGCCTGCTCGCCCGAAACAAACACCTTTCTACTTTTCGGTTCCTGTATGTATTCCGGTTTATTAATTTTATTTTAGTTCCTAGTTCATTGTAAGCTCCAAGCGTTGTAATTCATGCTTCTCTTTGTGGTTTCCTTAGCGCTGTCAACTTTATTTTTTGTCAAGAGTTGATCGTCGACTTTCTTCCACCCCAGGTGGTGGATGCCATGTATTTTGTGGAAGTAAAGGGCCAAATGTCAGAGTACGATCGAAATTTAATAGAGGATTGTGCCCAGGCCGCAAATACACTGGATTACAAAGCATACCGGACGCTCTTGCTCCAAGAGGATCAGAAAGCCACTCCTATGCTGCTCGACATCCTCAGAGTATGGTGTGACGATTCAACTCTTTGGTCAGAACGGTCGATCCGAAATGAGAAGACTTACAGTGGTGTTGTTGTTACAGCCATGATGAGGAAGGTCCTGGCCGGGCTCGAATGTTTTATAGAGGAGTAAGTGATAGCCTCATTCTTTGATTGCAGCAAGTAACACGCTCTTTTGAAACTGCATTAAAAATCGCATGTATACGTTTTCCCTTTACTCTAGAGATGCCGATATTGGCGTCCCTCAATACTATCATAAAAAGCACCGGCCAGATGTAGCTTGGCTGGTAAAAGATCTCTCTATAATAATTGCAGAGATCAAATTTAATATCGTTAGCAACAGACGTCTCTCGAAAGATCGGCGAAAATTTTTTTTTTCACGATGAAGCTGCAATTGGATCTTCAGGCCATCAACGGGATGCAAACGCCAAAGATAGTTGGTCTTCTCGTACAACGTACTGCTAAAAACTCGTTTTGTTTTCTTTTACGGACATTAATACTAGCAGTATAAGATATTACGGGTGGACATTGGCATTAACAGTTTACATGTTATATCTTATAGAGGGATGGATGGAAATTTATGTGATGAGCTTAGATCATGAAGCTCTTTATATTCCCAAGTTGTTGGGCAAATTCGAGCTTCCTGAAGATAGAAGCCACTTTGCTATGATAGGAAAGGGACTCAATTTCCTATTGAGTGTTCGTATAGGTGTCTACTTCATTATCGCTTTGATTGTTTAGTTTGTAAAATATGTGACTTGACTGCATTTTCTTCTATTTCTGTAGTCAATCACCAAGTCAGGACCCCTATCACAGAGAGTGATGATGTTGGCAATATAAAAATAAGACGCTCTTTTAACTTCATTTGACAAGAATAAAAAACAAAGGCCTTTCATTACTGCTTTATAATTTCATCTATGAATGATTGTTGCAATGGCATACTGAAAGAGTTTTGAACAGGCAAGGAAGGAAAAGCAAACATGTGAAACGCATAGAAAAATATGTGGACGTTTGTGAGAGAGCATGCTTAAATTTCTTAGTCATGCAACAAGCATTCTGTGAATTATGGGGCGTAGTGGGTGCCATGAGGGACAGCAGGTACCATAGGGCACAGTGAGTGATGGGGCGCGGCGGGTAGTGATACAAAAGTGAGGTGGTATCGTCGTTTGATCACAAACACATTTATATAATTATTGATTTGATTTGGCTGGCACTGAATTTCGTATTTTCTGTAGCCAATTCAATCGATATATTTTATATTACAGGGAACTTGACATCCGGTAAATATTTATCAGGCCTAGACTCGTCACCAGTCTGAGGTCGGATTGCCTGTTGAGGCAATCTGTAACCGTCTTGCAGACGCTTCTCACTCTCACTCAGGCTGGGGGTTCTCCCAAAAAAAATAAATTCGAATTATTTTGAAGTCAAAAATCATACGGGAATTCACCTTTTTTACTCTTTGTTTTTTTTTTTTTTTTTTTTTTTTTTTTTTTTTTTTCAAGCCAAATTTTCGAAAGTTCTTGTAGGAAAGCTTGGGCCCTTCCAGGGTTCGGAAGATGGTCAGGTACTCATCAATTTTTGTCATCTTTATCTTCTACATCGTCATTTTTCTTCAACTTTAACTTTATTTTCCTTCAACTTTATTTTTATTTTCTCTACAACTTTATTTTTAATTTTTTGGAGTGGTAAAGCTGAGAAGCAGAAGTGTTGGTGGGAGTGAGAAAGAGAAGAGTGAAGAGTGTTAGAATAGCGAGCACAAACAGTAAATGTTATTTTATATTGAAGTGTGGGGAAAAATTGACATGTAAAAAAGGTGAATTCCCATATGAATTTTTTTTTTGGGAGAACCCAGCTAATAAGAGGTGTCTGCAAGACAGTCACAGTGTGCAATCCTGCTTGCAGCGCGTTCGTTCGCACATGAGCAGTGCTCCTATTCGAACTGACTGAAATTTTGTCTGAAACGGTGGTAAAATTGACACAAAGGAATACTGCACCCCCTGTCAAATTAAAAAATGCCCAACACCTCCGTTTTCACCCCCTCTATTCCCTTGGGTGTTCGCGGGGGTGTTTTGGAAATTATCAACCGGGGGTCAAAATTCAATTTGACGTGGGAGTGCATTTTCCCCTTGTTCCTTGATATAAAATATATCGATTGGATTGGCTACAGAAAATATGAAATATAAAAGCATGAAATTGCCGCGTTCGGTGTTACATAAAAATTGATCATGAAAAAGATTTGTACAGTGGAATCTCGATAATTGTACACTTTTGTACAAATTTCAAATTTGATATATTTCTAGGCCATTGGTTGGCTAAGAGCCTTACTCTTTTAAAAAAAAGTATTCTAAAAAACCCACACTCAACTGGAGTAGAGGAATCAGCAGAGGATTTTTAGAATAGTTTTTCATGAATTGTCGGCTTCTTAGCCAATCAATAACCGAGAAATATAGCAAATTCGAAAATTGTACAAAAGTGTACAATTATCGAGATTCCACTGTACACAAGAATATACAAATGGTTGTATATATATGTTACGTACCGAGGCTTGGGAGTGCACCTCAGGTGCACTTCCATTTTTATTCATAAGGTCAGAATATCATGTGACGGTCATAGAGAGTCCTTGATAAAAGGCTCTCGTTTGACAATAATAAAAACAACTTTTGATCTCCTTGACTTCTAATATCTGAAAAACATCTCAGTATATCGTAAAAAGGCGCCCCATGGTTACTCTTTGTGTGGTGCCCGTAGACAAACTTGTAGTTACGGTTAGATACGATTTTTGAGTAAATACCCCCCGGATGTGATGTGTGTTCCCTCTTATTCTCACTTACTTTAGTCCCTCATAACTACTCGTCTGTCTAAATATTCTTCAATGGCTAACAAAGCTATTCAAATCTCATTGACCGATTCTCCAATCATGCTTCCTATTGATTCCTTCTGTTTAGGCCGAGACTGGTGCGATCGGAGGACTTGTGAAGATTTGTTGGAGTGGAGGCTTTCTATTCCGACATTCAGCTCTGAGCCACTGCTCCTGACTAAAATGGAACCAAAAACAATTTTGTCGCCTTCAGACTTCAGTCTCCTTCCCTCTATCCCGACTCAAGATATATTTGACAGAGCCAAAGAATCCATGGAGATGTGTAAGGCTCCATGCTGGGTTTTAGTTAATAATGGTGGACTTGATTACCCCACATTCATGCTACTATCACAAGTCATTGGCGTCGTACAATTCATCGATAAACTCCACCAAATGGTGGAATGGCTAGAAACAAAAGTGAGCTCGCTTGCTCCAGATTTTGTAGCAGTATTTAAGGCGCAGCTAGGCGCATACACATGGAAGCACCACTTCGATTCATTGGGAACATCGATCTCCATACATGACGTTCTCCCGTTGGCTGGAACCCAGTGGCTGAACGATGGAAGCTTGGATGGAATACTGGGGCGATTACGGTGCATGTATGAAGGGTTCCTTTTTATTCCACAGTACCAAATATCGTGTTGGAGGAACCAGGGTTTCGGAGCAAATAATTACTGGATGCAAGCAGAAATATTGTCTGGCCAGTACAAAAAAGCGTACGCCTTTATTCACATGGAGAACCACTGGGGTGCACTTTCTGTCGACTTTAAGCGCCGTAAGATAGCTTTTGGGGATTCCTTTAACTATGCTCCACCTCAGCGAACAATCGATGGGGCCCGCCAATGGCTTATGAAGTGCTTCAATGGCAAGGATGCGCAGGAATGGAGCAAGTCTGTTACAGAGTTGTTTGTACGGCGACAAATAGACAGCGGCTCATGTGGAGTGTATGCAGCGAATGCAATCGAGTACGATATTTGTAAGGCTTTCACCCCCAAAAATTGGGATCTCAGTACTCCAGAACAGGTACTACTCCACCGTACGCGATATCTGATGATGTTAGTAGGCTTCGCTAAGGTATGGCGGCGATAATAATCATTATTTGAAGATGCGGCTGTGCAGACAAAATGACTGAAGATGGTTATTATTATTTTTGTGATAGTTGCCCCAAGTCAATGTCGACGGGCTCTCATACACATCAAGCAATGAGTACCAATACACGGATAGCACCACTTCTGATGCCGATACAGCTTCACTGGGCAATGACGACTGCCTTCCTCCCTCAAGGTATACTACCGTCGATCGAAAGCTCTTTACATGGCCAAGTCACAGCAACGATCTTGATGGGGACGCGGATCGAAGTGATAAGGAGAGCTATAATAGCCCCTCTA